AATGGGAACCCAGTGAAACACAGTCCTGTGGTGTTCAGAGTTGGTGCTGCAGATGATACCTCAGTCAGGGTTGATGTGAGTGGACCTTTGTTTAATGATCCTGGGCCCCCTCCAGTGGCCTCGGGAGGTGCCTGTCCAGAACTGTGGGAATATGAAGGTTGATAAGTATTACATTTTATATAGTTTGTCTGCAAATAAATTACCCTAGGATTTCTCTGCTGCTTTAACCCTATACCCCATACATTCCCAAGATCTGAATAAAAATAATATCAATTTTCTGCAATGTGTGCTTTAGTGTTAAATACTTTTTGCCAAATGATATTTTTGTTACTTCTCCTTATCTTTCTGCTCAACTTTGTATTGGTATCCAAGGGAGACATAGTTCTTTTAACTCCTGAAAGGGGAATGGGCACATACCATGAAGTATAGAGAAGCTAACATCAATGGTAAAACTACCACCTGGTTCCAGAAAGTAGTTCCCAATGTTGCGGTCTGGCCTTGTTCCTGAATTTTTGAAAATTTTGAAAATTTCTTGTCAAAACTGTAAACAAAGTCAGGTTGAAGTCTCCTGCAAAGTGTTGTAAAGTGCATTGGAGCATAGTGGTATGGATTATGCATTATATAAAAAAATTATTCATAATGCCACATCATTAAAATCTATAGTGGAATTAAAAGTGACTTGCAAAATGCCATATTTTGAATGTGAGACAGACATTAATGAGTTAAATTTTCAAGTTCAAGATGCTTGCCTATATCAACATATCAAGGACCAACAAGGTTAAAGTACATTTTTGATGCATTTGTAATTCAGTTAGAGGCATATATGATGAAGATAATTTGTGATTGATGTTGCTTAAATATTCTGTCACCTTTTTGTTTTGATTCAGTGGCTGAGATTTTCTTCCTTGGAGATAAAGATAAATATTTGGAGGTTGAGTTATGCCCGTAAGTATTTAGACAGACTATAGCCTGCCAGAATTGCAGGCAAGCATGGGGGACTATTAATCACAATTGGTTTTTAGTTTTGCATTTCAATGATTGAAACAATGGTATCAGAGTTCTTGACCAATCACAAGGCAGAGTAAAGGAGAAACAGCACAGTACCAGATAGCTTTTGACATTTGATAGAAGAAAAACAAAGGTATAAATGTGTCTTAAATTATAAATGAGCAGTTATAAGAAAGGTGACTACAGGTACAATCAGATTGTTTTAAATCTGTCACTAGCAATGGCTAGTTTTCATGTTTGTCTTTTTTCATACTCATAGTCATGGCCAGCATCTGGTGCTTCTTCTGAATGGGACAAGAAACATGATGAAGGTACGACTGAACCTAAAATCTGAGACAAAATGAGGTAATTTGGTTTTATCAACTGAGTTGATGATGTAAATTGGGCACCATAAAGAGTTTCAAAGCTGACATTTTGAGCATCAATTACCCCTTTGTCAAAGCCAATGATGAAGGGCTAACACTCAAAATGTCAGCTTTGAAACTCTTTCTGGTGGCCAATTTACTTTATCAACTCAGTTAATGATACCAAATTACCTTGTTATACTCTCCTACCCATGCAGCATCATAGTTTCTTTTGAAACTTACCCCCTTGGGACAAAATATGCTGACTCATAATTTGAACATGGAAACTGAGGTAATATTTGGCTGAATGGGCCTCTTGGCTTGTGTTTCTTCTGTATTGCTGTACAAAAGTAAACAGGATTTTCCCTCACAAACTAAAAAATTTAAACTTGGTTTCCTTGTATTCACATGGCAAGTTATTTGTGGTGGATATAATGACATCAGCTAACAAATTAGTAACAGCCACTCTTTAGTTTGATTTAAAGATTTCATAATTTTTGAAATAGGATAAACTTGCCCTAAAGTATACAGCTAACACTGATGATGTAAATAAAACCTGGAAAGGAACTGCCATTATACCATTGGAGTACTTCCCTCCTGATGTGACAAAGATTAATGCATATGCTATCCATGGGTCAGGGGATGAGAGACAGTATGAGGCTCTTTATCCAGCTTCTGAGGAGTTTTACACACCTGACTTGTAAGTGAAACCACTTGATAAAATTATACTCACTGTGATTGATCAAAGGGAATGGAATGATGATGAAGTTTACTTCCTATGTTTGCCTGAAAATGAGGAAATGGGTGAGTGCTCCCACACACTTCGGGCTACAGAAACCTGGGGCAGATCCTGCAATTTAGCAGAGTTCAAAATTACTTCTCAACCAACTCATGACTGCATGTAGCCCATCCCCTCTCACCCACTTTGTATGGTCACACACTGAAGTGAAGTAGTAATATGTGATCCTGTCATCGCCCAAATTTTAAAGGAGCATTTTAAAGATTAAAGTTATTTGACCTCTGTGTCTTTTCAGCCATCGCCTTCAGTTTTTCAAGGAGTTTGATTTCAAGGCATTGTTTCCTACATCCTGGATACAACCAGAATCCACACACTGGACTAATATTTGAAAATAGCTCTTTAATTATTAACAATTAGGGAAATATATAAATTTATCTTCTCTTTTAAATGTGAAGTAACATATTAAGAAAACTAAGTATATAAAATAATTTTTGAAGATTGAAAAACCTCGAATGATAATAATCAACAGTCTATTTGATCCATAAGGAAAACTTTTTTATCACTGTCCAGTTTTTGTTCAAATACAATAAAGCAGTGAGGAAACCAGCATTTTGTTATTTTAAACACAGGAAATACTCACCCAAATGTTTTGATTTTTTTTTCTAATTAAGCTTGAGATAACCAAACCACACCTGGTAATTTAAATTTTAAAAGGGGCGCTTAAAGTCCTTGAGAAGTCTCTGAATTTTATGTCTGACAAAGTGTACAAACCACGTTTTACTTTAAGTTTAAGAAGAATTTCAATGTCAATTTTTCATAATGGGGTATTGTCTAAACCTGTCATCTAATTTACTGGTACTATTTTCCAAGAAAAGTTCACAGTGTATTTCCAACTCCAATTGATGTTAGGATCAAGTTGATTAATTGCCATAAGGAAGAGTATTACACCAGGGCCAAGTTCTTTACGAAGTGGAACTCTTTCAGATATTTTCATGTTGCTCAGCGACAGGTCAAGATCAATGGTGTATGTAACAAAACTACAATAATTTGCAGCTTCAAGTATTACACCACTTTTGTGTTCTCTCAAAAGTATGAAGAGACAGTTCTCGTGTATATTGTCAGCTGTTGTCGCTGAATTAAAAACATTACCATCATGTTGCCACATTGTAGTTGGTGGTTCCGTGGCTTTCATATAATTTCCATTCTCAGTGAATAGTCTGTTAGCAGTAGTACCTGACTCATGTAATGAAGGACCATTTTTACACACACACAGTCTTGGGTCCAGACCCTTATCTGCACAGGTCTGATAACTGCCATAACTGCTGACCCTTGTGAACTGAGTCAATTTCATGTCCATTACGACACTTCCACTTGTCACCTGAACTGTAACAGAGAAGATTTCTTGATTCTGGACATAAATATCTAAAGTCACAGTAAGCACTTCACCTATCCACTTTTCTCTAATGTTATCAAAGCGTTCTCCTCTGAGCCGTTCACAGGATTGAAAGCTAGAGAGTGGCCTTTTTGCTTGGAAGTTTTCAAGGAACTGGGTTTGTATGTTGTTATTGAGCTGACCTAAAGCAAACTCGGCTATGATGAAGTGAAATGAGTTTGTGTTGACTTTTGTCATCCATCCTTGGCAGATGCAAAGTGTAGATATAAGAAGACCAAGGTCATCACAAGTGCGGTTACTTAAGACTGGCTGAAGAAGGCCAAGATTCTGCGGCAACCATTCATTGCCAAACTCTGCTGCAATTGCCATAAGTGTGTGATGCAAATCGACAATGCTTACCAATCTGCCTTGATTTTGTTTCAGTATCCTTATTTTGTTTTTCCCTAGCAAGTTTTGAACCCTCTTTGGTATTATCATAAACAGGTGTGGTTGAAAAACTTCAAACCGCCCCTCCATTGTTCTTGGGTATGATCCATAATTGTTACCATGGTCTGAGAGTACTATGCTCAAAGTATTTGGATCAGAAGCTAACATATTAACAAAATTGGATAATGCTGAATCAAAAGTCTGAATCCTACATCCACTTTCCTCATGGCCTACATTTAGCATTGAAAAGGCAAACAGTGGTTTCTTTTCTGAATCCATATGTCCTTCTTTGATACTGTGTTCTAAATGTTCCAAAAACAAGGCATGGTAGTGCTTTCCTCCATAACACAAATTAGAAGGGCCGTGAAAAATGTCTGAAACTCCAAAACGTCTTAAAACTTCACAACTTGAGTGTGTTATTCCTGTAAAATCAATTGAGTTATTTTGTAGAACCCTGGCCAAGTTATGCCATATTCTGCTTAAGGTTAAACTTTTGTTCATAACTTTTAGGTTCCTCACCAGGCCCCACTCGTGAGCCCAACACATATCCTCTTGCCACATTGTCTGATATCCCAGTGATTTAAATTTTCCAAACATAACACCTGCTTTCACAGGAACTGGGTTTATAAACTCCTTTACATCACTAAGTTCCCCAGAAAATAAGGCATTAATGCTTTCAAACGTCCTTTGCTTAACGGCGTGAAAAAGCTCAAAATCTAGCACCAGTGATGAAGAATTCGAATTAATGCTTCGAAAAGCTTTAACAGTTTGAGGCAGTGAGCGATAGAAATGAGGTCTAGACACAGAGTCGATAAGAATGATGTTTACATTGATGAGTTTTTTGTTAGTCTCCCGTCGCGGTTTCTCGGCTGAAACACTTCTAGACGGAAGAATAAAAAGCTGGGTCTTGGCTGTGGGATTCCAGAATTCATCGCACCTCAGAAAAGCAAACGGGAAATAAGCATTTGTTGGTGTCGATTTAACATAATTGTTCAGTGTTTTCTCCACATCTTGAAGGAAAGAAAAATGTTTCCAGCTGAGAGATCCGTCCTCTGGATTAACGAAGCCCACAGAGATAATATCTGAAGACCCACAAGAGGTTATGTGACACTCGATTTTGGGAAGTCCCCAAACTGTTTTCTCAATTTTGCACAAATCCATCTGGGTGCTGTTGCAAGTCTGGTTTCTAGGATCCGTCGTGAAAAATGACTTTGCCAGGGCACACGCTTCTTGTCTCACTTTTGGTAAGCGACAAGACGAGGAAAAAGTTAAGGACGACACTTCTTGAACTGAAAGCGATGGACAAGCAGAATATGTCTTGTTCCTTGTAAGTTTCACTTGCTTCAGTTGGTAACGCAATTTTTTCTGCCATTCTAGGAGGGAATTCCATTTGCGACGCGACTCTGATTGTTGTGCTAGATGGTCAGATCCTTCCAGGAATAAAAATTGATAAATCAGAACTGTAGCGATCACGAATGCCAGCGAAAGGAAGAAAAAAAGTAACGACCTTTTTGCGTGACGAAATGTACAGAAAAACACAGCTGGGGGAAAACAAGGACGAAACATGAGGAAGGAACAACAAGGCATTAGACTGTTCTCGACATCAGTGATGAGAATTAACAGCTACGCCTGAAATGAGCTCAAAATAATAGACAATACACCTGTCCTTGAAAAGAAACCACACAATATACAGAAAACAATCGTCACTTTAAAACAAGATCATACGAGTCTGCACGTTTGTCATCATGAAAGTGAAGTGAGCCCGCGAAATTTACCGCATGTCAGTTCAATTCGTCATGGCGGAATATATGGAACGTGGTGAGGAATATCAAAGAAAGATTTCCACTGAATCAAACTCCAGAGCGCACCGAAAATGCAAAGAGAAACTTGACAGATCCTGTCGAGAATGTAAGTAGCTAGAATAGGCTAGGCATATCACCGTGGGGTGAATGAATAACGCCAATACATGTGAGGTGTGATTGCATCACATCACCGGCTCGTGACATAAAATCATAGTACGATTGATCGTGACTTGAAACGTTGTTATCATTTTTCAGCGCCATATGTGAAGTTTATGTTAAAGGCCATGAGTAACCTAGGGTGGTGAGTAACGAAAATTTCTATTATTTAACAATCTCCTTTTTGTTTACCCTTGATTCGTGTTGCAGATTGTATATCTTACCTCACCTAGCTCAGCCATGACTATTGAGCGTCAGGTGGTTTTTAGCCGACTAGGGTTTCTTTTACTAGGTGGTGTCCCAGCAAAAGGTCCCTGTTAGACCAAAAAAGCAAATAGTGCCAAACTGTCGCAATCAGTGACTAATACTCCACTAATTTGAGAGTCTAGGGAATAATTATCAGGATTTTCTACGACCATACATATTCAAGCTAAAAAATTAGATATATATTTTTGTGCCATGTAAATTGCTGGACTGTTGTTACAACTAATAATAGTGTGTTGGAACCTTTGAGGGACTGAGCTTTAGTGGGGCGAAGAGTGTGTATTGTGCCCCTCTTATATATGTCCTCAAACTTTCTTTGTCATTTACTTACAACTTAAATATAGTGAAGTGGATCCAGAAAGACATATGGTATGTGAACCATGTGACCCAAAGCTGATTGGAGGATTTGATCATGATACAAAGGAGGTAAGCTTGGAGCTCTGGTGTAGTCCTTAAACCATTTTCAACCTAACATAAGTATACATATTCTCCATACTGTTCTCTATACATTCCTTAAGGTGCTGACAAGGAGAATTTGTTTAACAATCAAGAGCTTCTATGGCTGGTGATCATTTCTTTTATCCTTGTGACTGTCATGTTTGATTCAGGGGTGATACTGTAAGGAGAAACTTGATGCTGGTCACTTGCAGAGGTCAAAGGATTGTAAGCTTAATGATGTTCAGGTCTTTCAATTTTATTGCTTAATTTCTTCCAGATGTTTTTATGCGAGAACACAATCTACACCCAAAAAGCAATGGACACCGTTCTCACTCATGAGCTGATCCATGCATTCGACAACTGCAGAGTCAAATACAATCCAGACAATGTGCGGCATTTAGCTTGTACTGAGGTATTCCATTCATGTGCTTTATATTAACTTATAGATTTCCAGTCATTTTGTTTTCATAACAGACTCACTAGGTTGTTGGGAAAATATTGACGACAGTTATTCAGGTTAAGTACTTGAATAACATAGGAGAGAGAGCCATCAACCTACACCAATGTGGCTCAAGTTGTGGTTCAACAGAGCTGGTGTGACGTGTAGGGTCTCTTGTTGGTTCTCTAAAGAAGGGGCAACGATATCCATACAATATCAAACAGACTAGTGATGAGAATAAATATGTCACTTATGGATTATTTCTTGATCCAATACCAAATTCTCTGAACTAACATCATAAGGAGTGTGTGGCAGACAGTAAGTAGAATTACCCAAATTAACAAAATTGTTCACCCATGCAAATTCCAAACTGTCATATGTAAGGATCTCTGACGATGAAATATTATGGCATTTTTAAAAAATTTTTTGTTCATATTAGTCATTTAGTATGATTTGACACTTTGTCTGGACTCTTTCCTTTTTTTAAGATTCGGGCAGCAAACCTTAGTGGAGATTGCTTTTTCTCAAGGGAGGCATTTGGACGATTCAAATTCAGATGGAAAGCTCATCAGCAGGTATCTTAATGCTGCCTTGTAGTTTGTTAATTTTTTGGTATTTCTTTCAGAGAGAAAGTTCGCCACTGGATATATTAATTAAATTGCATTAAGAAATATATATCCATAATGGAGAGAGTTCCCAATGGAATGGGAACACACTCACTTTATCCTAAATTTTGGAATGTTTCTCTTCTTAGATTGATGCTGAGCTATGTTCTTGAAAATTAAAATGAAAAGTAGCAAATAAAAAAGCAAACTGTATTTGAACACTTTTGAAGCTTATTTTTGAAACAGCATACTAAACCTCAACAAAAGGTAGAGATAACACTGCAGGATTATTTAAAATAAAAATATAATGCAGTAGTATTTTTAAGTAACCAGAAAATTTAGTTGCAGAATTCTGCATTGTAGCCAGAAAATTCATCAGTATCCTGTGGGATCAATAAGGCAAAATAACCACCTTAACCCCTACCCTTAATTTAAAATGATACCATTCAATTGTTGTTGTTTTTATTATTTTCTTTTTTTGGCAGGAGTGTGTCAAAGAACGTGCAGTAAAATCTATGTTATGTGTTAGAGACATATCCAAAGAGGAAGCTCAGGAAGTTGTAGAGAGTGTTTTTGATGCATGTTTCCATGATACAGAACCATTTGAGAGAATTCCTCCCTGACTGGTGTACAGCTTCAGAATAATAATATCCATGGACAAAAACAAGAACTAAATTTATTTCTAATGATGGAAAAGACATGCAAGGCATGTGAATTTCAGAAGGAAACTTCATATTTTGTAAATGTTGAACTTTTTGAGACTGTCTTTAAAGAGATTAAACCCCACAAAACATCAGCATAGTATACCATTTCATGGAAGAGGGATAAAAAGAGGCTAACTTTCAGTCCAGGATTACCACTAAGTGCTCAATGACAACTGGTGCCTGAAGTCTGGATAACAAGTTATAAACTAAGCAATCTCTTTTAATACCGCCCCAAAACTAAGTATAACTAAGTCAAGGAAAAATACTCAAAAGCCTTGCCTTCAATGTTACATTCACAGTGGTTTTGACAATTAAGACTCAAGACAAAAAGCCAAGGAGGAGGGTACAGTGCATCTGCACCCCCCCCACCCCCTTAAGGGAGTGGCAAAGTGGCACCCCTTATGTTCATTTAAGTAGTGAGGACACTTACTGTATCAAGTTATGTCAGAGCCAAACAAACAACATGAGTCAACATTTTATTGCAAAGCTAGACATCTGCTAGCAGTTTTTTTTTTTCCTTTCCTTTTTTTCAAATGGAGCAACAGCTTTTGAGAAGTAGAGACTGGGATGGGGTAGAGTGTGTCTAGACCCAGCCCCTTCTCATCCTGACCATGATCATGATACATTCACTTTCCTTCTAGACACTGCTACAAAATCCAGACAATAATATGTAAGAGTGCAAACGAAAACTCAGGTGTGGTCACTAGATCTTTGTTAAATTTATTTATTTGTTCTCAACACTGAAATTGGTCTGATAACATGCAAATTAAATGGAATGTTATTCAACAGCTTGTTATCCTGCAATAAATAAATATCCTGTGGTTCAGTGCCACTGTTGATCAAACAATGTGTGTTCCACTGGTTCATATGTTCCACTGGTTCTTAAATTTGCAGACTTCAAGCATGGACTCCATTCTGCACTGTTCTCTGCAGGGGTATTACACAAACACAGTTTTTTGCCTTTTTCAGTCTCCACCATCGACCCAGCCTGTGTTCTTGTCCAATGCCAGCTATCAAATTATTTCCATCGTTGGAAAAAGCTAAAGCATTTACAAAGCCAACCTGACAAAAAAATTATTAATAACTACAATAAAAAAACCTGTCAATCCCTGATAATAAAAAAACTTGTTCAAAAATTCATGTAAGTCTCGTGAGCATGAAAGGAATTCCTTTTACTCCCACCAATGACCAAGGCATAATTTCTCCTCACAGTATAAGCTAGAGATAAATGGAAATTTGTTACGGATGCGCCGGATATCTTTGGATTATTTTTGTCACCATCAAGGTTTTGTTTTCACGCATGCCGATAACAATTTGTTCGTCATGCAACTAACTACTAGTGAAATAAACTCAAGTCAGCATCATGTTTTCGTGCCGCTCTGTGGCACTCTTAATACAATAGAATTCACTTGAGAGGGGAAACACATGTAGGTGAGAAGTTTTTTCAATTCAACCAGTAGATTTTTAAATTGTCACATAACCCACACCTCCTGATTGCCTGCAGTGGCGCGCGTTTAATGCAAAATCAACAGATTACCTGCGGGTAAACGGCCGGAAATTACGGTAATCAGGATATCATCATTTGATCCAATGCTAAATTCTCAGAACCAATGTTGTAAGCATTGTATGGTATACAGAATGCAGAATAACTAAAGAGATCTTGGGAGTAAGGGGGTCAAGAGGCATGCCTTTTTTCTTTCTGTGGCCTCTAATGGAACAAGGACAATCTTAAACATCTGAAAGTAAGATTCTCATGCTACATGTTGGTATTATGTGGTTTCCCCTTGAGACACCAGTAGTTTTGCACATTTCAGGAAAAAGACAAAATATTTTGACATGCTTACCATTGATACAGAGAAGAGCTGCTTAAGACTTCTGAATCCATCACCACATTCCCAGAGTTTGATACATGAATCACAAGAACCTGCTGGCAAAAGTTTCCAGAGACATCACTTCTAATGAACTACCTATCTTTGTCTCAAAATTCAAGTTTTTATACCATCATCAACCAAACAGTTTTGACAAAAATCTCAGTGCAAGTCATATTAAGGATGAATGAAAATGACAGTGTGAATGACTTATCCCAAAAGTTCTCTTAAAGGAAAGTGTTACCTGAAGCCAAGAGATCTGTACTTCGTAGTGATGCAATTGATGTTATCCAACTTTCATCTGGAATACTGTCATCTGAACTGCCATCTGGTTTACTATGAGCATTTAGTATTGTGCATAATGGCTTTTTCTTTGAAACACTCCATAGGGACAGTGAGCTGTTGGCAAAATGAAATTAATGGGATAAGAAACTAAATGAAATTAAAAAAAAAAAGAGTATTCAGGAATTTCAAAATTAAAAATGCAGAAACTAATGAGACTCATGGTGCCTAGACTTCTCAACTTAAGTTTTATAAATTTTTATTTTCAAATGATTATTGTTTCATTTACTGTAGATGCTAAAAGAACACAGCTCAGAGAAATAATTTATATTTACATGAAATGAGACAAAGAAGAAGGCCAGGTACTTCATACTTGCCTATTGTCTGCACCAGAAACCATATGCTCATCATTTATCAACTGTACACAATCAAGGGACCCTCTGTAAATGATAGTGCATAATGTCAGTTAGCAACAATATCAACTGCAAGACGATGACAATAATTGAGGAAAGAAATTAAAGGACTGGGGGGGGGGGGAAAGGGAGAATGAACACTATTAAAAAATTAAAAGGTCACAATTTCACAGTCTGAAGGAGCTGATCTTCACAGGACAATTTTTTGGCACAATTTTATGAAAATCCTTAAAATGTTCACATTGTTACAAAACTGAGGTGTAATCTAATACAGAGATCTTTGCAAGCTGAGGGAAATCTGATTTGAATTTGATGAAAAAGGGTATCTGGTCTAATACAAACAAACATAAGTACTTTGTTTTGGTCCTACACAGTTAATTTTTAGAATTTTGTGCTTTGCATTACAATTCATGAGAGGTCAAAATAACTCTTAACTTACATATTTCCTGGTGCATTGAAAACTAGTTGTGATTCTTCCACAACTTTCCAGACACGAAGACTTCTGTCTCTGCCTCCTGCACTCACAGCTCTGTCCCGTGTCAAGCTGTCAATAGCTGTTACACCATCTTCATGTCCAAAGCTAGTAGTCATAAAAAGCATAAGATAATTCAATAAGAATGGAGAAAAAAAATGCCATCTACTAAACAACTAAAACTCACAGAGTTTCTACGTAGGCCATCTCATCCAAATTCCAGATTTTTGCTGTGCGATCATGGGAGCAACTAAATAGCTGATGGGTTCCTCGCCTAAAGGCTAAACCCTGTGAAAAAAAAAGAGAGAGGAAACATGAAACAGTTTAATCAAGAGCCAAGTTTTGTAAAAAGGACAGTGCTTCAAACAATAATAAGTTAGACTCACTGAGACAGCATCCTTGTGACCTTTGAATGTATGAACATGCTGAAGTGAAGCAGGATCCCAGATGTGAATTATTTTATCTCTACCTCCACTAGCCTGGGGGAAATAAAGTACAAAAACAGTAGTTTGGCCATGAGAATTTCCATACCACCTGTACACCTGTAAGTTCAACAGCCAAAATAGAACTGTTTTCATGCTTTGAGCAACACAGACCTTCTTGTACCTCTTTGGTCATTCTTCCCATTATCAATTTTTTTTAGTACTTTTATTTTATCTGAGTTGATTTTACATGTTGCCAAAAGCAGCTTAGAGTATTACTCTGTCAAACCATAAATAAGAAGCTTTGGGGCCTATATTTCAACGAACTGCTTTTATCATCAAAAATGAAATAACAGAAACAGTTGACCTTTAAGTTTACAATGTCATTATTTTACACCCAGATGGTTTCCCTCACCAGAAACTTTCCATCAGAAGTAACAGCAAGACAGAGAACATGTCCTTTATGGCCTTTGCTTCCTTCACTGGCCTTGTGACAACCTAGGATCTTACCCTCCTTCAGGCCTGTTTCAATATTCCCTGTGAACAAATGAACCGTCTCAGAAACATCTTTTAATTTTCATTTCCATAACCATAGTAGGGGAAATGAGCAAGGGAAGAATAGGCTAAGCTACATTAAGGGATAAAAGAAACTAAAACAGGTAACCAGCTGTGAAAGCAAAGAGAGAGAGAGGTCTTTGAGGCAGATTCCTAATCTGTTCATAAATAATAGTACCTGTGTGAAATTACTTTTTTTGTTTTGTTTTGTTTGGAGACAGAGTATGCACAGTGTATGTTGTGGAATTCAAACTATAAACCAAGTAGCTGTCTATACATGTCACTGTTTAATGCTGATAAAAAGAAGGTGAATGTGTACTTCAGGTAATAGGTCGGCTTAGTAAAAAAGAACAAAAGGAGTAAATTTCTTAGAAACTGTGGTGCTGCATCAGTAGGAGAGTATATCAGGGTAATTTAGTATTATCAACTGAGTTGATAATGTAAATTGGCCACCGTGAAGAGTTTTGAAGTTGACATTTCAAGCATTAACCCTTCATCAGAGCATTATCAACTCAGTTGATAATACTAAATTACCCTGTTAAATCAAAAAAACATTTTCTTACATTTGATAATTGAGCAGTCTTTTGAAGCAGAAAAGACAAACTTATCATCTGGTGACACACAGAGACAGGTGACTGATAACTGATGACCTTTAAGAACTCTGATAGCAGCAGGGGAGGGTTGAGTGTACTAAGGAAAAAAAATACAAATTTACAAGCTACAGTTTCCATCCATGACAATCATTCTACAAAGAGAAACACCCCATAAGCCATACTCTTTGCCTAATATCATTGTTTTTTCTGTACACTGCAATTGTTTACAGGTCAGTTCTGACTGTAAACCAGAGCAGTCCTGGATTCCTTTCAAGAAAAAACTCAAAATTGTTCTTTGCTAAACACACATTCAAACCACCCCAATCAATACAACATATCACATATTACAAGTTGAGTTAAATGTTTTGTAAATAGCCAGATAATTAACTTGTTGTCCTCTAAGGTTTGCTCCAGCAAATAAAAAATGAGTGAATTTTACAGTGGAAGGACTTGTCTAACAATTTTATACCTGTGAGGCCACTCTTTTCTGAAACCTGCCTGTTTGCTCAAGCTGCAAGAAAAATCAAAGAATTACAGTTGGAGGGTGAAATTTTCAGCTATCAAAACTATACCTTTATCGAGTAATATGTCTGAAAACAGTTCTGAATCATGAAAGGTGCCCAATCTATTATAACTGAAAAAGAGATATATTATAATTTTTATTATACATACAACATCCTGTTTCAGTCTGTGAGCTATAGCATCATGGTCTATGTCATCTGACTCTTTCTTTTCTTGTTCTGAAAAAAATTAACACAGGAACATCAAAAATTTCAGTGCAAAGAATTAGACCCTGCATATTAAAATAAGCAGTGCAGAATAATTATCCAGGTGGATGTAAAACTCAAAAGTATGTTAATTTTTTTTCTTTCTCTGATGTTGATGCTCTCAACTCTAACTTTTGAAACCTTGGCATTGAAAACAGTACTTGCTCTCACCCAAGGATTCATCCCATATCTTATCATGCAGTTTGGTTATCTGGATGACAATAGTCCTGAAAATAACTTCTGTCTTAGATAACCACTGGTACCTTGACAACCAAACCAGAAGTCATAGACAGAGTCAAGAAGATGAGTTGTTTGTCAGTTGAGCGCTTTTAGCCTGGTTCATGAAAACTGATTGGCCAGTTTGCCTTTGCGATATTGCTTGACATGTCACTCCAGTAGCCTGCATCAATTGTGACTGGTCAATTTTAATCCTTCGGATAGGTGACCATGCATTGTTCTGCTAAGTTTATTAAAAAAAGGCCCTTTGAGTTTCATTGGAGACTGGCTGCTCATCTCAGTACAAGCAATTAAAACAATTTTAAGAATGGTTTCAACAACAAAGCAAATTTACCACAGAATTTGAAAGCAACTGAGCAATTATACTAATAAACTTATCTGCCTCAGGCTTAGTGAGTATTGTTTAATAATCCCCTAAGCATTATTCAACAATATTCACTTTGCCTTCCAGGAATAATTGTTAAATATACAGAAGAAAATACTGTACAAAAAGATCTGCAGGTTAAAATGCAGTGAAACGCAAAGTTAAGTTCAGGATTCTGGTATCAAAGACTTAAGCTGTAGCTGAATGTTTTATTGATTTATAATTAACCCTTTAAATCCCAAGATTTCATTAGTAATTCTCCTTACTGTCTGCCATACAATTTAGTGATGTTTGTTAGGAGAATTTTGAATTATATCAACCAATAATCCCCTAATTGATATTTTTCTTTATTCTCATTACTTGTTTGCTTGATATAGTACTGATAGTGTAAGGAGAAATTCTGTCTAGGTCATTAGTGGGACTTAAAGGGTTAAGCTGAAATTCTTGATGGGTAATTACTTATAGCAAGAGCAATCACCTTCTTTTTCTAATTGTGCAAGGTACTGCTTTGCAAGGCGAAGTCGTTTTTCTTGTGCTGTCTCATGATCACTACTCTCTTCTTCTCCAGGTATGTCTTCCACTTTGTCACTAAAAGAAAGATTAAATTAACTCATAATAGAGAAATGTGATCATCTAACCAAACTAAACTAAAATTTGAAGCCATTTGAAAATTGTCCAGCCCAAAACAAGAAGTTAAATTCATAAAGAACAAAAAATGGCTCCTCTGCAGTTAAAAATTTAAGGGGTTGATAAAATCTACAATCTTGGGAATAATTATAAGCTTTCCTCGACCTGTTACAAACTGACATCAGTATGCTTATTCTCCATACTGTTCTCTATACATTTCCTCAAGGACTGACAAGAAGAATTTGTATAACGATCAAGAGCTTCTTTAGTACGTTAGTGATCATTTTTTTTTATTCTCTCGACCTTAATGTGTGATTCAGGAGTAATAATGTAAAGAAAATTTAGATGCTAATCACTCTAAGGGGTTAAAAGGTTAAGCCTTTTTATGTTCTTACGATAATATAAATCCATGATCAATCGTTCGAACACAGCTGCACGATTTCTCAGTACCTGTCTAGTAAATAACTCACTCGATAGCGTTTTCAGTACGATCATACCTTGGAACATCTGAATCGCTCCCAAATTCATCTTCATCTATATGTTCCGCTTTTGATAGAGACTGTTTACCCCTTTGCTTCTTATTTCTGAACCCAGAAATCTGTGAAATACAGTAAAATGTTTGTGAACGATAGAAACCACGTGAGTATTATGTTTAACCACTGGAACTCAATCGAAAGATCAGATTTACTCCAAAATGCGACCAAAGCCAAAAAATTACTTCAAAATTGACTCTTTTACCATAAATTTCCTTACCTGGGACGATTTTGCTTGTCTTTTTCTAGGTTTTGATGCAGAACCTTTGCTATCAGACATGAAAAACCCCGACATCTTGTTTTTACGGCTGCGACTGGACTGGGTTCGAGTATAGAGTATAGATTCTCTAATTGGTCAGTTTTCTTGGACCGGTTCACAAGGTACTTTTTATCTATCATGCACACCACCTTTTGGTGCTTCAGCCACTGCTTTTAGACATTAGGGAACTAGCCGAAGTTATCGGCGAACTGATCTCAGTATCTAGTAAACCAACCTGGGTTGTTAACGGAACAACATACTACGTGAGGAAACCTGCCTAGGACGTAAGGGAAGCAACAAAAGAGGTTTGGGAACTTGCCTAAGGCGTTAGCCAACATAAGACGTGGGCAAACGAACCCTAAGCCTCACTGAGCCGAACTAAGTCGAAAGCGACTAGGCGGTAGCGAATCAACATGAGACGTCAACGAGCCAAACTGAGACATGAACGAGGTAACATACGACGTAGAAAACCAACCTACCAGAAAGAGCGAAACTTGGGCCCAGTGTAAACCGTTTAGCCTAATAGCTATCATACAAACACTATCTTTAACTGACAGTCAACAAAATTTATTGCGGGGTAAGATGTCGAAAAATTCAGCGATGTAGCTCGAAATGTGGCAAGCAGCATGCAGGAAAAAAACATACAGTCTTAAAGAATATAACCGTTTCGTGTGGTTAATCGGTGAGTAGCTTTTCTAGAAAAAGGGGGCCAAGACAACAAATATTTGCGGCTCTTTTTCTCTGGTAAGGGTTGGAGGATCTCCGTTCACGCGCTAACGCCCTGACAGCAGTATGGCGTTCTGACACGGAATATTCGTTTAACAGTCGCAATTTTTTTAAGCTGGTGATCATTTCCTTTATTCTCAAAACCTCAATATTTGATTCACGAGTTGTAATGTAAGGAAAAATTAGACAGCTTGTCACTCTTAGGGGTTAAAGGATAGTAAGAACCCTCAGCTAGATTTCATGTTTATGCTGAAACCTTTTTACGCGGCTGCGTCAGAAGAGCCCTCTAGAATAAAAGAAGACTAGAGAGACATTCCAAACGAACAATTTCCTTTTGAATACACTTAATGTCTTGTTTATTCAAATAAGGTAAAATCTGTTGTGGTAAGATTACGGCTTTTTTAGAACGCTTTCCCTAACAATTTAAATGACCCCAGAGGTAAAAACCTAAGTACGATAAGGAGAAATTCAAGCAGTATATATTTTCGTTATTTTCACTTAAACTGATTCCCTCAAACATTGGTGACGTTGTATGCAGTTGTGATATCAATTCAGAAACTACCATAGCCTTGCACTTATTTCTTACCAAAAAGATGACGGAGTGTGACAAGTAATGGCAATGTTTAAAAACGATCAGCATTGCATTCATTCAACTTTTGCCTAAACAAACATAATTTCACCAAAGCTAGAGATGTCATTAAAAAGGTCAAAACTAAATGTCTAAAAACTTACGCAATTTATTTTAACTCCAGTGAGTTACTGTCTTTTCTGAAAAGGCGTTAGCCTTCAATTTGACTTTTAAGTGATTTGGTCGCAGCGACACTATATGGTAAAACCAAACCAACAGCAACATTGAAATATTACAAAAAAAAGGGTTATATTGTTTCTAGATTCTACAGTAGTGACAAGTTTTCTGGTATTCTGAAATATGCTTGCATATCATAAGTTTACTCAACGAGCATCTAGTGCAGAGAAAGAAAACTTTGGTTTAGGAGTTGAAAAAAGTATCATAGGGGCTCTGAAAACTATGATAGAATGCCGAAGAAGCAAATGTCATCAAGAACACGCAAAAAACGTTTTGTGAATGACATTGAAGAGAAGGAATATTCACTTTTGACGAACGAAGAACATAGAATTCTAACGCTAGACAATATATGGTAGGCAACTTTGGTCGAATGAAGAAACACATACACACAGAACGATTTAAAAGGACACTTATCATTAGTCTCGGTGAATTATTCGGTCAGACGAATCAATCGAAAAACTGAGGAGGCGCTACTTCAGATTTCTATTGTTTAAACCCTTTCCCGCCCAATATTTCAGGTTTGAATTCTCCTAACTGTTTCTCCTAAATCTTCTTAATGTAAGCTCTGTGAATCTGGTCTTGAATCAAACTATATCCCGAGAATGATGCTTATATTTTTTTCTCAGAAATTGTCGTTGGGAATATTGTTGGGAGAAATTACTTTTTAGTCACTCATGGAAGTGAAAGGGTGAATTTTGACATGGAAAATAATTTGGCATTGACTAAACTGTGACTATAAGGATTAAATAGCCGGACAGTTCCGATTAATGAGTTCGTCTGGCCGACCGATACTAGCCAATGGTAAGCGCCCTTGAAGTTAACCCGACCCTTAGACACTGAATGTGATTTGCGATCGATGACTTCTTCAGCAAGGGGCGTCTGTGGGTTCCACTAGGATTTCGTTTACAGAGCAGTGAGCGGGTTGTGTGACGGCATAGATAACAGCATTCGCGACATCGCAAGGGTCAAGTCTTTTTACATCGTCGCTAACTTCGTATTTTTCCCGAGCCTGTGAGAGAAATAAGAGAAGTAAAGTTAAAATTCCTCGTTACTGCTCCATCTCTTTGTAAATCGGATTAAAATAAATTTTGTCAAGGAGGAAAGAAGAAGGGTCACTCGAGATGAAGAAAACCATCCCTTAATGCGTATGAAGCATGCGAGGCAAGGAGTAAAAGATCATTCAATTTTTATAAACGTCGAATTCTGACAAGAACCTCCACATGCAGTAGTCATTCACAGCTGGCCTGTATTTTTCACTACTACTAACCCTAACCCTAAGTAAAAATTTGAGAAAACCAAACAACTAAACTCGTAAAGAGAGGATTTACTATTTGGTTATAGGAGTTTATTTAGCTGTGGCAAAGTATTCACATGTAGCGTGGGATCGATAAATCAATGTCAGTACCTGAACAACTGAGCACCTACCCCTCCCTTAATCTAACAACAGTCAATGAAAACAAGTTAGGATTAATGTTGGGTTAGAGGAGGGGTAGATGTTTCAATTTGTGTTCTTTCGATTTAAGAAGACGTTTCCTTCTTCAGTCTTTTTTGGGCGAGTTCCATAACCTACATAGAATTCGTTCTCAAAATCATACTGATAAAAAAAAAAATCACCCAGTCAAGGTGTTTCCTGCTTTGTTCCTCTCAAAAAGATAATTTCAGACATTTTTCATGTCTTTCTGCGAATGATAATCATTAGAAAACTCGATGTCTGAGCATGTTTCTGATTAGTAACCCGACCACATGCCCCTGGGTCAATATCAAAATAAGAACAAACCTCCTCATCTGAGCTTTGGAAACCAAACTCGGTGGCTACATCACCTGCAAGAGAATGACGAATGTCAAATAAAGTGCTCCCGATTGAGAGTCTTAAAACCAAAACCAGAATAATTTAAACGGCCACTCAAAGGTAAATATTGGAAGTGGCCAACGAGAACTGAGAGCAAATACAAGCAAACGGCTCAAGCGCGTGAAAACACGAGTACCAAGTCATGAGTGGTTTTAGGTTTGAACTAATTTGATTGATTGATGGGGTGGCGCGAGGTTTGTGGACCAATTACAGAGCAAAGTTTAAGGCAACACTGATGGGGTCTGCGCTCTTTGAGTCGTTTAGGAACACACGCATCTCCCTCAACCGATCAGATTCTAGGCTCAAAAAAATAAATCATGACTTGATCGTTTGCGCTTTCCTACTCTCCAGGCCGTTTGCTTGTTTCACTTTGAGTTTTAATCGCTCTCTCGTGATGCTCCCCTGTTCTGACCAACTGTTGTTTGATACTTCCATTTCGTTCTACTAAGTTGAGAATTTCTCCAAGAGAAGCGAACCGCTGAGACTGTCAAAGCTCTTCACTGTTGTGATCATACCTGGTTGAATGGACGTGACCTTCACTCCACTTCCGACCGTCTCCAGCCTCAAGCTCTGAGTCAAAGCTTCAACAAAGAACTTCGTGGCAGCGTACACTGCTAATCCAGGAAAAGCCTGAAAAGGAGGATGTTGATCAGCTATTATAAACAACAGGCCACGTCAGCACCATGCCGAAGAAATTTAAAACGGCGTTTTCACTCACTAGATACACTGAGACGGTCAAAAACTCACATCAAGCTTGGGTTAACTCTTCATGTTTGGACCAAACCGGCTCTTCACACCATAAATACATGTACTCACCTTTCGGCCGGCGTTTGATGAGATGTTAACGATGTGCCCCCGCTTTCTTTCCAGCATTCCTGGAAGAACAGCACCGATGCAGTTCATCACACCCTGATGACGAGAATTATGCCAAACCAAGTAAATCATCTCAAGAAATTATTATCTTCATTTGATTTTAAATATGATATTCCAAAGTAGTAGGCTACCGAGTCAATAGCTGAGACACTGAGCCAAAGGTTAGACGTTCCGTTAAGCTGCTTTCCGCTACATTTCGTTACGTTACGTCGCCTTATGTTGCGTTACGTACGTTAAGTTACGTTGCCTTGTGTTACGTTACGTACGTTACGTTACGTTGTTGTTACGAACTTCCCCCAAAGTTGACGTGAAAGGTATTTACATCAACCAATTATGGAATATATATCAAATATTCTTTCCTTCATATATAATTTGGATCAATCACCTATACAAACAAAAAAGAACTAGCACAAAAATTTGCCTCGCCCCAACGGTAACTTTGCAGCTCAGTTAGTGATAGTGACCGACCCAACGGGCATCTGGTGGGCGAAGTTTCATTCCCCGTTAAAACCTGAATTGTTTGCTCAGCCTTTACCTTATTAAATTTTTCTTAACTGAATTTTACCTGTGAGGACGTATTGTAACTAGGCACAAGCTTAGTACCAAATGAATTTGATAATTGACTCAAGACCATGAAACACCCTTACTTTGCAGTTGACATCAACCATTTTCTCCCACTCTTCAAGATTACAATTCTTCATTGTGGTGTAGAATCCAAGACCAGCACAGTTTATTAAGATGTCCACAGGTCCTAGTGTGTCTTTTGTATGCGACACTAGGTCAACGACCTGGACATAAGTAAAACAAACAAACAAACAAAAACGCAAACAGAACATTTATAAAACACCTATTAAGAAAAAAACGAACACAAATTCGTGTTGTATTATAAAGTAAGCCTGACAAAATGCCGGGGGGGATCTCTTCGATGACAATTCATCCCATCAGGGGGAGTTTACTCCTATTGGGTTCATGCTATGGAAATCTTTTAAAATGCAGTAGCCATGCGAGTCACAACGTTCAAGGCTCACCAAGATCACCAAATGTTGTTTGAGGGTGTGATGATAATCCCACATTGGGGATCAAACTTGAGAGGTGATTTTTGAAATCAAGAAGGTTGTTCATTGCACACAGTTTATGTTTCAACACTGTGTTGTGTGTATGGTAACTTTTACCTGTTCAATGGTGATCACATCGGTTTCCACTGAAATTGCCACGTCTCCTAATTCCGTAATATCATCTCTGATTTTGTCCAACCTGTAGAGTTGATTGCACATATCTAAGAGGGTTAACGGATTTGCACCACACTCAAACCCAGATTTCTGGATTTATTATTACAATGGGCATCTATCGATACGTCAAACGCTTATTAGAGCCAACGGTGACAGAACAGAAACAAAATTGAAGATTTAGATATATGAAAATTCACAATTTGCACTGCGGTGGAAAGATGAAATTAGAAGATCCTCGCAGCTAAGAACACTACTGAAACTAGTAGTTGTAAGTAGGACCTGAAAAAAATTCAGGCCCGTACGGGATTTGAACCCATGACCTCTGCGATACCGGTGCAGCGCTCTACCAATTGAGCTTGAGATATATGAAAATTCACATGTGAATTTTCATATATCTAAATCTTCATTCACTCGGATGTTTATTTGTACCCAATTCATTGACCAGCTCCCAGTTGGCTTGTTAGCTCAATTGGTAGAGCGCTGCACCGGTATCGCAGAGGTCATGGGTTCAAATCCCGTACGGGCCTGAAATTTTTTTTCAGGTCCTACTTACAACTACTAGTTTCAGTAGTGTTCTTAGCTGCGAGGATCTTCTAATTTCAGAAACAAAATTGTTTTTATATTTCACACCTTTCTTTCCGCCTGGCAGCTAAAGCAACTTTGGCGCCATTTTCTGCAAGAGCTCTAGATACTGCTTCACCAATTCCACTGGACGCTCCTGTCACTATGACAACCTTATCTTGAAGAGGCCTTGGACCTAAGAAACAGGAAAGGTGTGTAGAGTTAGTTACTATGAGTAAGGATGTCAAACGAAAGCAAACACGGATGCATGTTAAAGGATCTACGCCACGGCATTCATTGTGAAAGAGGAGCAAATAAAACAACAATGTAAATTAACATCTTCCTTGCAAAGAAAAACACCAAAGAGGTAAAATGGACCAAAGGGAATGCGGGTGGCCTGAAATGGATCTGATCAAAACAGGTTTCTCATAACAACATATGGCTAATTTTTCAGGACGCAACTTAGCTGCGACTTACCTGTTTTAAAATTTGAGCCCAAGTACTCAAAGTTTCTCTGTCTTTCTTACAAACTGTTGCGTAAAACTCCCCGACAATTTTGTTCAGGACCTCCGGTTCATATTTTTGCTTGTGTATTATTAGCTAGTAAGCATATGCTTTTTGTCGCGTAATTTGGGATAAATCAGCACTGGTAAATTTTTTAAAGGCTAACCAAATTGCATCAGCCCGTTAGTTGGTTATCCTTTGAAAAATTTACGACGTACGGTTAAGACAGAATTACTTCAACTTTTTGCTTGTACTTATGGTAAGTAATGGGGAAAGTTACTCTAAAATCACTGCACCTTTTAACCTGATCTTGATTCTCGGCAGAACACATTGGGCGGCCAAAGAGGAAAAGTAACTTGACAAAAGTTCGCCATTGAAGACAGGGAACCCCACTTTAAACCGCTCCATAACTCCTTTAAAATTTGTCGTAGTGTAAGTGCTTAAGTTTGACAGAAAGGACGAGTCTCTGCAGAAAATAAGTATATTATTATCTATATTCTTTTAATATTAATATAATAGTGTTTACCATAAATACTGCGACCTGATTGGCTATGTAACTCGCTGTCTATTCCGTGATAGATAGTTGGTTGGTTAACTCTTTGATCCCTAAGAGTGACTTGCATCTGATTTCACCTCACAATATTACCCCCAAATTAAACGTTAAGGTCACAAGAATTGAGGGAAATATCACCAACGCAGGGGGCTCATAATTGATACAAAACTTCTCCTTGCCATCACCTAAGAAAATGTTTCGAGAACACTATGGAGAATATGCAAACTGGTGCTCAGGTGTAAAGGTTTAGTGCGTAGCCTATAAGTGTTCGGTTGTAATAGAAACATGAAAGTTTCATGTATCTATAAAATCGATATGAATAACAATATTTTCTATGCGAACCTGTCTTGTTGTTAAGTTTCGAAAGGCTATTAGGTTTTTATGAAAACAATCATAAAATTTACTCTCGATTTCTATCAGGCGATAGATATCTGCAGCCTACAATCTAATTGTAATTAGTATGCTTTTCGCAAAGGGTAAAATGAACGACACTGTGTTGTGTACGCAGCAAACGCAAGTTTGTGCCACGGAAATCGCCTTTGGTTGTACATCTGACCGGTTGGTTAGAAGGAACAGGGTTCGAGACAAATCCCAGCGAGTAGCTTCAGAGAAATCCGAAAGCAACTCCTTGAAAAAAACAAAAACTAGCGATCAATAAATCTTAGGCAAATGGGCCTGCCTAGCTGGCGTTCGGCAAGAACTCAAGAGAAACGTGCGTGAGAGACCAGACTCTCCCGCGCGTGACTTGTCGCACGTGCATGTTGGATTAAGTCAGCCACTGTCTTACACAAAAATACAAATACTCACGTCATCCAGATATCGAGAAGGCGCTGCAGAGGAGCAAGTCCACTTTTCGGGTTCCCAGTGGAGTAAGTTTCAATTCTGTTAACAGAAGAGTAAAGGTTAGAGCAAATACCCCCTAAATAAATCGGTATTTAAAAAGGGTACATCATACACTTTTTCAATCGTTTGATTAACAAAAATCGTCTGCCAAAACCGTCTTCAACTCAGCCACAAGGCTCTCCTACACGTTGGATTCTGAGAACATTTCTTTATCCCAAACAACCTACTCTCTTAGGAAGAAAACTGTATGTCCACTGATTGTCTAAAACTGCACGCCGGCGCACAATGTTGGCGAGACCACTACCCATGCATCTTTTTGCTTTGACAGGTTCAATTCAGTCTACAAAGGATGCTGCATGCCGAGCTGATAAATTTATGTCAAGCAACGGCAATAGGAATAAATAGAATAAGAGAGATGGTAAGTTTTGAGCTCGGTAAAGAAACAGAGAAAGATGTTTTTCGTTTGTCTCTGTGGCTCAGTGGTAAAGCATCGGAGCTCTGAGGTTCGATTCCTCATGGGGTCTCAGATTTTTTTCTTTGTCCCACGCTCGTGACAAGACGAACACCATCTTTATCTAGCAATACGAATGTTCCTTACGCCTTACGCCACTCCGGAAAGGAGACCATCTCCAAAGGATATCCAAAAGTACGCATCCACTCGAACAACCATCTGAAATAAACGTTATATGCTTTATAACTGATCGACCTTGAAATTTCAGCTTTGGAAACTCTTTACGGTGGCCAATTTACATTATCAACTCATTCTCTTGTAAGACCCACCACCGATGCAGCAAGACGGTACCACTCACCCCCTTTATTCTCACTTCATAAGCAAAGCTTGAACTGTGACGTAAGGTAAATAATAGAGACGATTCCACCTGAACCAATGAGCAATTGAGTCAAGCCTGAGTAGAGTTGGACTCTTTTCAGCTCATTGCCCCAACTTTACAGTCCTTAAGTCTTAAACTTTGGAATGGCGTTCTTTTATAAACGATATGTGTTAAGGTTTAGGTGAAATTTATTAGGAAAATGTATATGTTCAATTTCCATCTGCCACCTGTAACAATTTTCATAATCCGTGATCATCCTTGTGCCTTCCCAGTTAATCATCACTGCTTTTGTGTTTCTCTATCGTACCGAGCTAATATTTTAACGCCGTCTCCTTCAAGATGCAACAAAATAAGCTTAAAAATGCTCCAGTCCACAGAAACGTCAGCCTTAGAAACTCTTTACGGTGGCCAATGTAGCTCATCATCCATCATCTCAGTTGAGCACACCAAATTTTTCTTGTAAATTCCACCCACCCTTCCCCCCTCAGACGTTCCATGGGAACAAATAACCACAAATTTGGGGAGAAAAAAAGGTGGAAAGGGCGACGTGCAACGGGTAACTATAAAACGACAACCACCTTATTATGTAAAGTTTATCCTAACATCTCATTTGGTTTGATTAACGATAGTTTTACCACGCAACATTGTAACTTCACTGCATGTCTCGTGAGCACGAGACTTTAACTTATCAGGAACTTCTATAATCAGAGCCATCCAGAAAGATCGGTCAATTTTTTTCCTTCATCCATGGTGATAAATTTTTCAATAAATAAATAAAAAAAAAACTGGAAAATTCTCCTAAAGATTTGTATCCTTTTCAAGTCTAAAGAGCAAAACAGCCTGTTCCGAATGATGGTTGACGCGCTTCCTTTAGGTTGCATGCAAAGCAGATCTCCATTTTCAGCGGGCCTCTCCTATTTTCTACTTCATGCTTCTGAAAGGATTTGTACTTACTTTGCATTCAAGGGCTGTGGATTCACGATATGATAAACTTTTCCCAGTGTCGTAGACATTTCCTACACGGCGCAATAGTGAGAAATCAAAGGAAAACCAATTAAGCCACATGGATTAAGTAATTAAATTATTTTTTAAGTGCAATCGCGTAAGAGATGAGCTTAAAATTCATCGATAAACAGCAGAATTCTTACCTGGGTCATTTTGACTATCATTTCGCTGGCAAAATCTACAGGATTCATTTCTACTTGCCAGTCAACAATGGGCGCAGTTAATGTTTCAGTAACTCCTTTGAAAACTAACAGTGTAAAATCAAGTGGATTCCACTGAAAGTTCTTCTGGTCGCCTGCAAGATTTCCTAAAGAAACAGATTATATAATTAAAGTTGATTTTTATCTTCATAGAAATATTTTTCAATGTTGATCGGGATCGACCAAAAACTGCAAAGATCATGGGACTTAGACACACGTGCCCAAGAATTTAGCGTGACTATCATAAGACTTACTAAGCTAATAGGACACGTTTTAGGAAAAGAAATTAAACGTAACTTGATACATATTTGTTACATTTGGCGACCGAGGTAATGTTGAGTCGAACGAAAGTTTACCTTTGGATGGCGTTTCAAAACAAACCGTGCTAAGTTCGTGTAGTGCGGCCGCGGGCAGGCGTTTCGGACTTTGTGTTTTAACCCCTAAACTCCCATGAGTGACCAAAACAGAATTTCGCCCAACAATTTAACATAATATCAAGCAGGCAAGTGATAGGAAGAAAGAGAAACATCAATTAGGGGATTACTAGTTGATCCAATACCAAATTCTGCAAATTGATATCATAAGAATTGTATGGCCAATAGTAAGGACAATGACTAATGAGATCTTGGGATCGAAAGGGTTAAAAAATCGGTCTTCCATTAAACAGCCACTTGTGCTATGTTCAATAAATCAGTAAAACCGCTTTTGAAATAACCTCAAAAAATCTTGTTGAAGGTCGTAGCACACAAAATCGAAATTTTCACATTTCAGCTTTAGAAAAGAAGGTGATTTTATTCTTTAGCAAACACGAAATGGCGTATCTTTTCTAGTGCATGAAGTAATATATGCAATTTTTGCAGTCGTAGAGAGTGAAGCGGCTTCAGTCGTAATATTTCGTTAAAGTAATTTTCGTTCGGAGATACAACAGAACGTAATAATCAAAATTGTTATTTTATGTTATTATCGGGCTTTAAATGTCAAAGTTCGACATTAAAGTTCGAAGATCGTTAATTCACAGGTGTGTGTTCTGTTGTAACATGTTTTGGTAACCGAAGGACGCTGCTAACCGCATTAACGTGTAGAACTAATTGTAAATCTGCTAGTGTGTCGACCAACGTAGGGATTGTCCCTTGTGTGACAGCAAGTCAGCAACATGTTGTGACCTTTAATTTTTTTTTTCCTCAAAATACTGAGCAGGATGTATTTCCTAATATAATAGTCGTAAGTGGGGTGTTTGGCTGAGTATTTCTCTAAAATAAAGGGAAGGGGGGGTGTGGTTAGATATAAATGGTTCTTTCACTTTTTTTTTTTTTGATTGAACACCAACTCTTTGATCAATCTTCCCAACAAAATGCTTTCGTTTGTTTCCTTGAAACTGAGTTTATTAAGGAAAATCCAAATTATTGGTACCAAGTTTCGAAAATGGTTTTTTTAACGTAAAAAAAATCTTACTCTAAATAAAATGTCGGTGTGTAAATTCATTTCAATATTCTGTTACGTCCCTAAGTACATCCAATCACTTAGCGTTTTGCGGTTTAATTCAGTTGACCTTTTGCTTTATATGGAACAGAAATTATTAAAGTAAATAAGAGCCACAACGAGTGTTGAATTAATCCAAAGCATTAACACATGTTACCCATACCTAATCTGTATATGACTACAGGTAGGCCTTGGGTTCTGGCCCTCAACACAAGCTGTTCTGCGACCCATTTGGATTGAGAGTACCTGTGCATCAACAGACGTCTATTAGTAATAATAACATTGAGTTTGAACTCGTGTTAATTGGCACGTCTAGTCAAAGTATATCTCAATTTTGACAGCATGCATGAAGCCGAACTGATAATGTCGCGTCTCTCCCTGGATGAGATGGCAGCCTATCGCAGGTTACAGCTTCCTTTTTCCTTGTCATTTCGTCGGTTTTTCCTGACAGTTAGCAGGTAATCATTTTTATTCCTGGGTGGAGAAGGTAGAATGAAAGTAAAGTATTCTGTCCAAAAAGAAAACACTATGACCCGACCAAGCCTCGAACCCAGACTTAACGAACCTCAGTCCACAGCATAAACTACATCGCCACTGCACCTTTAACAGTCGCTTTACTTATTTTCTTCAAATCGTTTGAGGTGACTAATGTTCTCAGAACACTATCCCATCCTGCACTAAAGACGTAATTTTTTCCGGGAGGTTGCCTATGTAGATCTTGCTCCAAGCTTGGCTTACGCAGCTCAACTTGCGAGCAAGTATTAGTCGTTTAATACCAAGAAAATGGGTATAAGCTTCGTTCTCTGCCGAGCTAAAGAGAGGAGTAATGTAACAACTCACCCATCCTCAAGTTGCGATGCATATTGCATCATATCTGCATCTTCAGAACAGTTGGACAATCCATGCGGAAAAACAGCATCCGTGCTACAAAGAAGACAACACCCTGACTTAACTTGGCGCAGTAGGTCGAAGAAAGAGTTTCCCATAACATTGAATAATGATTCAGGCAAGATGTTAAAAAAGAAACATACCTGATATAATGAAGAGGTTTAATTTTACTGGTACAAGCAAAGAGAAGGACATTTTGGGTTCCTTGAACATTTGCTCCCCGCAAAGCCTGTGAATTTTTGAAAAAAAAATAGTATGAAACACTAGTAACAAAGGTAAAAAAGCAAAAAAAAGAGATATAGATATCTGAAGGCAATTTATTAACTCACTCATTTTTCATAAGTTAACCGTTAACCCTTTTAACTCCCAAGATCTGATTGTTAATTCTCCCCTCTAACTTCAAGTCGTTCCCTTGTAAATTAGTTACGAGAATTTGGTGATATATCAGGATAACAACTTCTATCTCTCTAAATTTGAGTATTCTCATCACTTGCTTGCTCGATAATGTATGGATATTATAGGGAGAAGTCACATGTTAATCACTTCTCGGAGTTAAAGGGTTAATTATTCAACTTACATAAAAGATGCAAACTGTACCTGATAAGGATAGACCATGTTCACTGCTGCAGCAGCATGAATAATGAAGTCAATCTGAAAGGAAAAACGAAAACCCGCAAACAAATAAACGTACTGAAGGGAGCCATGGATCAATGCTACTATAATAACTCGCTCGCTTAAACAGACATAGCAAAGTTAGCAAAGACGGTCTGTAGAGGGGAACCTCTATGGACGGATGTGTTTAAGTCCCAGGTTAAGAATCATCAGGTACTCAATGCAGCTTTCTTAGATAATAAATTTACAACTGCAAACTGTCTACCCGCTTAAAAGAGGTGTTTCACGGGGGGCTTACAAGAAAACCTTTGGTTTACTTAGCTCCCCAGTTCAAAATTTAACATTACAGTTTTAATAATAGTAAATAATTTTAATCAATCAAAAATGTTGTTTAGTGAAAGAATTACTATAATCTGTTTTCTGTTTTAATTGATTCATGTTGGGTAAATTTTGCTGTTAACTTTTTCATTACAGGAACACAATTTTACCGAATAATTTTATGCATCCCCTGTAAACATGGTAACAGTAAATCGTCTGAACGATAGTAGGAATGTATATTCCATCAAGCCAGAGAACTTTTTTTTTAATACTTAATATGACTACCAGCATTTCCTGGAGAATTGTAAGTAGTTGGCCATACCAAAAAAGAGTCGGCAAAAGTCGAAACTTTACCTCAAATTAGCTTAGAAATTCATGTCATTGTCGTGGACCAATCAAAGAGTGTAGTAAAACAGAACCAACGCAGTCTTAGATTACTATCAAAACTCTGTTGAAAAATTATTCGCTGCCATATTACTATCCATACCTCTGATGACAAGTGCAAATACTCTTCCTCACTCATTCCTAGTTTTATCAGCGAGACATCACCTAAACACAAAGAAGCAGTAAGTCATAACGAGCGTATGCATGCTTATTCCATGCCCCAATTAAATTCTAATAGACTGCTTGCTTCCCTTTCCAAATTGTCTCATTTTCCCTCGTAAAACACAAGGAGAACGTGATGCTGAATCAAACGTCGCTGAAATCTTCATATTCCACGCACTCTGCAGTCTATCGCCGGCGCTGAAAACCAGGCGATTGGGTGGCCGAAACACACACGCACATATAATCGAAAAAGGAAAGACCCAATATTCCTCAAATAAAGGAAACTTTGATTAGCGCCTAGATTGGCCCATCATTAAAGCCCTTCTCTATAGATTGTCGAAAAACCAAAATCAAACTTATCACGAAGGCCAATCAGAACAAAGAAAAATATCACAAAGAGCCAATGACAACTCAAAGTAAAATCACGTCACATTACCTCCAGCGCAGGGAAACGCGATTGACCAAGAAGCGATTAGTTCAAGTTTTGCACTCGATTGGTTGAAAGGATGACACGAGTTTTATAGTCCAATCATGAGGTGTAGTAAAGAAAAGTCAATGCAACTGTGGATTTTGTTCTACACTTCATAGAAAAATTGTTCTCAAACTGAGAGTGGAGACTCCATATAAGGTACCTTTCACGAAACTAACTCTGTGCTCAAAGCCATAGTCTACGTATCGCTCCTCTTCAGTCATTTGCTGACGGTCGTTTGTTTGCGGCAATATCTTGAAGCTCTGCAGAGCTCTCTTCAGCCTTTCCTTCCCATCCACACCACCAGGTTGTTCACGCACAACACAGAAAATGTGAACCTGCAGCAAAACATTTGTGGACCAATTAGGATATTTTTTCCATAACCACATCTGCTGTCTCTGTTTCAACGTCGGTGACGGCAGTAGCCCTTTCCAGGACAACCCTTCCCGGGTTATATAGTTCATAAACAGTCTGAAGTATTAAACAGTTCGTGTCTCCTCAACAGGTAAAACTCCGATACATTTGCCTGTACAAGATCTCGCGATGTGTGCTCTATAATCTTCAAGAAATCAAAATTATCCTTCACAAATGACGAGTTGATCTTCACAGTTTAAATCAATGCAGAAAAATAAGTCTGGAAATATTCAAACCGTTCGATGTGAACTGAAGTTGTGTTTACCTTCGTCAACCTGATGAGATCCCTAAGCAAGAATACTCCCAAAAATCCAGTAGCGCCTGTCAAAAGAACACGTCCCCTGTTCCAGCGACGCAAGTTCTTGAAGTTTCCAGACCGCCAAAAAGCTCTCAACATGATGTCCATACTGTTCAGTTTAAAAAACAAGACAAAGGAAAAATTTTAAGAATAAAGACACCGGTCTGGGATGTCCTAGGCTTAGACTTGGACCTCCCGATCTGGATTCCAGCGCGCCAACAACTACAATCTTGGACAAATTGTGGTGAAAATTCGTTACAAGAAACTGTCTTGGCCTTACACGCACACAACAAGTCTTATGTATCAACATAAGCAAGCACTTTTAGCAGGTTTATTTCATTCAGTCTGCAAATAATTTATATCGTACTTTTGAAAGGTTTTCTGTCAATCTTTTAGCATCTTTTGGACTCTTCGCAGTTGAATTTTCTTCTATCACGCTTATTACTTCCTCTGAAACGTTGACAAAAGACGAGGTAGCCATTTTGAAATTTAGCGCTTTTGCTATAATCACCTCGCGCGAGGCGGTTATAACGATTTATGAAGCAATCCTCGACCAATCAGAGTACGCGCATCTCTATAATCACCTGAGCAATGATACTAAAATGCTTTCGCAGATACTAACTTCATAAATCCCTCAGCGGCTGAATGGTAATTAACTTCCTCCAGAAGGTCAATCTCGCCCTCGGATTTATCCCTAGAATCAAGAATTTGCAAAATTAGGCAATTCTTTCACTCATCATAGACCCAAACTAACTTTATGATGACTCTTGGTAACAAGTCTCTCCTTTTTTACCGTCTGTGAGTTGGTTGAATCCTAAGTAAAACTCGACCCGGTGAGACTCTTTTATCAGTCTAGCAGTTATCTCAAACTCATGTACTTTTGTCCATGTAAAACAGTAAAAAATTTCTTATCACAAATTTTTTTAACTGAATAAATTTCACTTGACCTGTGGATGAAAATCTAGCAAGGAAATGATCCTCGCAATTCGACTGCAGTTTAAGAAATAGCAGAAAAGAAGCTTGAAAAAATTCAGGGCTTCGACGGGATTTGAACCCATGCCTCCCAAAATACTAGCTGGGCGCTTCTAGAATTTCTTTTTGGCAGTTTTCAGGTAAGCATAGAAAATGGACCGAGATTCTTATTGTCTTCGCCACTGCTTTAAGAGCCCGCTTTCACTCTCAATCATTAAGATGCAAAACTCAAAACTATCATGACTTGGTCTGTTCCATATTCTCGTGCTTGAAGCCAGTTATCCGTGTTTCCTTTGAAGGCTCTTTTCAAGTTTTCCCTCGTTCAGATTAGTTGCTACGATTCAGTTAATTTATTTTGGGCTCTATAAAACTTGCAGCATTACCCATTACATCTTTAAGAATACCTTATATACGAACAGCTTTCTTTCATCCTCGTCCTAGCGTCTCCACTGATTACAATACAATATTACATTTTAATATTATCCTCATAGTTATTTCATGCCCTTATTGCTATTTTATTCGATGTAGCTTTAAATATTAAGTTACGTTAGTAGTTAATAAAGATTATCTATATTCTGACAATTAAGATTTTGGTGAAACAATTTAATAATAATTGCAAAGTACAGTACAATTACGTTTTTTGCGGCATTTTGTGATAAGACGCATTTTGTAATAGCGCTCTGTTGTTTTAAATTGTGTCAACCGACGATTATTACAAAATGCTGCAGCTCTTATTGCAAAATGCGTAGCTCGCCTTTATATATTACAAAATGCGTAAGTTCTTACAAACTGCCGCTGCCCTTAATACAAAATTTGCAGGTTATTACAAAATGCGTCATGAGACAAAATTCCGCAGAACATACGTCTTTTCATCATTTTCATCAATTTGGGGAAGTTAATGGATTGTGCAGGTTTGTTATACACGATAAATGCTCTTGGAAGCCCCACCCACCTCAGTTAGCCCCAGTCTCCAATGAAATTTCACCTGGAGTATCAACCTCCTCCTCCTCTTTCCCCTCCCCCCTGGGAGAAACTCTACAATAGTGGCACCGTTGCTCGTATAATGAAGCTGTGTACAGTATTCAGTTATGACGGTCAGAGTCCAGAAAAAAGGAGCTAGAATTGGGGCCCCCACTCAGTTTTGAATAAGAACCCCTCCTCCATTAAAAGGCCCCCATTCCTAATGAGGCGACCTTGGGGAAACCTTGGATATTGATCCCTTCCCGTGGTGGGGCTTGTAGGAACATTTATGTGGTGAAAAAGATTGTTTAAATACAGTCTTAACTGTAGAGGTAATCAATTATTCAATAGTTTTGTTTTAGTTGAGTCAGGTTAAGAGCTAAGTTTTGGATTCTTGATTTTGATGTAAAGGGCATTTTGTAGATTAGACAATCAAGCCTTCATTCGTTAGATTGGTAAATCAGATGTCATTCAGTTTCATTTCAAAGAGCGATTTAAGGAGTTTAGTCTCTGTGAGGTACAGAGACCATGCCATAAATTATTTTAAATTCATTATTGATTACCACTAGTAAATTGTTTGCAGTATTCATTTTCTCACGAAATTCCTCGCATCAGTGTTAAAAGAATGTTAAGAAATCTTTATGTACTTAGTTGCGCATGATTTGAATATAAATTGTCTTTCGCGAAAAATCAATCAATCAGGGATTCATTCAATCAATAAATCAATCATTAATCAATGATTCGTTTGAACAGATTACGACCAGGAGCAGCATATACATTACAAATACCTACCAAAGTACATAAACACAATATATTAGACATAAAAATGTCTAACTGGCAAGTTGATTGGATAATCACTGTGGTAGAGCTATACATCGATATACTTACTTTCTAATGTTGTTGATCTTCAGCTGATCAATCGTCTTGGCCATGTCTGCCACTGTGGGGCAATTGAACAGGTCATGCACCGTCAGGTTGACACCAAACTTGTTATTCACTTTTACCAGCAATTGTGTCACTAAAAGCGAATGTCTGCAAAAATAATTTGGAAAATTAGTAAGGGAAACGTTCTTTATATTATCATTACCCAAACGCTCGTCTTTAGCGGCCACCATGTTACATTCCCTCAGATTACGTAGATTTAGCTCAAACTTGATCGTAAGTAAGCATCAAGATCGTAATCGTGAGAGAAAAAGCCCTCTGAGCTTAAGATTATGGATATGATAATATTGCTCGGTTTTAACGTTTCCTACGACTACGATTACAACTGCGATTACGACGTTAGTGTCAACCCTTAAACTCCAAGATCTGATTGTTAATTCTCCCTTCTAGCTGCTACACAATTCCTTATGAATTAGTTATGAGAATTTGCTGCTAGATTAAGATAGCAGCTTCCACCTGACAAGTTTGAATATTCTCATTACCTGTTTGCTGGATAATGTATGGATATTATAAGGAGAAGTTTCATGTTAATCACTTGTGGGAGTTAAAGGCTTAACTGGCCTCTAAGGTTAATCCAGCCCGATAAAGGTGGATAGTAATCTCGTACCCAGATCCTATCGTTTAACTGTTACAACCGCTTGGCCATGAAAGGTCTAAGCACGAGACTGGGTGGAAAGCATCAAGGCTGGGCGACGTTAGCTAATAGGGCATATAATTATTATGCAATACAAAAAATAGCTTGGAGAGAATTAAAAATGTGTTCAAACTGGCGAACAGTATGGAAATTAGCTTTGTCGATGGAAATAACTTCGAAAAAGAAGAGAAATGGGTTTTGTTAGTAAAGCCTCACAGTACGGACCTCAGCCGAAACAAACCACCGTTTCCGTCTAGGTCTAAATTTAACTTTAGTGTAATTGACGAATCTCAGCTTAAAGCTTGATGGTCTCTTTTTGTCCCCTTATTTGCTTTCTTTATTTTACTGAGCTTACCCTCCTAAATCAAAGAAACCCTCTTGTACATCAATGTTGGGTAGGTTCAATAATTCACACCAAAGCTTAGCAAGACCGTGTTCTGTTGGAGTGCTGGGCAAACTTTCCTCTTCAGTTCCAGATGAGCCAATGGGAGGTAGTCTGTTTTTGTCAAGCTTGCCAGCAGGTGTCACAGGAATACTAAAAATTTGCAATTGATTAATAAGACGATCATTGTAACAGCAAACGTACAGAAGGCGGGTTCTTAAACGTTGCAGTCATTTCTAGGAGGTAGGGTGGAGACCTATTACAAGACCAACTTACCCTTTGCTAGAGATTGCAGGAGCCGGCAGACCAGTTGGCTATATACGGAGCGCAGCTAAAGAGTGTAACTCGGGCAAACCGGAAAAAAATCCGGTGAGTGGCTGGGTGGAGGGCTTACCCATCAGATCAAAAGACCAGCGGCCTAATCACTCAACCATATTTGCCTCCTCCTATTCTTACTGCACGAGGATCTCAATGGGGTGATGGCTTTTACGAATAACGGTTACAATTTTGGCGATTTTATGGCTAACAGTTATTATAGAAAAACCGGTTAGTTGGATAATGCAATTCAAGAGGTTTTGGGCATCATGGGTTTACAGCGTGCGCGCGCATGACGACGAGTTTAACTGAAAGTGTTTTTGTACATCGTAACATTCCGTTTGTTCTTACAAAATAAGTTGGGAAGATTTATCCATAGTTTGGGCGTTTTTGATAAAACAATTATTACACTCGCGCTTGTTGGATATGACATGATTACAGCCAACTCGGCCCTGAGGGCCTCTTTAGCTTTATGTTTAGCGTGGAATAATTTTTATAAATCATTCCATTGATATCACCAGTAATTTTTTTCACGACTAACGGTTAAAACTTGTCAATTTTTACGCCTAACAGCTGAAGCTTTTTTGCCTTTTTTCGGGGCGTAAGTCCGTTGCTTATTATTCAACAGCAATTCCTAAGATTTCCCTTTAAGACTCCCTCACGATACCTTAAGACACAGCGAAAAAAGTGACCTTTTTATTTTGGACAGGGACAGGCTAATCATGCTTGAAATTACTTGTGTGATGGATATGCAATGCAACAGAAACAGGCAATAACCTTAGAGACGCAATTTTGAAAGCAAAGTACACCATTTAATAGGTTACAAATCACCATCAAAAAAGAGGAGAATTTTCTTTAAGCTGTCTTACGATCGCTCACGATGCAAAACTTGTCCTTTCATTCATAACGTAGAGAAAATTTCGGGACCCAAAAGATCCATTAAGATCATTGATCACTTTACGTGTACCTCCGCCAATGTTATTTACTGCATAACTTGCACTTATTGCAATAAGTTATACATCGGCGAAACAGGAAGACGACTGGGTGACCGATTCCGAGAACACCTTCGCGATGTGGAAAGAAATGACAAGGACGCATCCAAACCAGTCGCTAGACACTTTAATCTTCCTTATCATTCTAAACAGCATATGGCAGTTTGCGGCCTTTCCTTACATCTAGGCAGTTCGGAAAGCCGCAAAACACTAGAACAAAAATTTATATTCCAAATCGGCACCCTTAATCCCCACGGAATCAACGAGCGTTTTTCATTCAACTAATTTATTCCTGTTTTCTCGTCACCATATTCCCACCAATGGCGTAGCTCCACTTTCTACATATAAATCCACACACAACCCACAATTCCTCTAATCGCTCTGACGAAGGGCCAACGCTCAAAACGTCAGCTTTTTTACCCTTTACGGTGGCTAATTTACGTTTTCAACTCAGTTGTTAACACTAAATTACCTGCTTATCTATTTATAACTTTCACTTTGCAAACGCTGAAATTAAACTAACCTGGCAAGAAGAACAAAATGTGATGGTATCATGTAGAATGGAAGCCTTGTCTTCAGAGCAGCTCTGATGTCTTTCTTGTTAGCCTTCCCTTCTGGAACAACATAAGCTGCCAGGTATTTATCTTCTCCTTCGTCTCCGTGGGCTAGCACAGAGCATGCATTAACCATGGGTAGCTGCAACAGGGCAGCTTCAACAGCCTGTTAAAACGCAGCAATACAATGCAATTCATTACTCAGTTGATTCATTGGCCTCCTAGACACCTCCCACTTTGGATGTATTGTGCCTAAAAATTTTTGATGGGAACGATCTTGAAGATATTGAAAGAGAGAGACACAGTCACCCAATGATAAATATGCCACCCAAGGATGTAAGGAAAGTTATTTTCCACCAGCTCAAAGGCTCTTCTTGCTGGCATTTCTTCGTTTGTAGGCAGATAAGTGAAAACTTGTTTCTTGCCCTTAAGGCAAGTGATAAATCAAATCCACCAGCTCGAGTGGAAATCAACTAGCCACGAGCTATCGGTCTGGCCCCGGTTGTTTGAAGGTCGGATAACGCTATCCACAGGATAAATCTCTACCCAGTGGATAACGCTATACGTTTTGCTGTCACTTATCCACTGGATGGCGATATATCCGTTGGATAGCATTATCCACCCTTTATACAACCGTACCCAGGACTTTCTTTGCACGCTGCAGTCATCCTGCAAAGGTAAGCGTGACCAACTCAATGTTTTATGTTCTTGGGCAAGACGTACATCTAACCATGCCTATTTATCTTTCCCCAGGAGTGGAATGAAATCGCTACCAGCAGACTGTCAGCTGACGTAAAAAATTATAAAGCGATGAAATGTGAGGTGAGTGGGAAACCTGCAATGGACATGCATGCTATCGTGGTCGCATAGTCATCGGCTAAACCATACAGAGACATGTACGACAGCCAATCAGGTAGCTGATTGATTGACAGATGTGCCAGTTTGCAAAGTTGTGAAGAGGTCACTTTCACCAGAAATCGCTTATAGTTGCCCGGCACAAACCTTCCCTTTTGATCAATTAATGTGGGATGACGCAGTACATCTATTCATCACATTTAGAAGACAAATACCACCAAGACAGAAACGACGGTGAAATGAGGCTTTAGGTCAAAAGAAAAATACAAAACAAGGCAAATCCTCTGAAGCATTTTATCTGTTAACCCTTTCATTCCCATGAGTGACCAAGACAGAATTTCTCCTTATAATATCAACAAAATATCAACCAGATAAGTGATGAGAATGGCAAAAAATGTCAATTTGGGGATAATTAGTTGATCCAATACTAAATTCTCTGAACTAGCGTTATAAGAATTGTATGGTTGACAGTAAGGAGAATTACAAATTTGATCTGGGAGTTAAAGGGTTAACACAACGATCAGTCCCACCTGTATTTCAATACTGTATCCTCTGATTTTTACCATTGAATCACATCTGCCACAAATCTCTAACAATCCGGATGACAGCAGGTATCCCCAGTCACCAGTCCTGTACAGCCGCGGACCAGCAGCTTCTGGCACTTCAGCTGGACGCTCTACAAATCTGGATGCATTTAATTCTGGTCTGTTCAGGTAGCCCTGAGCTAGTGTGGGCCCGCCAACAAATATCTGAAGAGAAAAGACGGCCATCCGGATAAGAACGGATATCAGACCATCTCGTTGTCATAAAACTCTCAATAAGTTTTGGTATGGATGCAAATTTAATTGTGAAACCCAAGAGATTTAAGGTCTTGGTCTAAGTATTGCTTCGTTTATGTTTTTTTTTTTTTAATCATTTGTCCTATCCTTAGACCGCAGTAAAAATACATTAACCCCCTTCCCCAGCTTCCTGAGTTATTACCTCTCCTGATAGACCAACTGGAAGTGGTTTTAAATTCTCGTCCATGATTGCCACATATACTCCTGGTAACAGTTTTCCAACAGGGCAAAACTTCCTTTTGTTATCATCAGAATCTGAAAGCTGGCAGAAGAAAGCAGCGTTCAGTTAATGATCAATATGAATCCCCTCATCGCCGCAGACACTTTTTGCTCACACCAGACTTGCTTCACCTCTTCAATCGCAATCATGAGATCGGAAACAAAAGAGTAAAAGATTTCTGTAAAAACTATGAATATTAAGAAACCTTCGAAGTACATATGACTGATAGTTTGTGCTTGTCAGACCCATTCTATAAAAAATACTTCTAATACATTTTTGTAAATGCGTAAAAAATCACGATATTTCAGGATTTTTTTTAGATTGACTCAGAGATCTAGAATTGCTATTCAACAAAATAAAACTTTGTTTATCCATGTATCTTCATTCAGATTGAAATTTCACAATGTTGGTTTAATTCAACAGGAAAAAAACATCAAATGGAGAGGAAAAATAAAAAAAAAAGGACGAAAAAGAAAAAAAGAGGAGGATGCTCAATGATGGAGAGAACTGACGTGGAATCCACAGAAAGACCTTAGAAATGCAACTAAACGTTTTTAAGATAACCGAAACAAGTTAGCTGTATTACTTTCTTGGGCATCAAGTGTACTTACTTCACTTTGAAAAGGCATATTGGTCAGATCTGCAGTAGCCACGTCATGGCATTCCGAGACACTGTACAGATTCAACAGCTTTATCCTCGGTAACATCCTCATGCACCTGTCACGGAGAGCTGTTGTCACCACCTCTCCACACAGCCAGATGATTCTCAGAGAGGACAAATGACCAGGTAGATCACCATCTTCACAAGTTAAAAGCGTCTCTGGAATTTGTTGGGACAAAACAAAGTTAAACCGTTGACGTGTCCTTAATTTTTACCACGTCATTAAAATGGACCAGAGTCAACCCATAATATTTGTCCCATCATGACGTAATTAATAATCTATGTTATTTTCTGATCAATGTCAGTAGTTGAGCAACTGCGTACTTACTCCTCCCCCCACCCTAACTTGTCATCAGGTGACTGGTGAAATCACTTACCAAGAAGTGAAGGAGTGAAGAGGACTCTTGTTATTCCATTCTTCTTCAAAAACTTCAGCAAAAGATACGGATCGTAAATGATTGAGTCAGGAATGATATAAAGGGGTATTCCCTTCAGAAGAGGACGCAACAGCTCCCACACAAAGAAAACATTGCAAGCCACACGGTCATCTGACTCGAAGGGAAAATTCTGAAATCTCCAAGTATAAGAGAACACTGCACCACGATGAGGGCAACATATCCCTGGAAAAGGTAAAGGGATGGTTAATTCTATGTTAGCAAGGACGCACGGCCGTACGTGCGTCCATGAACAGTACCCTTCTAGCGAAGCCACGAGTTTGTAAACTTTCCAGATGGTTTTTCCGTTCCTTCCCGATTGAGACAGATCAAAAATGAAAACTAATACGCGAAAGAACACTTGATTTGGGAAACAATGGATTTTTTATCTTACGGATACGAAATCATCTTTGAAGTTACCCGTTGTTTTAATCTAAAATAAATTATGGCCAAAAAAAGAAAACTGAACTTACTGACTTGAAGGGAGCCTCTGCGACAATTTCACTGATCTGTGAGCCAGTTAAGTAAGTGAGTTATAAGGACGGTAAACCGACTGAAAGTGCGGTCTATTGCTTTAATAGAATAAATTTCAATTTTCTATCGGTTTACCGGTGCAATAAACGAAAGAATTCCGCTTTACCAATCAGGGCGCTCTCAATATCTTTGTTATTTTATAACAGATATTATTTTCAGGTGTTGATATTTGTCTAAAAGTACCGCTCAATAATAGAGATTTTTCCGTGGGAAGTGCGCACGAACGATTTTCATTCACGAGTTGTGATGTATGGAGTGAATACAAATCGTTCAAGCACTTTCCATGGTATGATGTTTTAACTTCGTCTATACTAAGATTGTTCTTACTGACCGACAAATTTCAAAGATTGGAATCCATTTCCTGTTCAAACGCCACCTATGGGCTCATCGAGATGTGGAGTGCGTGGGAAGTTTAAGAACGCTTAAGAAGCTAGAATAGCTTTCGGCTACAACTGCAGCTATTATGAAACATCTTTCTCCAAGCCTTGCGTGCTTCATATCTCGATCTCGATAAACGCACGCCGACGCAGGAACCAGTTGTTTTAAAAATATCCGCGTTTTTTATGCGAGTGCCTTTTATAAAAAAAATAATTAAAAGGAAAAAAAAAAAAAAGATAAACGCCTTAGAAACGAAATTTCCATCGCATAGGAAAACTTAGTGTTCAACTATGACTTCAGAAAATCACAATGGTAAGAAATTGAATTGGTAACCCTCCGCGGCGCGCTATGTTTCCAGCAAGTGCGTGACAGGCCGAAAACACGGGCGTTATCGCTTGTTACCATACACTTTGAGAAGACGCTGGTGCGGAAAAAAGTTTAGTTAAAAATTAATTATTGATAAAGAAATAACATTTACATTTTTAAAACCAAATTGCACACTTAGCATTCATATTAAATCTTTGAACACCTATTATTCGTAAATCACGGCTTCAAGCCATCAAAACATCTGCGCTGATAAAATCAGTTTTCTCTCTGAATGAGTTACATGTCATATCGACTAAGCGAGAATAACGGAATATGAAATATCACATCAAAGGTCAAATTTCTCCCCTTTCAAAGTCATGATAAAAGGAGGAAAAAGAAATTCGATTGCTTCAGGTCTGCGCTTCAATAAAAGACGCATTACCAGTTTGAATGTTACTTATGAATATTTTATTTTTCCAAACAAGCCAAACTTTATTGAAAATATTAAAAAATGAATTTTTTTAACAAGCGATCAAGTTTCAAAGCAAACAACAACTGATTTGTACTTTGCTCTCCGAAAAGTCGATATTTATAAAGTACTTACCTTTAGGTTTGCCAGTAGTTCCTGAAGAATAAACAATGTATGCTAAATCATCAATCGTACTTGCCACTTCCTTCAGATGCGGCTTCGAAGAATTTTCCTCTTGAAGTTTCTCTTCCCAGCCCTCGTTCAATACGATCACCTCAAGGGAGCTTGGTAATCTCTGTTTTAAACTTGCGTCCGTAATCACTGCGACGGGTTTCGCATCCTCCAGAATCGAACAAAGCAAAGTTTTGGGATAAGAAAGTTCCAAGGGCAGATAAGCCCCGCCGGCTTTCAAAATCGCGAGGTAGGCCAAAGGGTATTCCAGCGATCTCTCAAGAAATATACCAACGGCGCCATTTCTTTCGACCCCTTTGTGTCTGAGATTTGTCGCCAAGACATCCGTAAGATGGTCCAGCTCTGAGAAGGACAGTGATCGTCCATCATCCGACACAACAGCTGTTGCGGTCTGTTGAGTTATTTTCATCTGGCGCACAAAAATCTCATGAAGACAACCTTCCGTTTCGTATTCCATGGTTTTGATTCGTTTCACACACTGTTACTGTTAGCGCGAAACTAAAAAAGGCAGTCAGACGTGATCCTTCATTCCGACAGGATATCCCCCACAAGACAACAAATCCTGACTTCTCACCAACCACGTGTTTGGACCTATTGTTGTTACTCATCACACCACTTCCTGTGAGTGCACATTTCACTTCCGGTTTCCGACAATGAATGGGCGTTTTTGCCAGGTGTTTGTTGCACGAGTTCTGATGGAAAGTGACAACTTTCCGATGATCTCCAACAAAAATATCCCCTGAGTGTTTTTTTTCGGGTTTTTTTTACGTGGTAACGGGAAAATCAAAGGTTTGCAAAGACTTAAGTCAATGTTCAAGTTCAGTCAGGTTTTCTATTTAGACGAGTTTTATTAGATGATTGGCTATTATGTTTGTTATGTAATTTTCCATTTTTGACAAAACTTTGCTGTGTTTATCTGTAACAAAAATATACGAATGCTGAATCACGACCGATGAATGTCCAGTTTCATCAAACGAAACCATGAAGTTTTTGTTATCTTTCTGTCGATATTATACAACGAACATCCCTATTGACCCAGTCAGCATTCTCGATGGTTCGTGCGTCAGATACAGGCCAGAGGGGTCCTGGGTTCCAGGCAGAGGTCACGCTCACAGTCAACGCCAAGGCACGCGTCTTAACCCTGTCACTCCCATGAGTGACCAAGACAGGATTTCTCCTTACAATATCAATATAATATCAAACAGAAAAGTGATGAGAGAAAAGAAAAATATCAATCAGGGGATTATAAGTTGATCCAATACCAAATTCTTCAAACTGACATCATAAGAACTGTATGGCAGACAGTAAGGAGAATTACTAGTGAGATCTTGGGAGTTAAAGGGTTTATTCTTTTTAAGCTGTCGTTAAGATTTCTCCTCTGATCTCTCTAACCCCACTATCCTTTGATCCCTGAGGCTTACTAATATCTAATTTCTTCATATAATATTACCCGCGAATCACAGATAAAGGACACGAGGAAAGAGGAAATGATCTCCAACTAAAGAAGCTCTTGATTGTTAATCGAATTCTCCTTATCAGCAGCAGAAAAAATGTATAGTAAACGGTATGGAGACACTAAATGTTTGTGTAAAAGGTTAGAAGCCAGGCAAGCTGCAAGCTAAAGTTGTGTGAACCACAGGCAGACCACAGTGGTTGACACGAGGCGTAATTTCAAAATAAGACCCTTCAAACGGCCCATGAAGGCTAAAAAATATCACAAAATGCGTCAATTATAATTTCATTTAACTTAGCTGAGATATTCCAACCGAGATGTAATTTAGATATGCAATTTTAAGAGCTTTATTCATGACCCTCATGGATTTTGCTCATCCACTTCAACAACTATTAACCACGAACATATAGTGTGGTCTGCCTGTGTGTGAACAACGAAATCAGTGGTGCTTTCCAGTCATCTTATTGCCATATATTGTCGTTATTATCATAATTTTTGGCTCATATTAGTCATTATGGTTACGATAATGTTAACAATGATATTATCATTTAAAATCATCATTACTACTGTTTTCTTTATTTTCTTTGGTAAAAGCGGCAGACGTGATAACTAGTTCCCAGTCTTAAAAAAATATTTTTGTGAGACCGAAAATTTATTTACAGCCACTGTTAAAAAACTGAGTCTCCTTTGCCACCGTTCTATGGATGTCGCGTAACATCCAAAGAACAGCTACGATGGTGACTACCGTTAACCCTGTTTTTGTCGAGATGTCACTGTTAAATTGAACAAATTAAATGATAAGCAGAGTTAAATCATGCCTTATTTAAGTATCAACCGCGAGACCATTCGAGATTTAAGCTATTGTCTGGATTACTCAACTACAGTTTGATTGGAAATTGCTTCTCTTTTTAGGCATGGGCGAGACATGTCGAGGAGAGTTTCACGCATGCATGATCCGTGATCAGGTGGATCAGTATCAGATACCTAGACGTAATTTCAGGCGGAAAAGATATCACTGCAGGAAGTAATAGTCCCCAACTCACAAAGTGAAAATGTTTGAGCCTTTCTGAACAAAAATGCACATAACGCAATTCAATGAAAATTGTTTTTGAATGAAAGAAAAGTTCTTCTAACTTGGGAATTTACTCCTCCCATAAACCTAAAACGGTGCATCCCTGGATGAAAAAAAGTGAATAAGAGGCATCAAAATCACAGCAGCTGCCAAATCTAAGTAAACATGCAAAACACCATAATTGATTTAAAGGTTCATGAAATTTTATTGGATGAACAACACATCTTCTGATAAGGACTTAAAGTACTTCCATACTAAGAATCAGTCACATGGCTCATAAATGTTTGTTTAATGATATCAAAAGCCTTCAACACACTCTTTAATTGTTGGCTTTAGCAATGATTTAGCAGTTTACCCACTGAGAATCAACAATGAACGTCACAAATACTTTTCAGTTTTTACTGACAGAAGGCCCTGGGCTCTACTTGTTACCTTTAGTAACCCACCCTCAGTGCAAAGAAAGCACACAAAACTTACTGCTTAAACATAGGAAGGGAATTGATTTCCCTTTGCTTAATACTGGCATTCACTAACATTAGCAAAGTTCTAGTGATTTATATTTAGACCTAAGAAATGTATGGGCTTTTCTATAGTACTGTGTGAAAAACAGTTTAGAGTATAATGGTGAGATTGTTATTGTTTCTATTGACGCAACTTTTTATCAGCCACAGCAAGACCCACAGCTGTGTTCAGCTGCTTGCCCTTAACAATTCCCCAGACTACATGATCACTGAGGCCCAAGATCTGCGCAGTGGCCAATGCTGCACCATCAGGATTGAGAGCAGTGGTACAACCCAAACCAGAGGGCAGGCGTAGAGAAGACCAGATGTCCTGTGCACCCCACTGGGACGATGGTGGTGGACAGTTGATCACTGGGAATGCTGAATTGCCAGACAAAACCGGTCCAAGGCCATTACTACGTCCAGCAACTGCAATGATGACAACTGGGATGCCCTGACCTTCATACCACTGCAGGACTTGCAGGGCATCTTCAGTACCCTTGTGTGCAGAGCAGATGCGAAGATCAGTAGGAATGCCAAATTCCTTTAGCGATGACTCGATCTTCTTACAATGATCCACGTCACTTGGGGAGCCCATGAAAATGACAGCATGCCCTGGATGATGTTGGTTAAGTTTCTGCACTTCACCTGCAACCCATTGGTAATTCTTTTTGACCTGTTCCAGTGCTTCTGGTGTCACCTCAGGTAGATTTCTGTACACTTGCTTGTCTCGCATAAGACGCTTGTCACCAGATGGCCAAATCCTCCAGGAGTCATTGTCTATGACATCAGCAAGAAGAAGATCACCTGTCTTGCGATCGATCCCAAACTCAATCTTCATGTCAACTAGAGCTACATCTACAGTTGCCCAGGCTCTTTCAATGATTTCAAAGACAGTGACAGCTGTTTCACCCATCACATTCAGCTCATGTTTGCCAATCTTCCTTCCACCTGCAGTGAGTTCTGCCTCCACGCACTCCTCATATGTCCAAAATGGATCGTGCTGAGCGTCATCTTTAAAAAACATTTCCAACTTGACAGGAGCAAATCTGTATCCTTCCTTGACCCCAGGGTACCTCTTCAGGAAAGAACCTGTGGCAATACGGCGAGTCACCACTTCAAGTGGGATCATATCACAGTTAATCCCAATGAAGGCTTCATCATTGTGCTTCTTCACAAAATGGGTCTTGATGCCACAGGTGCTAAGCAGCTCAAAGATAGCAGATGTAGTGACAGTGCTGAATTTTGCCTTGCCAGCTAAGTCGTTTTTTCTTGTGCTATCGAATGCTGTGATTTTGTCCTTTGATTTCAGTAGCACATGATTACCATCTGGTGAGTCTGGTAATTCATAGATGATCTTGGTTTTACCTTGGTTGAGCTCTTTTCCAATCTTGATTTCTACAAAGGTTACCAAAAAACAACATTTAGTATTTTAAATTTACAAAGTAACTTTTCAAAAATATAGATATATATAACTAATAGCTGCACTACAACAGCTATGTGCTGTAAAAATGCTCGAATGCATCATTGGGCATTAGCATAGAAAGGACCCCATAACTTGCTTAAGAAAAATAACAGAAACAACATGCAGTGGTGTCAATATGCTTCTGAAAAGCTCCACTTCCAAAATGCACTTAGTTCACTTTAAAACATACTGCCAACATTCTCAACTTTCTCCTCTGTAAGGAGAGTTTTTGAATAGCTCTAATTTTGGGTGGACAATTGATTCAAATTGGTGTAGATTGTAGGCCTGGCCTGGATGAAAAGGTTGCAGTCTCATGATTTATCCTGTAGAATATGAATGCATCCCTGGCAATGAAATGAAAATATTATTTTTCCTTACCACATGGATTAACACGATGTTCATTAGTTGGCAAAGATTTGAAAAGGGGTGACTGTGTTGACAATACATGATTTGACCTCTTTCACGACTAATTTATCGAGATCACGTATAAAAATAAAACATAATAGAAACACTTCAAATGTTGTGCAAATAAGCACACAGCGGGCAAAAGGAGTTTTGGTTTGGGGCAAGCGAACGTGACTTGTCTCAGCTTCAATTGGTGATTGCACAATCTGCACATCACAGACATAACTAATCAAACCAAAATTTATGTACGCTTGCCATTTCGTCTGACAATGCAATTTTACGCTAAAAAACAGTGCATCTCAGTACAGTCTGAAAATCTGGCATCTAATTTCATCGCTGGGGGCAAAAAAAAGGCGAATCAACCCCCCAAAAAAGTTAACTTCTTAACATTCTGATGGCGAGGTAGCACATGGTGTTAGCAGCTGTTTGTGCAGTACAGCAGTTTTGTACAATAGTCACAATCCTCGCAAAAATATTTTCCATTTGCGTTATAAAAATGGCACGAGTCGACTACAAAAAAAATTGGTTTAAACTTGTAAAGTAACACTCGTGGCCAGGCGATTACATCTTCTTCGATAAGCATGGTGGATATAAGCAAATTTAGAAGCCATGACATCCACTAAATCGAAAAAATAAAAACTTCAGGAGTCAATCGCTCAGTATTTTTTGACTTATATCAACCCTAGATTATTAGCTTTCGATAGACGTACCTGAGGCTGGTTTCTCGTCTGCCATTGTTGGAGAAAACTCCTGAAGATCGCAACTAGAGACGCTTTCCTTCGAATTTTTCAGCAAAAGCACGTGGAGCTCATCTCTGCCGAGGAAGCATGTGATTTAGTCAGAGCCAATCATAAGGTGTGAATTTCCGCGGTATTATGGAATATCCAATCAGAACCATTACAATCCTATTGCCGCCAACTCAAATTGTAATTATCTTTCTGGATTTTTCAGGGTCTTTCAGACAATCATGGGCGATTACATCAAATCTTTTCATTCGCCAGACGAGTTTCGTTCTTGAACTTAGTTTCGTTGACTAGATCGACAACACAGGAGAAAAAATGGGATCTTTTTTCATCTCTCCACTTATATAACTCCTCTACAAGCTTGTGGTATTCGTGGTTTTGTGTCGATCAAGTAAGGAAGAACTTGACTAATAATGGCGTCCATTGAGACAGGCTTAACGCATGCTTGCGGCGTTTTCGCTTGTGTAAGAGCTGAAGGAGTTACTTCAGAGGAAGTTGATGTCGCCAGTATGATTTCTCTCGGTCTAGTTTCACTTCAACATCGGTAAGTTCGATTATTTTGATTTTAGATGCCTAAGTTAAAGCGAGGAATAGTTCGGCTGGCCTTTAATCAATACAACTTTACATATTGATGATGCATGTGACTAAAGTTCGTCAGACAATGCTGATTAAATTTTTTTCGAGTCCTTGAATAAAGCATTAGCCTTGGTAGATTCAGTTGGAAGACCTCGCCATTTTTAGACGAGAAACTGATCGGCATTTTAGAAGGATGAGCTGAAAATGAAATTCCATTTCCGTTTCTTCTTTTTGTGATCAGCACATTAGCACCTTGGATTGAGAAGTGCTAACCTGTTGTGGGTTCTAATATTTCTGGCAATAGAAAAGTTGCGGGTTTACCACAAAGAAGGGAACTCCAATCCTGATGATTCTATTATCTCAATATTTAAAATTGTCACTTCCAAACACCGGCGTCTCATCACGTGGCAACGAATCATTAAGGAAATGAAATAATAATGAATTTGTCATGCGTTATATTTGATGTTTAAAATGTTTGAGTTGTAAATGTGTGGTGACTATTATTAATATTGATCAACCTTAATTTTGTATCGTGTAAATATGTTTGATATTCAACTATTATTTGTGTTACCTCCCTGGATTGTGTGATCTAGTTGGGTAACTACCACATTGACAAATTTTTTATGATTATGACTGTGAATGTAATAATTATTATCAGGGTCTTTGTGTTGTTTGATAATTTGTGTTGTGTTGTTGGATTATTTGCTCTGCTGAAGGACTAATGCTGAAAGTGTCAGCCATAAAGACTCTCAGCTAGCTAGTTTACACTTTAAACTCAGTTGGTAAAATCAATTATGCTGCAATAACCCTCACTGATACAGCACAACAGTCTTTTAGAAACTTACTGCCTTGTTTCACCTATAAGTTGGTTTCTCTGAATATTCTTTCACCATAAATTACCTACTCATAACCTACTTATGAATAAAACTGTATGTCCAGGGATTGTCAAAACTGGAGGCTGGGTCAGACTTTGCCAACGCACAATGTTCTCAAGACCATTACCTGTTGTTATTATTATTTTTTTTTTAGCTCAAACATAAGGGAAGGGGTGTTGTTGCCATTTCACATCCTCAACACTTGCTACCCTTCTCTTGGGCCAATACTTTTCAACTTATGGTTGCTGTAGAAATGTTATATCAAAAAAATACTAGAATATGCAGATGAATGGATGAATGTATCTGGAATTGTGTTTTCTTACTCAAGGGGCCAAGAAAGTTGTGGAATAGTGACAAATGATGGCAAAAAGTTCCATCAGCATAAAGGAATGGGACTAGTGAACCAGGTCTTCCAGGAACAGCACATAAAATCACTCCCAGGATATATGGGTATTGGACACACACGCTACTCAACTGCAGGGGCATCAGAACTCCTTAACTGTCAACCATTTGTAGTAGACACAATTCATGGACGTATGGCTGTTGGACACAATGGGGAACTGGTGAATGCTAAAGCATTGCGAAAAAAGGTTCTCCTCAATGGAACTGGTCTATCAACAGGAAGTGACAGCGAAGTAATTACACAGCTGTTGACGGCTACACCTCCATGTGGAGAACCTGATGGTCCAAACTGGCCTGGAAGAATTTACGAAATGATGCAACTCACACAGCTGGCTTACTCGCTTGTCATCATGACCCAAGACTGTATATATGCTGTCAGGGACCCTCATGGAAATCGACCACTGTGTATTGGTAAACTGATGAATTTGAATAGTAGCCCACAGATGGCACGTCTTGGTGGAGAAATTATCCAGAATGGAGAGATTCATGATGAAAACTGTACACTAGGTTGGGTGGTGTCTTCGGAATCCTGTGGTTTCCACTCGTTTGGGGCTTCTATGTGCAGAGAAATCAAGCCTGGTGAAATTGTGGAGTTAACAGCAAAAGGTTTTGAGTCAAAGAGAATTGTTCCACTTCAAAACCCAGAAAAACCACCGTCATTCTGCATTTTTGAGTATGTGTACTTTGCACGACCAGACAGCATGTTTGAGGGACAGATGGTCTATGGTGTGCGACAGGAATGTGGCAGGCAGCTAGCTCTAGAAGCCCCTGTGGAAGCAGAGCTAGTCAGCACTGTACCAGAGTCAGCCACTCCTGCAGCATTGGGTTACTCCTTACAGACTGGCATACCTTATGTTGAGGTACTCACCAAAAATCGTTATGTAGGACGGACATTTATACAGCCTAGTGACAGGCTTCGGAAGCTTGGTGTTGCCAGGAAATTTGGACCACTGTCAATGAATTTCAAGGGAAAGAGGGTTGTGCTGATTGATGATTCCATTGTAAGGGGAAACACAATGGGCCCTATAATCAAACTCTTGAAACAGGCAGGAGCTAGAGAGGTGAGTCATGTGCCATAGCCTTTTTTAACTGTCGTAAATTTGAACCATAAAAGTAGCTAAAGAGCAAATATATTAGAAGATTCAGGATCTGTTTGTAAACAGGAAGCAACAAAATTTCACATATGACAATTAATGAAGGAGTGAATTGAAAAAATGTAGGTGCAAAAGGTATAAGTTCCTCTCTTAACCCTTTAACTCCCACATCAAAATTGTAATTCTCCTCACTCCCAACCATACAATTCTTATAATTTTAGTTCAGAGAATTTAGTATTGGATCAACTAATTATCCCCAAATTTATATTTTTCTTCACTCTCATCACTTATCTGGTTGATATTGTGTTGATATTGTAAGGAGAAATTCTGTCTTGGTCACTTATGGGAATTAAAGGGTTAAGCAACGTGGCTCACGCCACTGGTGATGATGCAAGTCCATCGCAAGTTACTTGACCAGCATTTTGTCAGGTTTCCTTGACAGTGAGATGGAACAATTAACCCTTTACACCTTAGCATCAGTATGCATACTGTTCTCCATTTTCAAGGAGAATTTGTTTAACAATCAAGAGGTTCTTTAGTTGGTGATCATTTCCATTATTCTCATGACCTCAATGTTTTTGTCAGGGGTGAAACTGATAAAAGAAATTAGATGAAATTAGAAATCAACATTCTTGGGTGTTATAGAGTTAGTGCTTTTGGAGAGGTGTTGTGAGACTCAAATATCTTTCCCAAGAGTGCAACACAATGATATGACTAGGCGTAGGCCCCAGTATCTCAACCAGGAGTCCAGAACTTAATCCATGTACAGTGGTGTGGCTCACAAGCAACACATACTCATTTTATAATTCCCCTACTACTCTCTGCAGTAATTAGATATGTAATCATTCTACCTGGGAAAAGTAGCTATTTCAAAAATTCTTTATCCAACAGAAATCAAGATGATATATTATCAAATTCTTTAAACCGAATTACTCCCCTATTTTACACTAGGTTCATATCCGTGTGGCATCACCACCAGTCAAGTATCCCTGTTACATGGGAATCAACATTCCAACAAAGGAAGAACTGATTGCAAATAAGATGCATGCAGAGGAACTAGCAGAACATTTGGGAGCTGACAGTTTGGTTTACTTGAGTTTAGATGGCCTTGAGACAGCTGTGCGCTCTGGTATAGTCAATCCTGCTGGTGAGAAAATTGGCCACTGTACAGCCTGCTTGAGTGGACAGTATCCAGTTGATGTGCTGGATTGGTGAATAATGCCTAGAGCAGAAATATATTAGTGCAACCAAGCTCTGTCTGAAGCTTGTATAAGTTATTGAGTGTTTTTCTACCAAGATACCCTGATTAGGGGATCAAACCTTGACTAAGGTTGATAGGGTGAACATAAAATCACTTACTGTACTAGAAGCAAGAGAATATATTCAACATAAAGCCAATCTTAAAGTCACCATGAACTGCAGACTAGCTAACAACAAACTGAACCATTAATATATAAATACCTAGCTAAAAGCCAAATGTTAATGATAACTCTCAGCAATAGTTGGTTAATTGTAGACAGTTCCTCTCTGCAAGGCTAATGCTGTTAAAAGCCAAACTGCTAATGCAACCTTTTTGGCTGTGACTCAGGCTTGGAAGAGACAGTTAAAATATTTTATCAGTTAACAGCCTTGTAGCAGGAATTTTGTGGACTAGGCATTCCTTAGATCATACATGTAAGCCAGGAAACCTAGTCCTGGATTACTTTGTATGAGCAGTGTAATTTATTCCTTTATATCAGTATTTTTGTGAAGTTTATATGAAATAATTCATATTTGTACTGCGGTTGTAGATGAAAGTGAAATGTGATCTTTATTTTATCAGTGGAAAGAAGAACCCTGAAAAAAATTTTTGAAGCCCAGGGTTCTTCTTTCCAATTGGGAAAAAGATGATCACATTTCACTTTCATCAGTATTTTTGATGCCCAAGGGAAGAAAAATGTGAGTTCAATTTACAAAGATGTATCACTATTTGGAAAGAGAGTTCCTGAGTGTGAAAACCAGACAGTTTAAATTCCTCCCATAATGATATTTTTAAATTTTAAGAGAGATTGTTTTAGAAAAGATTGAGATACTAAGTCAAGAACAATCTTCCAGTAACTCTAAAGCTGCACTTAACTCAGCTTCTTATGAAAAGTGTAAAATTTCTAGTTTTTTTCTTTTTCTCGATAGGGGTCAGGTTTTGAGTTATGTTTTGAAGTTATCTGAGTGGTTTAAAACTGTGTTTTTCTGATGAATGAGTAAGAATTCTTGGGAAAAACCTGCTGGTTTTAAATTCCTCCTGGCTTGACCTTGCTCCCATGTAGTCAAGTAGTCGCCTTTTTATTTTTAAGTTTACTGATTTTAGTTCAAAACCATAAACAGGGAGAGTTAGTGTGGCTATGTTTTCAACATCCAATCATACAAAACGAGGTCATGTAATGAGTGTCCATACATAAACTTGTACACAGGAAATTTCTACCAACTTTTTGGAACTTATGTCACAAAAATATATTGGTAGAGATTTCTATTAACCTTAAATTATTTTTTTTTGTTTTAAGAAACATTTTGTGGTGTGAATCTTCAGATTCTAATTTCCCAATTTAATTGTGGTGTTTTGAAATAAAGGAGTGATACATTCAATGCAATATATTGTTATTATTTGCAAGCAGTGCTTGGAACCAATTCTTTAAAGTTCCATAGTTATCGAGTCTTGATCCTTCATTCTCCTATGGCAAAGGGAACTGGATTGAGTAATCAACAGGTTTAAAAATCCAGTTGAATAATTAATACTGTAATGAAGGATGCTATTCATCTTCTTAAGAATAGGTGGAGAAAATCTGATTAGCCAAGAGGAATCAAACCCTAGTTGTTGTAATTGACATTTGCAGTGTACACAAGTAACATTGCCATCACATAACACTTCGCATCTTTGGACACAAAATTAATGGGTTCACACTGACTCGAGATTTCCAATTATCCTGACCTCTTTCAAAAAGGTAAATTTTGCTTGACTCAAATTAAAACTCCTCGACTCTTCCCCAAATTCTTGCCCACTGTAAAAGAGGTTTTAGTTTGTTTTCCCAGCTAAGGGAGGTTAGTATAAATTTATTTTATAGAAATCTTCAAAGTAGGAACCCAATAAGCCCAGGGAAGGGAAGTAAGTTTAAATTAATTTTTAAAATATATAGGCAGTACGAACCCAGTCAGCCTTGATCACAGAGGCAGACCATAGAGAAAACTAAGTTAATCCAATAATTTTACAAACATTCTCTCCCTACTCACCCCCAACTGTGTGGAATTCTACAAGTCCCTTGCTGAAGAGGATAATTGAGTAACAGGAAACAAATCATGTTGTTCCTGGAATTTCATCTCTCACCACTTGCCAAATTGATGTGATTGCAAATTTAACACTCTCCTTACTAAATCTTTGCTCCATTCAGTGACAAGAAATGAAGAACTTCCCACAATATCAATAAATTTAAAGGCAGAAGGGTGGCGAGAAGAAAGAAATCTGAGGATATTTTTGATTTAGAACCAAATTCTCCCAACTAAAGTTAAAGTATGACATTCAGTGGGGAAAACTGATATTTGGGTCTTAGTGAAAGGATTAGTACCCTGCCTTTTATTTTGATGGGATTTTACACCTGATCTCCCCCACTGAAGTGCAGCACTCAAAATGAGCTGACCAGCCAGTTGACAATCACACTGGTATTGGGTATGAAGGCTTTCACAGCTTTTCTTTGAATGGAATCAGTTGTGAATCTAGTCAATAGTAAACAAGGGTATTCATCTTTCTCAACTACCAGATGTAACACAAGGATGTAATCCCCAACTTCAAATAAGCAAATGTAAAAATGGAATAAATACCATCACCACCAAAATATCAATTCAAATGAAAATAAAATAGCCTTTATTCAATTTGCATTTTCTCAGGCAAATCACCTTTAGTTAAGATCATATTATTCTGCTTAGCAGCACTCTCAATATTGACAACTTATTCAATAATTTTTATCCACAATTAAATACATGAATCTCTCCCTTCTTATACTATTTTCTTATCACATGACAATTTCAAGACTATCTTGTCAAATAACGTCAAATTGAAGGTCAAAGAATTCCTTCTTATGTCCATGGATATCACTTTCATCATTGACTGTTGAATACAACATGTGACATAATTTCTGGCTTAGTCATTGAAAGTAGTTTTCTGTACAAAAATAACATTCACATTATCCACTTTGTACAGTTACTCCTCAAAACATTTACAACCTTGGTAGGTTTCATACTTATACATATAAATAAAAGCTCTTCATCTACAAGTCTGTTGCAATTATCACAAATTTTCAAGAAATTAGAAAATTACTAACTAGTAGTGAGGTAAGTTAGTGTTAACTGAGTTGAAAACGTATATTGGCCACCGTAAAGAGTAAAAAAACTGACGTTTCGAGCCCTTCGTAAGAGCGATAGGTGGCCAATTTACGTTTTCAACTCAATTTAAAACTAAATTACCTGCTATACTCTTGCTGCACCACAGTTTCTTTAGAAACTTACCCCCTTTATTAGTAGTGAGAGGTATTGAGTACAACAGAGCAGTATCCACAATGGTATCACTAAGAAATTTAAGAAACCATGAATGCAGTAACAACAGGTTTAATGAGCAGAGAGATAAAAACTTTACAGATTTAATTTCTATCCTCTGCTAAAAGATATTCCCCTGCTAATTCTGACCAAAAAGAGCACTAAGAGTTAAAGAAATTCATGTTTCCCTGTTCAGGGTCAAATACAGTACTTTCTTACTGTAAGAAGAAAAAAAGTAGCACTGCCATTGCTATCCAACTTCCTTTAACTTGCTTTTCTTAATACAGACATCTTTGCACCAAGACTTGAGCGTACAAAAGGCACTCTGTCATATTGCCAACAAGCCATCAGGTTACACACAAACTACATTGGCTACCCTGTGCAATGCTCAGTTTAAGTCTCTGATATTATTTTAGATGGTACATTATCTTGAGGGAAACTCAGCTTTATCTACCTTTCTGCCATCCTTCTACAAAGCTTTTTGTACATTTTATAGAGCTGCTTTCTGGTCTCTCACTCTTCACAACTTCATGATTAAATTATTCTTTTTCCTCTTCCTGTGATAGATTTGAGGACTCTGCATGATACTGAATTACAGCTTCGTCTTTGATAAATTCTCCATTTAAATTCTCAATCTTTTCATCATCAGTTCTATTTATTTCCTCCTGTTCACTGAAAAAGATCTCAAAATTTAAGCTCTTTGGTCTTTGTTTCGCATGTGAGCTGCATCTATCTGGATAGCGATGATGAACAGGGTGATTTTCCTTGACTGCTGGTGACAAGTCCTGGTAACTCTCACCAACCGCAAGTTTCCTCCCATCTTGTAGAGATTTGCTGAGTTTCTCTAGGGCATTAACCTAAAGCAAAACAAAAAAAACAATTATTAGTCAAATCACTCCCAGATCACACTCATGCAGAAAAAATTGAAAACACTTGTGATAACTTTTAATCACTGATTAATACAGCAGTCCATCACTGACAAAGGCTTGTGGTGTATTAATATTAGTACCCCAATTGTCTTCCCAGGGGACATTTCCCTCTCCATTATGATCTCCAGCTATTGTCTCTATAATAATCTTACACTGCAAAAGTTGGAAACACCATTGCTGCTTCAGCAGGGTATGGCAACTTATGCCAATTGATGCAATTACCACAAAAAATTGACAAGTATATCACCTCAGTTGACCTTAATTCATTCAAAGCTGGATTGTGATTAGAAAAAGTGATTGAGGTAGGTATGTGCTGTCTTAGGAAAATAAACCTTCCTCCTCTCAATATTTGGTACCTTCATAACCTTACACATCTCTTTTTGATTGTAGGGTCTGAGAGATGACTGGGATTGCATAATCACTACACACCTGAATGATCAATGATTTTGGTGTGAGAGGTTACCAACCAATCTCTGAATTTACAACTTGTGACAACTTGTTCAGGAGTTTTGACACAGAGAAGAAACATATTAAGTTATTGAGAGGATATTCTACAGTTTCGCTGGTTACTAAAAATGCTTTTGTTTACTGCTTAAAGTTAAGAACTTTCTTTAAAGTCGGTGTACTGTATGTGTATTGTTGACTTGCTTTTACCCTAATTCACTTTTGTTTTAACCAGCTCAAAAGTTAAGTTATCTTTCAAAAAGAACAACAAGTTTACCACAACAACCATCACAAAAAGACAACCACACAAACCCAAAAACCAAACAAAAAAACAAACACAAACACACAATAAATTCCTTTTAAAAAGTTGTCAAAATATTTGAATTAATTTTACCGTAGATTATAATTTTTTAAATTTTTTAATAAATTTTTATCAAGTTATTAATACAAAAAAAAATATCAAAACTCACCTTTGGTATTAATACCTTACCTTAATAAATTAAAATCTTGAACTTGAAGGACAGATGAGCTGGATTAGATTTGTGAACATTTTGTGAAAATTAGCATGATCATGGAAGGATCCTTAGAGACATCTTTAACAGATTGAAGTAAATACCAGTAGTTTATTTCCCCTGAAGATAATTCTTAGTTGGTGATTTAGAAACAGAAGAAAATTTAATTTACAGAGTAGTGTCATCTCACTTGTTTAGGAACACATAGCTACCAATTAAGAATGCTACACTACAATTTAGATGAATGATTTATCAAGTCCTTTTCTTAATTTCAATCATAGTTGATTGAGATATATTATTGTTCAAGTCAGAGCAGTTATGTCAACTACAGATATCCCTGATTAAGTCATAGAAGATGGATTTAAGAATGACAAAGGTACCAAAGTTTAATAAATTTTCAGTAATGTTTATGTACCAGTTAGCTTGGTCTTTCATCAGTTTAAACCTAGAATTCTTTTACTAAGAGGAGGCTTTCACTCTTTCTACCTGATTACTCCATACAAAATGGATTCGTCAAAAAAGGATACTACAACTATTCAATTAGTTTCAGTTATGTTTAATGAATCATTAATTTTTTGTCTTTTGGTTATCAACATGAATGTTTTTAAATAAGTTACTTAGAAAAAAGATTGCTCTTTTATAGTGTTGCTTCCTTAAAATTTAGGAAAGAGTGGGTCAAAACAAAGGAAGTTGGACTTTGAAAATTTAAAATGACTTTCACTTGCATTTAAAATTCAAATTTCTCATTTCTAATAAATTATATAAGTTTATTTTCAAAAGGTTATCTTGGTTTTATTACAAAAATAGAAATGAAAATATTACAGGAATAAATAAACAAGGAGGGCTACTACAAAAATTATGTTTAATATTTATATATATGTCAGTGTTTTATTTCTTCCTTTATATAAAATTATAAGCAATGTAATTAACAACGGCAATTCAATCATTTTGTTTGCTACTTGACTCACTTAAATGTTACTATCTTTTTTAAAAAGTTTTTAAAATTAAATTTTAGCCAAGCTTAAACCTTTTATTGCATTGAATCATTCTTTAAATTGTAATTTAGAATTTTTAACTCTCACATTACAGGTAAGATTATCAGAAAATGTCTGTGCAACATGGTTATCTAGCATTATAACCTAAATTTCATTGGTGGTTGTCTAAGAACTTTACATTTTCCTTGTGCAGTGGGTGGGTTCCCAATGGTACCATTTTTTGCCTTTCTCTGTGGACTCTGTGGAGTTGGGGACCCACCAGGGCTCTTGGCCTGACCTAATGGTCTCTTCCATACAGGAACATAATTAGCAGGGGTTCTCAAAGAGGGTCTCTTTTGGGGAGTGTTAGTTTTCACACTCTTCAATTGTTCTGGTTCATCCATAATGATGTTGAGAGAGTCTGTGGCTTTGTGAAAATCCTTTCTAATAATGTTCCTTGATAAAGGTGAAAGGGCTTTTCTTCTGACATGGTCCTTTTGTGGACCCTTGCTCCTGGGGTTCTCCCTTCCTTTCTGTGCAACAAAAACAAGTGAGAAATCAGTTACCAGAAGAGCAGAAATGTGTGGAGTTCCTCTCTACAATGCACACTCTTGAAGCCATATTTAAAAAAAATGCATGGTACCATTTAAAATGTCCATCAATGGCATTTGGAAAAAGGAAGTCACCCCAAAAAATATATTCTACAATGAAGCAAATTGAGAAAATGCAAAGATGGGGCCACCTGAGAAACTTTGAGATAGTCTTCAATAAAAAGGAAACAAAAAATTATTTATTTTTTTTATAACACTGAGTAAAAGCACCAATTTCAAGTATCCACAAGTTTTTCCTGCTAAGATAAAGGTTTGTCCAACTTTATTAATTCATAATAGGAATAAAGGAAATTGGCATTTTCAGGTTTAATACTTTACACAAAGAACATCAATCTCTGATTTAATTTTATGGTAAATGCATTTTTATAAAAATGGCAGATTAAATCGTACTCAAACCAATATTTACACTCAGCTCAAATAAAAAGAAGTTTGAAAAAGGATTAAGAGGAAGATGATTTAAAAAAGATTTATTTCAAAATAGCATTTTAGTTACAGCAGTATCAAGTTATATTAACCCATGCAATCAGTGTCTTCTTTTAGAGACAAAACCTAAGTATGTAATTCTGTAATTCCAAGTAACTGGTAATTTCCTAAGCTTATCTGTACATTTAGTTTCCTATGGAACATTTCAATACCAACTTAACTTTTTTATAAGAAATTATCCTTACTTGTTCGTTCAGAGGGCCATCATGCCTGCTACTTAGATACCAGTAATAATTCATCACCCATGTTTCATTAACCCTTAGTTTTACACCCTAACATCAGTATGCATATTCTCCCTACTGTTCTCTATACATTTCCAAAGGCCCTGACAAGGAGAATTTGTTTAAAAAAAATCAAGAGCTTCTTTAGTTGGTGATCATTTCTTTTATTCTTGTGACCTTAATGTTTCACTGAGGGGTGATTTTCCAAGGAGAAACTAGATGCTAGTCACTCTCAGAGGTTTAAGGGTTAAGTATCAAAATTTATAAAAGGAATTACAAGACAAGTGTGAGTTAACTTTTCCCTCTGCAACAAAGATCAGAGCTGAAAATGAAAAGTCTTCTTTTTCATTGTTTGCATTTTGTTTTCATGAAATTGTACAGCAGTATACCTACCTACCAAGGGTTACATGAAGATGATTTAAGATCTCCATCTACAAAATTGACATGCATTTATTGTATTTTTTTGAGAGACAATTTAAATTTATTTCCTGTTAGATTTTTTCCATCATTAAATTTACCTTATGCTTACAAATTAACATCTCAATAATAATACTTCTATTTAATTTTATTTATCAAAAATACCTACCTTATAACTCAATTACCCAATACAAAAAAATACCAAATACTACTCCATTTTGTAAAACAACTCATAGCTGTAACCAGAAATTATTTTGTCGTCAAAAATCATTACAAACTTGCTACTTTTCATTTAAAGTCATACAAATTCAAAACCTTGATATCATTCTCTAAATGCAAATTTTTTTTCACCAAACCTTTCAAAACTAGTCTATAATTTACAATTACCTTCTGCTTTTTCTGTACATTTACGTTTTTTAAAATCAAATACAATAAAATTGATGCTACTAATCAAAACCTTTTCAACTTTGCTCAAAGTGATATTATTGCCTTGATTCTGTTATAAATAACCTTACAAATTTAATTCAGTACCAAAGAAATGCTTATTTGATAAGTAAGTTGATCATAAAGACATAGGCTTTAGAACCTTTAAGGGTTTACATGATTTACATGTTGGTTAATTAATGTTACCCTAGACTTCAACAGCAACATTTGCTCCTTTTGAAAGGCTCATTTTAAGTCTTTTGAGTTCCTCAGTTAAGTTAACTAAACCACTCTTCTTTTTCTCTGACTGATCAGGTATCTTTGTTTCCAAACTGTCCTGAGTTTGTTCAGCAGAAGCTGAGCCAAGACTGAGGTTAGCCTTTTCCCCTTTAGAGCCAACCACATTCTCATCTATGAGTGCTGGCTTGAGAACAAGATCTCTTTCAACAAATTGCCACAAGTTAACAGAATCCGTTTTTGTAATTTGGGGTATGTTGAACTTGTCAATTGGAGTTCCATCTTTGTGTTCCACCCTTGCACTATGGGACCTTTTCCTCTGTCTAACTCCACAGTCTTCACAGGAATCATGAATTCTGTGATCACTATTTAAACTAAGGCTATCATTCTGTAATGATGGACTGCGCTTTGTCTTCAAATCAGGCTTTCGCCTGTTTTCAGACCAGCCAAAGCTGTGCTTTGCTTGTTGTGGAAGTACACTTTGTTCACTAACAGCATTAAGAACTAAATCAGAAATCTCAAGCTGAGTTTTTGGACTGTGAATATCAGGACTGCTCACATGCCTATAAGGCAAATCCCCACCAGTTAAACTTTCTATATTTTGCCATGCATTTTCGTAAAAGTGTAATCTACTGTCAGACCCATGATGCACGTCATGAGCACTGCTAGGTTGTGAAGGCATGTTGAGAACTTCGTCAGAGAAAACAACTTTCTTTGACTCAATGAGCCTCTGGTTGTCTGTCTGAAAAGACCTCCTCTTTGAATTGGACTGAGCTTTCTTTGAGAAATAGTTTACCGTTTGTACAGCGATGGCAGCTCCTCTTAGTCTTCTTCTTGGATCAAAATTTCTTGTAATTTCCATTTTCAGATTATTATGAATGTCCTTATCTCCTGTTGTATGACCCTGCACAATCAAAGGAAATTAACCTTCAGTCGTGCTGCATTAATTTTGTAGATGTTGATAAACACACCGTTTTTTGGAAAAACATACATCTACACCTCTTGTAACCAATGTTAACCTTCACTTGGCCACAAAGAGCTACAAAGTTATAATCACAACAGTACTGACACAACATCAAAGTTTGAGAAATTGCTAATCAATTCTAGCACGCTGGATGCACCTTTTAGAAAGTGATCATAACATACTTTAACCCTTTAACTCCCATGAGTCACCAAGACAGAATTTCTCCTTATAACATCAATACAGTATCAACCAGATAAGTGATGAGAATAAAGAAAAATATCAATTTGGGGATAATTAGTTGATCCAATATTAAATTTTCTGAACTAACATTATAAGAATTGTATGGTTAACAGTGAGGAGAATTACAAATTTGATCTTGGAGTTAGAGGGTTAAGAATTTTTTTGCCACTATCAATCATAAACCAAAAGTTTGCAGCACATCTAAACTGTCTGTTAGATACTTTTTTCCTGTAAAAATAGGGCGATGTATTTTACTCCTCCCAGAAATGTAAACTAAAAAACTATGTTAAAAAGTGATGATGAAATAATAATCACCTTTATCCATGAGTGATTTAAAACTTGGAGAGCAGAGAATCTTTTATTGTCATCAACAACAAGCATGTGGTTTATAAGATCCTGGGATGGGAGACAAGATATACAAAAAAAAAAAATTATTATTATAAGAAATAACAAGAGTGCCAATGCCTTGTCAAAAATAATGTTAGCCATTCAATAACAAAGGAGCACTGGTGAATATTGGTGAATAATCCCCTCAACTTTGTCTCAGAATTATTCAACAACATTCACTGAGCCTTAGGCAAATAATTGTTAAATATCATTCCATATACATTCCACACACACCCCTGTGAGAGAATCCCTTCCTTAAAACAATAATTGTTAAATATCATTCCATATACATTCAACACACACCCCTGTGATAGAATCCCTTCCTTAAAACAATAATTGTTAAATATCATTCCATATACATTCCACACACACACCCCTGTGAGGGGATCCCTTCCTTAAAACAATAATTGTTAAATATCATTCCATATACATTCCACACACACACCCCTGTGAGGGGATCCCTTCCTTAAAACAATAATTGTTAAATATCATTCCATATACATTCCACACACACACTCCTGTGAGGGGATCCCTTCCTTAGAATAATAATTGTTAAATATCATTTTATTTACATTCCACACCCACACCCCTGTAAGCAAATCCCTTTCTTAGATATAGGTTATAAATATCACCAGACAGAATTTTTTTTGGATGCAGCAATTCATACCTTTGCTGAATCTGATATGTCATCCCAAAAGGGTGACAGGTATTCAAATTCTCCAGCAAGAATCAAGTCAAACAGTTCATCCTGGTCTGGACTGCAACATGAAAGGTAAAAAAGTTAAACTCATGGCAGAAGACTTTTAACTGATACAGTGAATGGTTTGAACCCAGACAGAACAGTTGGTCAATTAGTCTAATTGTCTGATGAGAGAATGCCTGAAAGTCAATTGCTTACAAGTAGAACACTCAAAGGAAAATTTCATAACTACTGTGTGTGTACACATGTATAATTCTCTATTTAATTGACTTTAAGGAATATAAAGTAAATTTACAAGTTATCAAAAAAAATCACCAAAAAGGAATTTAGAGGAAAAACAAAACTATTTAAAACTTTTGTGAAATAATAACAAACCTTCTGAATGGTGGAAATCCACAAAGAAGAATATAAGTGATAACTCCTGCTGCCCAAATATCAACTTTCAGACCATATCTGTTATAAAAAAAATAAATTTAAATCATGGAGCCCCAATACTCTTATTATGACATAATTAGCAGCTGCTGCATGAGAAAAGGTAACTTTGCTTAAGATTCAAACTGGATTGTCAGACATGAACCCTTAGCTACTGAACTTGGTGCTTAACTTTTACTCCCAGTTAGTTTATCGTTAGTCAAGATTATCATAAAAAATCATGATTTACCATTGACAAGAAGATCAATTAATTGCTAAAGCTTAATAAGTCTGTAGCAATTAATTAATAATTGTTTTGTCATCCTTCTTCCCCCCAGTCTTTCAGCAAGAGCATTGATACAACAATGCATGAACATGAAATTTCTTTTAGCAAAACACAATTGAATGGCATGGCAAGCAGAAAGTCCATTATTTGTTGCCAAATATTTGCAAGTTAAGTTGAGGGCTCTTGTTCAATGCAAAGAAAGTAAGAGTAAACCCAGTGATTATAACTTTATTCTTGGTCTGTAAATAATCAAATTTCAAATTTCTTTTCAAATTGTTTCACACTTACCCTGTTTCATCCAGGATTTCAGGTGCAACATAAGTTGGTGTTCCACAAACAAGGAACATGGGGCTTTTCACTTCAGTAGCTAATCCAAAATCTGCTAGCTTCAAGGATTTTCTATTATCTGAATAATTTACAACCTGTACAGAAGCACACAAGAAAGTCCAATTAGGATTCTGTACAAATAAAAATCACCACTGACAGTTACCCAAATCATAACACTTAAATTGCGATTCAAAATAGCTTACAACCAAGCTACTTACTAATAAATTTTCTGGTTTAATATCTCTATGTACAACATTCATGGAATGTAGATAATGCAGTGCTGCTGCCAAGTCGCGCACCATATGGCTGGCATCTTTCTCTGTGTACTTGGTGGCCTTTACTATTGCTTCAAAAAGATCTCCTCCCTTAATAAATCAGAAAAAAAGAAATGAAACATTAATTTGGTAACCTTCACTTTTAGGCTTACAGTTGTTCCCTTCGTATCTTGAAAGGAGACCTCCTCAAGCAGGGGTCAGAGGAAAAAATTATCAAATGCCTTCTTGGCAACTTTTCTCATTTACAGCTTACTAAAATATTATAGACAATCAAATCTTTATCAAAGTAAACTGGCTTACAAGGTCAAGGCTAATTAATTGCTATGGGTAGTTATGGGATGTATGGTATAATTTTGATCATGACAAAAAATCTTGATTCTCACCTTAACTAGTTCCATAACAAGGAATATTTCTTTAGGAGTTTCATACTCTTCAATAAGTTCCACAATATTTTTATGTTTCACTCTTCTTAATATACTAATTTCATTTTCAACCATATGTTCCTGAAAGAGGAATAGCAGCATTAGTGTAAAAGGAAGGCAAAACACAATATCAATGACAATCTCTTCTCTTCAACTGCACCTAAGCCACAAGAAATCACAAAGGGTTTTAATCCTTTAACTCCCAAGATCTACTTGCTTATTATCCACTCTAGCTTCTACACATTTCCTTGTAAATTAGTTCTGAAAATTTGGTGTTAAATCAAGATAACAACTGTTAAATGATAGGTTTGAGTATTCCCATAAACTGTTTGCTGGATAATGTATGAATACTTGGGGGAGAAGTGCCATGTTTATCACTTCTGGGAGTTAAAGGGTTAAGTAACCCTGCCTAACACCAGACACCACAGGAAGAGATAAGAAAAGAGGGTCTCCTTGCAATTTCAATACCACATCCTCAACACAGTGTTGAGAATAAACAAATGCACTGGCTCAAGGGTTGTTTCTTCATTATAGCAAAAAAATCCTCATAACAAATTTCACAGGGAACAACACCTTGATGGGAGAATTGCTTATCAAAGGATTAGCTAGAAGGAGGTTTTCCCAATGAAAAAAAAAAACAAAACAAACTTCCCAGTGAACAAAAACTGAATTGATGCTCTGTTCACCACAGGTAGTAAGGGATTAATAACAACAACCCTTTTCACCTTTCTCCTTAATGTCACTTTCCATCTTCACTAACTCTGATCTCCCAAGGTGGGTTCAAGTTGTTACAAGACATATTCCTGAATTGGGTGTTGTTTTCAGGACTTCATTTTTAAACACCATTAACAATATAACATTGGGTATCTGTTCAGATGCTCGGGCCCTAGCCATGACACTCTACCAAGGCAAGTTAAGTGAGAGACATTCTGTACAAAAAGACCTTACCTTTCCCTTTACTTTAGCTTTGCTAATAATCTTCAATGCATATTCCTTATTAGTTTTCCTGTCAAGAAATCAAGATCAAAAGTCCATTTCAATGCTTTCTCCTTCTTAAGACTGTTTTTTTCAATGCCTCTTTCAGCAATTATACAATTTCACTGATTTTTTTTACAGATTTGAGTTGTTTCCTTGTATTTGTTGCAAAAAAATGACACTTCATTACATATTTGGGTGTGATGTAGAATATATATGAATGCTCTTCAGTCCAGTAATTTTGTCACAAGTTTGAAGTTTGTTATTTTCAAACATAAAAGTCATTTGTGATGCTATCTATTTTTTACCAAAAAAGTTCATGTCTATATAAGAGCCCCAAAGTTACCCACCTATTTTTACATTCCCTTACAACAGCAAAATTCCCATCTCCTATAACTTTTCCTATTCTGTAGAAGCCATGCACTGATATTCTTTCTCTTTTAGTTTTCTTGGGATCTTTAGCTGTAACTGAAATAAAAAAAAATTACATTTGACTCAAATGTAAGATAAAGTACCATACCATAACTGTTAAGCTTGCCTAATACTACCTCCCAGAATTGAACAAAAAATTAAAACTGAGATATCTATTTTCACAACACACTAAAGAATACATTGAAGACTTCAGTTGGTGCCAATATAACTTCATTTTCATCTCCTGCTTTACATATAACACAGACAGCAACCAAACTAGACATAATAAAATTCAAATATCCAACCACAATACAAATTAGTACAGTAAACTAAAAAAACTGCTTTAATTAAAGTTTCATATAAGCAGTAAATTGTTTACAAAGCATTCCAAATAAAAAATTTAAGACAAAACAAATGTTGTTTCTACATATCAAATAAAAATTGAATTTGTTCCATTAAAATCTGTAAAATTTTGTACTGGTGCAATAATGATTCCCTTATGATAAAAAATTCTGCTGGTATAAATTTTACAATAACGCATTACAGCAGTATCCATGATATCATTTTTAGAGAAATTATCAGGCATAGGAACAGATTGTAAAACTTATAGTTTCAAATGAAATAATGTTCACAATCTTTCCTTGATTACTTTAGGCTCAAGAAGGCAAAAAATTCATTTTAAAAATACAGATCATTTATTAAACAAAGTATCCCCACAAGGCTTCTACAAAGAGAAAGAGAATTAATTTAAGAGCAAAAGCAACAATTCCTCAGAAGCTTGGCATGATACATTTTATGCAAAACTGAGTCTTTTCTATTTTCTACTTTCATTATGGTAAAAACCACAGGATTCATTAAGAATCAAAGAAGGAATATTGAAATCAACCAATGAGAAGGCTCTCAGGTGAAAAGTTTAGAGCCACCTGCTATCAAAGGAAGTAAGCTAAGCTGTGAGCCTCTTTCATTTACATAAACTTTTATCTAGATATACAAGCTCTTCAGACTGATAAAACTTTTTTGAATTGTCAAAAACTTCAATAAAGCACTCTTTAGGGTCAAATTCATTTCCTAACCTTAAATAAAATTAATTTGGTCTAGACACTTTTATGTTTACCTTCATTATTTTATGTCTGGGGAGGTTTAGTGAATTAAAAATTTTTACTTTATTTTCTTCTCATTTAGTACCTTAAGTATCAGTAATTCAAGCAATAAAAAGCTAACACACCATATTTTTAATGACATATATTGGATGATTTAGTTAATGAAATGAGATTTAAGTTTATTCTTATAATGGTTACTCTTTGAACTTATGCATATTCAACTTTGAGGTAAAATTATTTTTTATTGGAAAAAGCAATAATGATGGCAGATGTGTTTGTTACCAGATAGGTTAAGAGAAGATGGAAGATAAGAATGAACAAAGGAAAAACTAATTATTTATGAGACAGTACCCTTAAAAGGAAACTCAAAGAAAGGATTGGTAACAAGAGAACTTAAAGTAGGATTTCCATAAATGGAATTGTTCTGCTTGTATTACACTTCACAATTTACTGGTGAAGTCACAGCTGGATAGAAAAAGAAAAGGGGAAGATTAGCATGATCTTTGGGGAGATTCAATTCTGCCTCCAAATTCAAAATACAAATGATAAGTAAAAACATTAAGGTGATAATTCCTTGTTATCAACCAAATGACAGTATTGAAGGACTTGAAATGAAACTTTTAAAATGTTACACTTTTGAATTGGGTAAAAATTGATATAATTGTTATATTCACTTGCATTTGAACACTACAAACCCTTCACCAAATTAAACTTCTGTTAAACCCACAATTACACCCTTTTCTTGCTTAGACCACCGAGCAGTTTTAAATGTTAAAGATAGAGACAGATTAATTTGAGAACAGAGAAGAGACAGAGCTGCCAGGAATTATCATCTCCATTTATTTGACTACTGGATAACACTCACTAACCATTTAGTACTCTACCAGTTCTTATGGTTCCAAATCAAACATGACGAACTGAAAACAATTTTACAATTGGATTATGTGTTATGGCTTTCATAATCACAATAAAATTTTAGCTGATCAATGCTGGAAAATATTTCAAAATGGACAAGGCCTAGTATCATTTAATAGCCAATTTATTTAAGTAGTTCACAACTGAAAAAACACCTGTCAAATTGCCACAAGTCAATACCTACCAGGAATCACCAGGAGTTAAAAAAAGTTAAAATAAACAAATGGTTAAAATGAAAGTTGAACAATTTACATGGCTATAAGTTGCAAGTAAAATCTGATAAATTGATTTTTTGGTCAAAATCAAGAAAACTGAAATTGTGTCTTGCATCTTGGTCTTAACAAGTAATAAACCTTGCTTGGGTTAACGTAATTGACAGTGAAGGCAGAAAATGGTGGCAGCCGTTTAAGTCAATCAATCAAAATCCTAGTTTTAGAGTTTTGAAGATTATAACAACTCTTATTCTTCAATCTTTGGCTTGCCTAGAGTATAGTGGGAACTAAAATATTCTACAGCTTTTTTGGCACTCAACGAAAGAGCTTAATCATTGACTATGCACTCCAACTAAATTGCATAACAATTTAACAGCATTTGCTAGCTTCTAACAAGTTGTGACACTAAACTCTACAGTTTTAAGCACTTGACTTTAATAATGAAAATTAATTGAAACCTAACTTAAAAACAAAATTTAAAACTTGCTTATCTTTTACTTAGCGGAATTTCAATATCAGCAAACAACAGCACATTAAATTTCAAGAAAGAACAAAAGTATTTCTACAAGTTGCTTCAAAGGTTTATCTTTAGCACTTGTTTACTTTAAAGTTCAGTGAATTAAACATTTTATTCATGCTCCCAATTCCATGAGAGACAGGGAATAAGCAAGGAGCTCCTTCGTATCTACTCAAATGATGCATCCACACCAGAATCGATTCTCTCTGCAGAGAAAGCATATGACATCAAGGTTTAGTGACTTTAGTTGTCTGAGAATTCCAATTCCCCTTTTTTTAAGGGTGCACTCTATTGATATGAAGACAAAAACATGATTGTATTTTTCAATACACTAGCAAAATTATTGGACCAGTTTTGCCTCACATACTTTTTAAACCATATTAAAAAAAAAAGTTTTAGCACACAGGAACTATCAAGCTACGAAAAAAATTATCAAAAGCTACAATAATTTAAGAAATCATTACAAAAATTGTGTTTTTGTCTCCATATGGTGCAAATGGTGTTTTATGTAATGCAGTAGACAAAAGGTCCAAGATTTAATACAAATAGACTATTAAATCAGTTTTGCACGACCCATGCTCTCCAACTGGTACCTACATTAACATCTTGCTGTTGCCACCTGCTTGAACCCACCCATGCATGGTACTCATTTGTCTTGACCACAAGTTCTAGTTTTCAGATCCCCCTTCCCAAATAGAATATTCGGAACCATTGTTCCTAAGCAGAAATGGTCTACATATCAAACAAAAGCTGTCATCCAATTTCTATTTACAATTTGTGTGATTTAAAACTGGCCCAACAATAATTCAGTATTTTCTCACTTTTAAGTAGAGGGGAGCTCCTTGCAAATTGGAATATAAATATAGAAGCAATTTAATATTCACATAACTCAAGAAAAACCCCAAGTAAAATTTTCTCACAAAGACAAAATGGAAGCAGAAATAATAAACCATCACAGAAATAATAAACTAACAGACATATAGGGAAGGAAATACAACATGAACAAGATTCAGTTTGGGATGAAGAAAGACTACTACAAGAGAAGGCAGAGAGAAAACCTTGCAAGGAAAAGACAACACAAAACTTGACCCACATGCGAAGTCAGATCTGAGAATCAAACCCAAGCCAAAATGGGAAGAGAGTAGTTTTGATTCCAATGTATCATCCCTGCTTCTGTCACCTAAAGCAGCTTTTGCTAATCAGTTTATGCTTTTGGTGTGTGACAAACACAATTTTTTTTCTTAAGTATTCACAATGCGGGAATCAATGTCATTTAGGATAGATTTATCAGTGAATCAGATGCCAGCAAATCATCTCAATAATATTACTCATAAATCATCCACAGAAAGTGATTGTCATAATAATACAATAAATTGAAACTGACTGATAATAGTATAGTCAAGGAAGGGAAATAAACAGATTACATATTAACAATGATGAACAAACATTACAGGTTAACAATGATTGAGTACACCATTTAGCTAAGTGTTTAAAATTTTACTATTTTAAAGATTAAGCTGGCCTGTCACACAGAAAAAACATTACATTTAGACAAAAGCTGCCTTAGTAGTCCCCAAAATAATAAATAGGAAAAAACAAACTTATAAGGTTGGTATATATATTTTATTCATAAAATAAAGATGATATTTACAGCTTGAATATACAGAACAGGATATTATGGGGAAAAAATCATTCTACACTGTCATTTCTGTTTATCAGGTTATTGATTTAAGTTTGGTTTATCATTTTAGTAAGAAGTTTAATATGCTCTGTTAAAAATATATTGCAAAAATTCAAGCAAGGTTTATTAAAGAATCTTTGAGTATATGTTGTGTTTTTGAATGTTTAAATCATGCATTTAGTCTCTCTATGGGTATTCATGCAATTCAACATCACTTCCGGTTTATACTAAGATCAGAAGTTGGCCCTCTTGTGTTAAAAATATTTATAATTCTTTTGCTTCTTGGCGAGATCTTTTATGAAAAGCAATCTTTTCCAATGATACACAGGCTTACCAACCCATAGAGGGCCTTGCACAATGTGCTCTAAATCTCAAGACATATTTCAATGCAGAAGAGAAACCATCTAGTTACAAGAAATTCCTGTTCACAAAGAAGCTGATGTTGCTTTAGGTTCACAATTACTTCTTGAGTTTTATTTCAGTTTATTCCCAATTTTTTGGGTTTTATGCAATGAAATATCTACTCAAAATTTTTAACTTCAATTTTATGAATTTATGATATATCTGTTATTATTATGATCAAGGTTCAATGTCACATTTTCTCGTGTAAGCAGAGGAAGTGTTAAATTAACACTTTCTCTATTGTGTGACAAGAAGGGAATCTAAATGATAAACAAATAATTGTTAAAAATTTTCACTCTTCAGAGTCATGAGAAGATTCAGACTTCATCCAAAATCATGCCAATTATAGCTATCAGAGATTATACCATACCAATTAATTATTAGCTTAAACCAATTCATGCACAAAGATGAATGTTTGTTACATAAGCTATGAGGAATAATAAACTTGTTTGTTTGAAATTTTAACTCTAACACTTTGATAGAGAAATCCTAGTGTTTCATGCTGTAATATTTGGTTGTCAATAAGCATAAACAAACAGTTTAAGCATTCTACTGTATCTCAGTGCCAGAAAGAAATTCCTTGAAAAGCTTCCATTCACTTTGGTCTCCATGCTTCTTGTCAAACAATACACAGCAATGTGGAATTGATGGGTGCTCGGGTGAAAGCAGTTTCATAATTCGTTCAGCTGCGAGGTATTGTAGGAAAATTAGTCAGTTAAAAATTGGTCTAGATCAAAAAAGGGAAAATGAAAATAAAACTACATCCTTGAGTCTTCAAAAAGACAGAAAGGTTGATAGGTATCTAATATTTTCCTCTAGCAATTCAATTCCAGAGGCACCTATTGTTTTGTCACAATTGAAATATGGGACAATTTTCTACAAAAACAAGTATTCAAATTATCGACATATGAATAACTTCACTTCCTTCTTTTGACTAGCTCACACAACAGGTTGTGGTATCTTTTGATTTATTTTTTCTCCTCAAAAGCAAATCTGCATCACTTTTTGATCTCTTTCTGAGTGTTTGTGGTAGTTCATTAGACTGGGGAATCTTGTGATCGTAATGATAATTTTCTACAGAGACTTTTGAATCTATGTGAATTTCACTTATGTGTGGGTGAGTTTCTGCCAATGATGACGCCTCATCTAGACTGTCATGTTCAATACTCCGTAAACAGTTTACTCTTTCCTCTAGTTTTTCTAAGGCTGCTTGTAATTCAACAGTAAGTTTTTTCAATTCTCTATTCTCTTGTTCTAATTGTAGAGTTGTGAAACGATCTTGAAGGTCTTTAGCACAAAGCTGATTGAGCTCAGCATCTGGTAAACTTAATGTTCTATGAAGTTTCTTCCTAAGCCCAATTGCTTCATCGTATGATTTATCAATTTCGGAATGTAAGCCTGAATCTTCATCTTCAAACTTTGAAAAAAGTGAAGGAGTGTCTGGTCGACTACTAAATGGAGAAGATGCCTGGCTACTGAGGGGTGATGTGGGCCGGCTACTGTAGGGCGTGGTGGCATGGCTACTTAATGCGATTGTACCCCTATTTCCCATTAGTTCTAACTTCTTATCTGGCTCCGATTCATAATCACTGAGCCATACAGTTGAATAAAACTTGTCACTTGACGGAGGGTTTGTCTTTGTTTTAGGTTTCCTAATGACTTTCTTCGGAGCTCCCTTCCTCCAAGCTGTGTATAGTATGAAAATTTACTAAGTATCACTCTTGTTTCTTTTCATTCCATAATCACCATCCAAATTGATAGGCCCAATTCTACATCTTTCCATAATTCAAGACAGAAAGGCTTAAAAGATCACTTTATATTCTTTTATGTTTTTTTTTTTAATCTCAGGGTGACAAATCTTCAACTCAGACAGAAAGTTGCAATTTTTAACAACATATTTACAGTTTAAGTAAGGACCTACAAATCAGAATTTAACATTAATGGAAGCTGGCAGCTTTGATTGTGTGACAGGCAAACCTTAAGCTTTAAAATGGATTAATTTTTTTCAACCACTTTTTATATTGTTTATTAAATTTTAAAAGTGTTTATTGGCATATAGTTAGCTTTAAGCTGAGAATTTTTTTAAAAAATACAGACAAGGAGAAGGATCAAATATTTTCATTCAGAATTACATTGAGTATGTGAAATTGTGACCAGCACAAATTCTTCAAGTTGCTTCAGCTACTCAAATAAGTATGGACTCGAATCTGAAGTACTCAAACCCCTCTGGATGTCTGTATTTCAGTCAAAGCAGGCATGATCTTGGATAAATTTTAAGTGTTTCACAAAATAATCTCACCTGAATCGGGTGATTCCTTCTCAAAGACATGAGCTGGATACCTGTTTCAAACAAACATCATTTCCTGTTATCCAAAGAGTGTCTTCATCAATAAAATCAACAGCTAAGTTTGGAAGTAATTGATTGAAGCTACTAAATGATTGCCAACTTAAAAATTACTCAGACTTGAAGTGTATCAAGATATCAATATTGCATGTACTGACTGCTTTGAGAACCATATCCTCTTCATTTGAAGGCTTCATGTCACAATTTATTGAAAATGAAGTCAAAATGACCCATCCAGGTCTGAGTCTTGTATAACAACCACTGAGCAACCACAAGTCCCACTTCATGACATTGAAAATGGCCCAAAATAGTGATCTAAAACCTTCCACCCCCACAAACTTAGAACAACACTTTCTTGCAACATGTGACTTTACTTTTCTCTATAACTTATGCTGAGAATAAGGTTTTCTATGTGGGCAATTTCCTCTGGTTGATAATCATATCAATTCTCATTACCTACCTCCTTAAAAACATATTGTAATTGTAAGGGAAATTTACACATTTACCATACCAAGGATGAAAATGTGATATGTCGAAGATCACAAGCAATCTGAAAAGCTCCCACTTTTCACACTCAACTAATGAAAGTTTGACAACACATTAAAAGGTGCACTTCACAATGAATCAGTCCTACACCAGATGACATAGTTAAGTCCAAATATAATTTTCCACTTGCACAGACTTACAGTTCCTCATTAGGGTGGGCATAAGAACTGTTTGGAGTCTGCAAAAGAAAAAAAGCATACAAAGCAATATTGTAACTATGACACTCACTTGTAAATAAATTGAGGTGGGGAAAAATCACTGCTTACTTAAGATACTGTAACTTAAGTTGCTAAACACCAGAAGCCAAAACAAAAAAAGAAACCAAAAAAATTCACTAACCCTTCTTCCAGAAGATCCATTAGGAGACTTGGCACTAGTTGCTGTTTAAAGAAGATTTTTTGTTCAGTAATTATGAAAAGGTTGTTTCAGTGCATGGAGAGGACTTATTTACTATTTCTATCTAGATAATCATACTTTCTCTGCATACTAGTGGTAAGACTTTGGTATTACATTCAGCAATATATGTTTTTTCTTGACTATTTTTTTTTCATTCTGAACACAATCAGTTATCTTCACAAAAGAAACACAGCATATCAATCATGTTTAAAAGGGATTTTAATAACAAATAAGTAGCCAACACACCTCTTGGGCTGTGTCCATTCACCTGTATCAGAAATAAATTAAAATATTGTCACCACTTAATTGGCTTTACTTCAGTGTCAATCACAAGTCAACAGATGAGGTATTTCATATGTGCTATTTGTCAAGAGTTTCTTTTGAACTCAAAGAAATAAACGTACTGAAATCCTGCCCTTGCTCTGATCATGTGGCCATGAAGTTTATAAGTGCTATTTGTAACAAGTTTCCTTTGAACTCAAAGAAAGACACCCACTAAAATACTGTCCTTGCTCTGATCATGTGGCCATGAAGTTTATAAGTGCTATTTGTAACAAGTTTTCTTTGAACTCAAAGAAAGGCAGCCACTAAAATACTGTCCTTGCTCTGATCATGTGGCCATGAAGTTTATAAGTGCTATTTGTAACAAGTTTCCTTTGAACTCAAAGAAAGACACCCACTAAAATACTGTCCTTGCTCTGATCATGTGGCCATGAAGTTTATAAGTGCTATTTGTAACAAGTTTCCTTTGAACTCAAAGAAAGACACCCACTAAAATACTGTACCCCATAGGAGCCTGTTTTAACCCTTAAACTCCCAAGATCTCATTACTAATTCTCCTTAAAATCTGCCATATAATTCTTGTGATGTTAGTTCAGAGAATTGGAGGCACTGGATCAACTAATAATCCCCTGATTGATATTGTTCTTTAGTCTCATTGCTTGTCTGCTTGATGTTGTAAGTAACTTTACTGTACTTGCTCTCCAGTTAAAGGTTTAATTTACATTATTTTTAACACAGTACCAGAAATTGATTGCTTAGTGCTCTAGGTAAACCAACTAATATTACTCTTACCCTAGCTGGTGGTCCAGGACTCATTCCTCGTTCTTTACCAGCACTCTTAACTAAATAGGAATTAAAATTAAACTTACAAGACATGAAGAGATTGCACAAGCACATCTGCAGCCTGAGACTGCAATGATCAATATTTTCATTTGCAGTAATGCATTATCTTAGTTTTTGGCATCACGTCTAAGTTCCAGTTACTGAAACCATGCCTCAGTGGACAGTATTCACATTTAACACATCATTTTTGCCATAATAGCATACAGGCTACTTAAAGCTTTCATTACAAGCTATTTTAACCAGAAACAAATACAGTACATCCACTTTCAAAAATCAGAACTCCAAGGTTATACATTTTCCTTTTTTTAATCAAGAAAGACTTTTTAGTGTAAAGATGTTACTGAAAGAAAACATCTGGCTTTAAAATCAAAGTGAAAGATTTATATATATGTGCAGATTTCCTCAATAACAATTAAAGCAGTAGAGCAGCAAATTTTACTCACAACTACCTAAATTAAGTTTTTTCTTTTTCTCTTGTTTTGAACACCATGAACTATTGAGATTTGTTTCTTAACTCATTTTAAGACAATGGAATGTTTATTTCATAATTGTAGAAAATTTAGAACTGACTAACAATATAGCAATATGTCAATTTTACCTGATGCGGACCGTCGCACCTGACGATCACGAGAGGGAGTGTGGCTACCGCCTGAAAATATTTAACATTACAAATTCTTGTTACTGCTCACTGCCAACTTTTTGGCTTTAGGAAGGATATTTTATAATCAGATTATTATACCAAATTCTACTTATTAATGATTATACTTTTTGTATAAACAATTTAATACATATTTTACCTTTGATGTTTTACAACATAATTAATGAGCCAAATTGATCATGATAGTATTGCCAACTCACTTCTATTTACTCTCTTATGTATCAATTTTTTTCTCCACCTGGTGGACCTCTAGCACATTCAGTTTAAAAATTTATTCCTAAACATTTAAAATGCTTTTGTCTTAGTTGATCTTTGGTCAAACATTGAAACAATTAGCACAAAACTGCTGTTGTCATACTGCAAATCATTTTAAAATTCTCTGCAATAACTTTCAAACAATTCTTTTTATTTAATTAGAGGACTTTGTTCTAAAGGCCAGAACAATTTATTTTATTCTTTAAAGTTATCTTGTTGACAGTGTTATGACACTATAGTTTAATGGGTTCATGGAACTGTTGTTGCTCTACATACCAGTATCATTAGAGCCACTGTCTCGCCTTCCACGTGGGGTTCGTAGTGAAGATGACCTTTTCAGGCCAGCAGGCCTCTTGAGATCTCTATATGGAGTAATCTTATAACCTAAAAACAAAAAGTGTAGGATATACTGTGGTCAGTTTTAAGAACTCAAGCAAAGAGCAGTGTATCTTTGCACCAAAAGAAATAAGATGGCTCTTATAACATGCAAGAAACACTTTAGCCAGTTTGATCATGGGTTTGAGTTCATGACCTAGCCCTGTCATTGTACAGTATTCTAAAGAGGGAACCTTTACTCCCTCTTTACCCCTTAGCTCCCAAGATCTCGTTAGTAATTCTCCTTACTGTCTGCCGTACAGTTCTTGTGATATTAGTTGGGAAGAATTGGTATTGGGTTGACTTATAATCCCCTAACTGATATTTTTCTTTATTCTCATCACTTGTCTGCCAAATATTGTATTGACACTGTAAGGAGAAATTCTCTCTAGGTCACTCATGGGAGTTAAAGGTTAACCAGATGTATAAATGGATGGGAGAAAACTGAAACAGAAAACCTGACAGAAAGCTCAGCTGCAGGTTCACAGTGATAAACTAGCATTCCATAAAAGTGTCCGAGACATACTCCTGATCACGTCACACTGGGCAAAACCACCCATAAGCACAGGAAGTAATGGGACACTTGGCCTTAAAAGTTTAACCTCACCACTTAAAAAATAGTTGGGATAACAATTATGTAGCTAGCATAGAATTCTCTAGTAATCATCCTACAAGACATAAATACAACTGGTAGCTTTAAGCTACCCAAACACAAGTGAGCTCTCACATAAAAAGCCACTTGAATGCTTCAAAAACATATTACTTCACTTTTTTTTTTAATCTAGAAAAGTTGCTATGATGTTTCAACATGAACCAGACCACTAAATCCACAGTCTAGATCCATAAATCACAGTTGAGCAAATACAATGCCATCCCTGATTGCTTTTAACACTCAAAGGAAAATTGCTAACAGTAATCCATTTATGAAACAACTTCAATAAAACGAACAGATTCATTTTATTACTAAAAATGTCTTGAGTGTAACATGACATGACTTTGAATAATAAAAAACAATACCATTATAGTGCAATGTATTGTAACATACCATAACACTTACATTCTACAATTCCATTTCCCTTCCCAAGCAATAGGAATTTACTTTCCTATCCAATTTATATTCCATTACAAACACTTTTAGCACAATTTTCCAAATACCTTCTCAGACTCTAAAAATAGTTCAAAACTCTAAATTTATTAGTTATAAAAAAGTATATGCCCTTGCCCATTGCATTCTCTCCTTGAATAAATTTCTATGAGTCATTTCTTATTCACTGTCCAATTTAGAAATTTTCCTAACTCTTTTTCCAGACTAAAACCTTTAAAATTCACCAACCTTATTAACATTACTGTAAACTCGATAAATAACAAACACAACAATCTATCTAGAAATTCCCTATAGGCTACTCAATATTTGTATGTCCTTTGATAGGCGAAAGCCCTTCAACATAACTGTTATTAAATGTATTACTATTATTAAGATTACCAATGTTTTAAAATTCAACTTAAAAATGCCATTGATGCTTTTAAATTCTGTAACCCCTTACATTTTGTCTCTCTCAGTTAAATATAGCATAACACATTTAGATATAATATTTATATAGTAATAGGAACTTTAACTTTAAGTTTAACAATATTTTGTCTAATTCAATTTGCACTTACATAATAAGCTTATAATAAAATTTACTTTCTTTACTGAGATTTAATTATGGAAGATAACACCTTAGTTCTTAGTTTTTTATTACACTTTTTCTTGAGAGCCATAATGGACATGCAGTACTTCAGATAAATAGATTCCAGTTGACTTATTATTGGCAGCAAGTTCCAAGTGCCTTTACATGGTTTTGTAACTTTAAAAACTGACATAACTTGTATCAGCGAGAAGATAATTTTGATAATATGATGATACTTAAGAAAAAATATTGCTATCAAAAATACTCATTTATCAATAATATTGTGTATATTTGGATAACCATGCTAAAAATAAGAGAATCCTTGACTAAAAAGGATAATACACTATTTGATTTGACGAATAATTCTGCCAAAAATATAACAGACTGGTTGTGATTGAGTGGAATACACTTTTCAAAGTGTTGATCAAATGAAAGTCCAGCCTTGAGATTTTTGATGAAATTGGGAATGAATTACTTCATCCACACCTTCGCATGAATGAAAATACCATATGTTGAAGTAAACACCGCAATAGACTTTTCTTACAAGAAAGCCTGTACAAGTATACTTAAAAGTCAAAACAGGTGTTCCTAAATTACAGTAGGAATTTCAAAGTGCTTGGTTTTCAAAGCACTACAAAAGTTCGGATTACTTCTGAACTGTACCATAATCAATTTAAGAAAAATCAGTGCACCTTCTTGAATCAAGATCTACAAAAAAGGATAAAATTTGGTACTGCCTCTACCAGCAGTAATTGTTTCTTTTCCTTCATATTATTTCTGACCCATCCAGAAGGATGTTTGGAGGGGTAAATATCAATAGATCTTTTACCTTGTACTTGTGAAACTCTCCCCTACCTGATACTGTAGGGGAAATTGTCCAAGTCTCATTAAAATTCTTCACAATGAGCGTGAATAAATAATAAAAATAAAAGAAACTTAAAATAAATAAAACCCACTACACAAAAAATGACCTGCATCTCTAGTGAAAGGCTATATATATGATACTATGATTGTCTACTATATGGTGACTAAAAAATTTCAAATAAACTTTGTGTGTAATATAACATTAAAAATGAAAATTTTTCTGTGCTGATAAAATTGAAACTATCTGGTAATACTTTGGTTAAATAACCTACTTTTAAAATTTACTTGTAATATATATACAATACTATGGTTACTTTTACTCACAAGTGAGTATTATGTAATATTTTGATTAAATAAGTTTCAAAACTTTGATCAATTAAAAACTGAAAACCCCACACAAAAAAAAAGGATTAAAATACACCTTCAACCATACTGGTCTAGAGTGACCTTTTTAACCCGCAGAAGTAATGTGTTTCTTTTTTAACTGATCTATTTTGATGATTGATGCAAGTTAAAACTAGGGTTGTCATGTTATGAAATACATGAGTAAAATATTCTCAAAAGTGAAAGCATTTGTACTCATCAATCAAGCAAATAGTGGACAGTGCAAAAACAAGCACTGACCAATAAAAGTCCAACCCAGTTTCAATGTGAGATGGCAAGTGAAATCTTATTTAGAAGGAAAAATATTGTGAAGCACATCAAGCCAAGACTGTTTCCAGAGAGTCAGCAGGTGATATGTTCAACATCATAGGTTTCAGGTCTAATTTTACTGAAGGATCCTTTGGCTCAATCTCATCTGCATCCTTCTCTTCCCTGGAAAACTTCATTGGCCTCACCGATGCAGTTGGCTTTCCTTCATTATGCCCTTGACTCTTGTTCATCTTTTCATTGTAAATGTAAATGTAGTAACCATTGCGACCAGTATCATCTTCAGAATCAGAGCTTTCTGGAGATAGGTTGCGTTGAAAAGGCATCGGGGGCCTCTCTGCATTTCTTGGCCTTCCTCTTATAGCTACTGGTTTGTCAGAACCCGCTTTTGGTTTTATGGGAGCAGGCTTATCTGAGCCGGTATGCTTCTTTGCTGGTCTTAGAGATGTACTTCCTTTCACTGGAGTAGGCGTCAGAGGCTTACGTGAAAACTCAGATGGAACCCCAATAGCAGACTTTGGTCTGCGAGCCTCAAAACTTCCTGATAACTTTGGTGTTGGTTTTGGGGATGGTGTGTAGGACTTTCTAGTGTAAGTGGGTCGAGGTGAAACAGACCTCGTTCTTACAGGTACTGGCCTTGGTGTAGTTAAATTTGACATGGATGCTGCTAAGATACAGTGCAAGTGAACTGTGAACTTCTTTTCTGGAGGTGGGGGCTCAGGTCGCAGGCCAGGAATATAGGAATAAAATTCTGTGACTGGTGCATGACGCCAACGTGGGCGGAAGCCTGGGATTAAAACAAACCAAGGCGTTTTAATGACTTTTCCAAGGAAAATAAATGCAAGGTGTTTGCCATCGTATAAGCGAGTACAAAAACAAGTGCATTTTTTTTGGCTTGAATTTGGGTTTTAACGAGTTCCTATTTCCTGACCTGCTTTGAGCCTGTTTTGTGATGATATCTCAGTGATTGAAGAGAGTGCATATGGTGCAGTTGCCTTTGTCAGCAACTGCCATTTGTGGAGAGAATGCAAAGACAAGGTGCATGCATTATTGCTGATTGTTGCTCATTTTTGCCTCGCTTACACGAGAGCCAATAGTCGACGGCCTTAACCCTTTAACTCTCAGATCTGATTGTTGATTCTCCCCTCCAGCTGCTACACATTTCCTTATAAATTAGTTACAAGAATTTGGTGTTAAATCAAGGTAACAACTTTAACCTGATAAGTCTGAGTACTTTCATTACCCGTTTGCTGGATAGTGAATGGATATTTTAGGGAGAAGTTAAATGTTAATCACTTCTGGGAGTTAAAAGGTTAAAGTATGTTAACACTAAAAGCCAAGTGACCCATAACTGCCGGTGCTTATTCCTGGTTTATAAAGTAATCAGTGAATACATGTCTACTCCTAGTTGGAACAATATTTCAATGCAAGGACCCCCTCTCCTTCCATTTTTGGCTTTGGTATCCATATATACTACTGGGAGGAGAGCAACACCACAAGAACTTAGTGTCCTGTCCAAAAATTGGGATTCAACAAGACTCTCTGATTGATAATCCTATGTGAGGCCAGTGCTTCTCCCAGTTGTGTTACATCCTCACAATGGCCCTTTCTAAACAATTTGCAGACATATCTACTGTACAAAAATTCCTTACACACAAGAATGCTAAGTGCACTTTACATTTTAGTAAGTACAAATATATCTACACCTATGTAATTATTTTTGGTGATAAAGTTTTTTTTTTGTCTCACCATGAAGTAACTTTGATATAGATTGCTGACTACATCGTAAGGCAATTGATTATACATCATTACAAGAGTATTCACCACAAGCCATAGCCACACATTTTTGATGACACGAGTAACTTTTTGGTACTTGAGGATCATCATTTTAGACTTCAGTCTACATTCTTTTTTGAATCTCACACTCTCTCTACACAGTTCCTCTTCAGAAATTGAACAAGTGACGTATTAAAATAATGTTTTGCCATCACCAAGGCTTTTTAAGAATCTTCACTGGCCACTGTTATCAGATTTTTCTTGTTTCTTTTTCAATAACATGGCTTCACTCTACAACACTAACAAATATGTACCTATTTTTACACAACTTACTTTGCACATCAACATCAAATCCTTCATCTGGGAACTTTTCATTACTTTGGAGGGCAACAAACATTGTGTCATCACCAAACAGGTGTCTCAGTTCCCTAATCTACAATGAGAAGAAACAGAATATCATTTAATTTTTTTTTTAAGTTTCACAATTGGAGGCCCATGCTATTCCAGTTACTTTCAAAAGGCTTCTCCTTTCCTCTTTGGCAGGAAAACAGAATTCTGCTACCCTGCACAGACCAACAATCAACTCAAACATATTTGTATTTGCGATATTGATGCCTAAATGTTTGTTATTACATTAAGAAAATATCACTGAGTAGATGACTGCAGCTGGCATATTAAAAAATTAAATTTCAAATTCATTTTTCTTTTTTTTTTGACAGCCAACACCCTTTCAATAGAAGGCAAGTCTGACAAGGACAGGAAATAATTACCAACACACAACTGTGAAAATTTACATGGAATTACTTAGACAATTTTGCCTTTCCTCTAGCAAAGCCATTTCAGACACTTTGTTCCTAACAAACAATCTCAGTATTGTGATATTGGTGACCAAAGAGAGAAAAAAATGATCATGAGAAAATCCCTTAACCCAAAAACCCTTATTTAAAACAAAGCTCTCAAAATGACACAGAAAGGAAAGTTTTAGACTGTAATTGCATGCAAAAAATAAATTGAAGCCATAAAAAAGTCATAGGTTATCACTGCCGCCTTCCTATCTGAATTAACAGGAGTGAAAATTGGCACCACTCCTGGAGTACTAAATTGCATGTCTACCATGGGTGTATTCCTGAGAGTGTTGAACAATACTCTAGCAGGAAAACAGAACCCTCCATTCAACCTCAGAAAAAACAAGAGGCAAGATGATCTATAATTAACTGAGAAGCGAAAAAAGGCCAATCCAGGAAAATAGGTTCATCCTCTTACTAATAATAATAACAGTGTCAAAAATACTGCTTTTGACCTTTACACTTAAGAGTTAAAAAACCAGGCTTACATTAAAAACCTTTCAAATGTATAAATAAATCAAAACAGGTCATCTTTGAGATGTTCAGATGCGAGCCAAGAGAACCGGATGTGGTTCATAAACCAAAGACTTAAGTTCAACTCCTAGCCAACATAAAGTGAAAAAAATAATCTTGCTTGTATAGACTACTGATTATTAACTGCGGCATCAATTATATTCACTGAAACACACTTTTGAGTTTCTGACAAGGAAACAGCTTTAAGTCCTTAACTACATTGATCCCTGATAGGGAAATTTCCCAATTTTCACAGGCTTCAATTCATCTTAGTTTTTTGAGTGGGTCATTCATCTCAAATCATATTTGATTGTTGTCATAGTCTCAGGAGTTGATCTTAATCCTTATTTGAGAAATTATGGCTGAGAAACATGATGCAATTTTCATCTGCTTAATCTAAATCCAACCTAACCAAAAACTTATCCAGTAGGAGTAATCCATGAGACATTATGTCTGTGTGATGGTCAATGGCTAAATATCTTGGTCTAAAATTATCATCCTCTCCCACAAAAACAAAAACGACACCATTCATGCTGAGCAACAGTTGCATGTTGCAACATACTGCACATACTTTGCAGTTACAACTTATAAAAGATGAAGACCAAGGTAGAGAGCACAGCCAAAATGATCCTTTATTCTGATCACATAAATATTCACTCTGATACACTGTTAGCATCAATCAATATTATCTTCACTCAAAAGCAACAAATGTTTCTTCACTTGAATATCTGGATAAATAGCTTCCCAGAGAAGCAATGAAAACGATCAACTTAATCCTGACGAGCACCTTAATTCTCAACAAAGCTAAAAAAATGAACGGAACTCAAGTGAAAGCATAAATAAGTAACAACATTTTTGCTTTCTTCTACCAACATTTCATTTTCAGAATCATTCCACTTTCATCAACAACCAAGCAGGGGCAATTTAATGGTCAGATTCCTTTGAAATGGCATTGTTTGAGAAGAATAATAGCTGCATTGACAAATTTTTTTAGAAGTTCACCAATCTCTTTATACATTCTTGTTACACCGCAATTTTGTCGAGAGACCAGCAATAAACACAAACACAATAAATCCACTTGTCAATTCTAATGGGGCATATCCAAATCAATTCTTTACCTTTTGAATATCAAATCACAAGAAGTTTTCCTAGAACTGATTAATGAATGTTGATTTCCATGCAAAAAAAAAACCCAAAATCTTGCTACTTCTTTCTTATTTATAATTTGCAATTGACTATGATGCTATTTTTGTTTCATTCTTTTAGAACAAGACACCCCCTACAACAGTACAATAAAAACCAATATTTACTAAAACACATCTTGATAAGGGAATGCAAACAGCATTCCGAAGTAATTACCTAAGACGAATTATGTAAAAATACGCCTTTAGATATGACATTTTTAAGGAGATAAAAAGGTGCATGGATCAAAAAATGACAAAATCTTGGGGATGCTTTCAGGAAAATAAAACAGGAAGGAAACTTCAATTTATCCGAACACGTAGCACCAGGGAATTTATTGCGAGACCAACGTGTAAATGAAGCAAATAAATTACCTTTCAATAATGAAAGTAATATGAAATAGCTAGGTTTCAGTTTCAGACGAAATTCTAAACGCTTCAACCGGGGAACAGGTAACAACATTTCAAATTCTCGGGGTCAATTAGAATATTCCGCAGACAAACTGTAATCAAACAATGAAAGGTTTTGAGTGATTAGAAAGCATGAATATATTTTGTTTTGGCGAGCCATAAAATATTTCTGAAAAATACAAACAAGAGATCGAGAGAGCAGAATTTCAACAAAAAACCACATCATAGCGGTCAGCATTTGCAAAGGATAGATCGCTCCAACAATCTGAAATCCCTAACTTCATGGGCGGAAGTGTGAAAATTGCCCACACGAAGGGTATAAATAATGAAAAGAACGATCCACGTGGCGAGAAGCGACTCAAATTGTAAGCACTTTGAATTTAATGGAACAAATCGTACCCACGGGATTGTATCGAGAGAAAATGAAAGAAATTAAAGACAATGAATAGAATACTTTCGTTTTACTTAAAACTACAACGGCGATCTAGAGAAACAAACAACAGAGTTGATCAGCGAAACGCTGTCAATACAACAGGGCGCAATTTACAACTTTTTTTCCATTTCAATGCAACCCCCAAGGTTTCAAGTTTATAAGCGTACACGATTGAATTGAAATCGCTTGCCCCAAAATAAACTTTCTGTGATAGCTTCAAAATATAAATCTGTTTGAAACGCTATAATCTACGTGCTGAAAATATCTGCCAGCGACTTAGTCGGCTTTTTAGCCGCCTCTCACCGTAGTTTACAAATTTCGACACGAGCTTATTATACACACAACAGACGCGCACGAAAATCTCACGGATGCCTCTTATTTTAGCATGTCGGGCAGCCTAACGGATTCTAAACATTTTTGGTGAAGTAATATCACGAACAAAGGCTTCTAGCCCAAAACCAATGATAAATTATTAATGACAACCATAAAACGAATGCCTCTCGACGCATTGAATGAAGCAAGCGAAATAAATGGCAGATCAAAATCCCTTACCTGTTTACCATCAACTGTATGCAACTTGTCCACTTTGCCAAGTGTTCCCTTGGAGGACAAATGATCCAAAACTTGCTCTAGGTTAATTGCTGTTTTCGCGTTTAGTAGCATGGTGACTTTCTTCTGTGGGGGTTTTCCGTTCTTTATTACTGTCACCAATTTCGGTTTGATGAAATCGCGAGTACCGTCGATCAGATGAACTGACGATGATGTTGGTGGCGCTTCTTTCTTGTGGTGAGCGAGCGACCACGACGGTTTCATGTTTCCATAGCCAGCATCGACTTCTTTGAATACATTGGTCGAAGAGCAAACATAACTAGCGCCGTATTGTAGTTCGTTTACATCTGTGATCATTTGGCCCGTTTCGGCGTTGAAAATATAGCGCACAGCCCCTGTGGAAAGTTCCAGCTTGTTTGAAAGCTCGGCCAGTAAAGCGTCGAATTCTTTATACCGTTCGGGCGATACAGCCAGTTTAAGCCCACAAAAAAATCGATCTCCATTCCGGTAAAAGCGAATTTGTTTCGCGCTAAGACTTTGGTTTCTTCTCAGCAACGATGTTCGGTTTATTTCTTTAGAAGACGCGTTTCGAGAGTTTGATCGAACGAGGCCGGGAGAAGGAGAGCGGGATCGATCATGGTCTCCGTTCATCATTCCATTCTCCATTATTGAACGTTTCAACGCAACTGGAAAAAGAGAAGGAGAAACGTTTAATTATTCACGTCGTCTATGACTAAGATTCTTCGACGTGACCTTATAAATAAGCGGTTTTCAATCTGAGTAAAGCGAGGGACAAAAACGCCACCGCAGAACAGGGAGTTACTTACATTCGGCCGGCGCCCGATTGTTCCTTTCCGCTTGGCACCCACTGGCTCTTTATCAGTTTGCTAATGCGTTTAGGGCTAAAACTCTGTCCAAGGAAACAAAAATAATAGCCTCATATTCTATTCTGAACTGGTGAGGGCCGAAATGCACCTGCACTAAAAGAAATTACGACCATCCACTGTAAACCTGACAACCGCGAATAATATTTTGACTTGTCCTGGCCATGAAGTGCCGCCTTCTGATTGGCTTACCAAACGATGTAACAATAAAAGAAAATTATAGCCAATCAAAATGAGATCTTGCATCCAACAAGTACCCGTATTTCCTGTCACAGATTTACCGTCTGAAAACCAGAAAAATTGAGTTTTTCACCTCAATTTTCTAGAAAAAAAACTGCTTTTCTTCTTTACCGATTACTTGCTTTGAAAATCTATATCTCGCGGTTGATAGTTTAATGTAAATTCGATGCTATCGAGTCACCTTTGTTTGAAATGATTTTGTATGAATTATTGAAAAGTATAATATGGATTCATTCATCGGATATCACTTTTCATGTGATGAAGCTACTCTTTGTCTCGATCGACGCGATAAAATTATCGATTTGCATTCTGGATTCATTAGTTTGCGAGAATTTTAAAAGGACCGACCACCGTAGAGTTTTTGGTCTTGCCTCTATAAAATGATGTCACGTCTTATTCATGTAACCCCATAATTGAAAGACCTGTTTGCTCTCAAAGAAACCACAAGAATTCGCGGGTAGAAAATGATTCTTCTTCGCGCTTTTTCTGTCACATAACGAAAAAAACCGAGAAATTTACTTGCCCCAGTTAACAGCCACTTGTCATTCGCGTAAAGAAAACACATATTTCACTTCGAACCAAAGATTTTTCTTTTCAGTTTAATCGCCTCACGTCCGTTGCAGCTGGCATTGCTTAGTCAATTTCGAAGCCGCATGCCAAATTTCATTCTGGAACTGTTCATATTGAGCACTGAAACATGTCCTTAAAAGGAATTCGCTGGCTTCTTAATGGACTTGAAGCGTATTTGGAATCATTACAGAGGAAAACACAGGCATACGTCGAAAAAATTGTGTTTGTGAAATCAACCCAAATCTTTGCATAGGAAAATTAATTGATGATAAAATGAAAACCCTTGTAAGGCAACTTGCATTTGTGTTTACCGTCAGATATCTTCCTCGAGACTCGATATCCCTGAGGGGAAGAACAAATAATTCAATAACTTAATGATTTGAAAATAAGAAAAAAAAATCTAGGCTGCCGAGCGCCAGGGAAAGTAAATGATGTTAATCTGGATCTTTTCGCTTTGGCAAAACTATGTACAAAAGCGATACGATTATCCGCTTGATTTTGTGTTTGTATTCAATTTTTTTTCGCAAAAAAGAGCGATTGATTTGAAAAAAAAACATATGATCGGTTGAATAAATAGTTTTTCCGTTGTCTTGACAGAAAATTTTCATAGAGGTTTCCATAGGGGGTGTTGAGGTTTCCCGTGAAGTAGCTGACTTCCACCTCAGTTTGAATTTATTTTTAAAAATCTGGAGGCATCTCATCTCGATTTTTCGCAAAAACGCGTTTTTCACAAATCGAAATATTTAAACCTGGTAAGCTTATTAAGATACTGAAACTGTCTCGCGCACTTCCGTAGTTTATTAATATGTTAAATTTGCGCGATTATCGGGAGGGGCGAATATGGCATCTTGTTCTTAGCTCCCTAGGAGGGTAAACAAGAATGCAATCCCATTGTTGAAAAGTTCAATTTCTCGTACATCACCACAAGGGTCGTGTATCTGACTGCTTTCAAACTACCAAATTTTCTGGAAAAACACGGAAATTTATTCGCCTTTTCAAATAGGCTACACATCCTAACAGTGTTTATCAACGACAACAAAAACTGTAATAAAGCGACTGAAATAAGTTGGAGTCGTGAATAAAGGCGTTGTCGTCTGCAGATAAGCAAATCAGAGTGATATCGATCAAGATATATCGTGATATTTTCCTGATAAAAAATTTATGGGCCATATTGTCGAGGCAAATGACACATGCCTGGGGTACATATCCAGCAAGATATCAATTTTATGGCAGAAACTGCATGATACTCTGAGGGTCTCCGCTATGATCCCGTCCACCTTTTTGACCATTCAGAGCTGAGCGCGCTACAATCATTCAGGCGGGACGTGTAAACCTTTTTCTTGGGTGGGGGAACGAAAAGATCTTATTTTGGTAATTAGAAAATGAAATTTTGGCGAAAAGTATGTTTTTTCCGGGACTAGCCAGCTATTGTGTGTAACAGCAAACAAGGGTTTAGCTCTAAGCACACCGGTAAGTGTTGCTATTGAATGAGTGAACAAATAACATAAAGAACTTCGTAAACATTGCCAAACATGCTGCGAGAGTTTATTAAAACTACTGACTAGCTATTGTTTACTGCCCTGGAGCAACCTTAGATGCTAGCGGTACCACTTAATCTCCTTTGCCGTTTCAATTTGTTTAACCGGGAAAGGATTCTAAGGCTTTCATCAGAAATGCTGTGGGGATAATGTTCTCATTAAAATTCAGCAGGTGTAGAACATGTGTAATGTTTTGTGCCTGATTGATTAGTAATTCAAATTTTCGTCTTAATGAACACAAAATTTCGGCTTGGCGTCAATTGGTAGTTTTTCATGAGCTGACGCCGGCTAAATTTAATTGAGAAGAGAAGCTTTTTTTTTCTCATGACAGTTTTGTTCAAATTTGGGCAAGGAGTCGAGAACTTGGAAAAGATGAATTCCATGTTCTGTTTTGATAATAAAAATATCTTTTTATTGAAAAGTTCTCATCTATACGGTTTTGAAAGCATGGTAAAGTACTTTAAATGCTAGCTATAGCTAGAACACTGCTTGGTTCACGGCGTGAAGCGAATTGTTTTTAATACAAGAACGGCGCACAGTTCTCAATGAGTAGGCAGCATTACGCACGATTCCCAAAACTGAAGTACCATAATTATTCAAATTTGACAATTGAAAACATTTAACCTTTTGTCTTTAACCGTTGCAAAGTCTTAAGCTTGGTATGTCTTGAAAATCCATCCCTAACATTATGGTTTGATTAAATTTACATCGGACGACCTAAAAAATTTATAATGTTGAAACTTATTGCGCTTTGAGTATTGTTATGACCCACACCTTGAGAGTGGAAAACCAAAGTCATTAACACTCACGTTGAATTATTTGTAATGTAAATGTCCTTTGGTCTATCATCACATATATTTTCTCGGACTCGTAACCAATGAAGATCAAGAATTTTGACAAAAATTACTCCACATAATCAGATAAAATTTTGTTTTGATGATCTCTCGTGATTAGAAAGTTTCATTTTATTCGGGTTGAAGCTCTACAAGAAGTGTAGACTTGCACCTGGGAGAAATTTCCTTGATAAGCTTCTTCCTTAATTTCTCATTTTCCAACGTTACGAAAAAAAAAATGTAAAAGTTTTATGAGTGAGAACTATAATGACACTCAAAATGAATACTATACTCTTAGATGCCCAATTACTACTGGGAACCACTTCTTCATTTAATTCTTCAGCGTTACCTCCTTTCCAAAAGTTCTTGTGTTACTTACATAGGATATGCATTTATCCGTTAGAGTCGCTTTTAACAACAATAAATTCCAAGTTACTTCTTAATATGCCATATTTGGCTCCACAAAGTCTGCACACGAAACTCATTAAGACTTTTTGCCTCACACAGGGTAGAGAAATAATCATAATTTTTCTGGAACTGAGCCAGGGTTTTTAAGACCTCGGAGGCAAAACCGCCTGTAAGCCAAACATCTTTAACAAAAATAAACCCCTTCCCCTAAAGTTACTTATACACGTCGATCGATGTCTCTTAGTCTTGCTGTAAGTGCGGCATGCAAGTCTTCTTCTGCTCTGTGCTTGAAAGATGAAATAAAAAAATAATAAAATGATAATAATAAAAAATAAAAACCAGCGATACAGTGAATGAAACATAAGTAGTTTTTCTTTAGGGGCAGTCATTATTTGTCGCCCGAGGGGGTATGGGGTGGAGGATTTTGGGGAATCACATGGTTTTTTAGTGCATCAACGGTCGCCAACAGAGTATAGCGGGATGGGGGGAGGGCTAAATAAAATTTATGCTAATTGACCACCAATGGGGGGAGGGGGGGTCATGAAAATATTACAGAGCCTTAAATTTTATCTTGACATGAACAAAATTCTCCTGCTTCCCCCACTCCTCCCCCGAGACGATAACTAACGGTCAGTCTCTTGTGTTTTTTTTTTTCCACTTGCCTTTTCTTCATTAAAGAGAACAAAAGTGGGCTGAAAAGCATTTTCGTTTCAATGACCCTTATCTTTAATTTTTATTTTCTCTGAGGGCATCTTCAGAGTTTCTTTGATGATCGTGATGAAAGCTATGTATTAAGGCAACAGATGTCTTCAACTTGCAAAAGACTGAAAACAAAATTTGTCGATCGGACTGGTTTCTTGGACATGATTGAACCTACTCGCACAAACCTGGGTCATGCGATGTCTCCGTGGCTTAAACAAAAGTCCAATAAAGTGAGCTTTGCACCACTCTGTAAAGAGTCGAGTAGGTTTCTTTAATTTTTTTTCTATGATTTTCATTGTGAAGATGAAAAAAATGTAAATTAATTGGAGAAAGCCCAAAAGCTTTTGTGTTTGCAGCTGAATTGATCTCTTGTCTTTAGGAGAAAGACGCCTGACTGTCTAAATGTGTTATTATAGAGAAGTGTGTACTTATGATCCCCGATATGAGTGAAGATTGATTTTAGGTGCGGCTATTAAAGGCTCTTTCCATCCAGACTGAGGGGTTTCGAGCATAAGCCGTCTTTTCGATATTCAGTAAACGATTTATTAGGCAAAGTGACGCCCTTTAGAAGTGAATTTATTGAACTAAATCGTCTTTCTTACTTAAAAAAACTTTGAATTCACGAGTCGTCATTCTAAAGATCCGTGTGTGGAAACACCTAACAGTTTGATTGAAAGATATGCCAAGCAGACAGCGTTGCCTGTGGGTTTAAAGTGTGCTTAAGATAAGAGCACCGAACGGCGGAGTCACGAGAACGAGTACCGCAAGAGCTTTGGGGCAAACTTGTAGCTCCGCTGTCCGTTATTGCCGAGTCCGCCGTCCTTTCTTTTCACCAAGCGCCTGAAGAACGCCAGCTAAGTAAGGTAGTTTTGAACAATCTTGGCGGCACATTTCGTCGTCCTTACAACGTTTAAATGGAAAATATAAAACCTTTTTGTGCTAGACATATCATAATAACCGAGAAAACTCGGACGAAAACTATCGCGCACTGATGGAGGACCATGCGTGATCGTGAGTGAAAAAGGAAAAAGAAAGAGTGAGAGAGAGGAAAATGTAAATCAACAGCTGTAGTCTATTGTGGCATGAAACTGTCTCTTGAGGAAGGAAGCGGAGAGAAGTTGGGACTAGGAATGGCAGACACAGGCTGCGAATGCGTTCACTTCTTCCGGTCAAGTCACTCCTCGGCTGCAGGTGAAAGGAGGGTTGGGACCGGTTAGATTACTTCAGATATCACTAGGCAAATGTCATTCAGGCGTCCATTTATGTCATAATGCGCACCTGGCCTGGAGCTTTTGACTCAGGTCATCTCTCAGTTAAGATTACTTTAGATATCTCACACGTCACTGTTTCTTTTTCTGTTTACCAATCTTCGCAGAGGTCTTTTTTCATCCAGTGCGACGTGAGAGCGAAGGGCAGCAATGTGGCTGGTAAATGTTGTGAAGATCTCCTAGAAAATTGCCGTTCTTTCCTTTTTCGTTGAGGCGATTATTTTTCTTTCTCATTTGTCCGAAATTGAAGGAAAGCCTAAGGCATATGCACGTGACGAGTCACGCGCGACAGAAAGAGAGTTACACCCTTGCGTGAAGCTGGCCCTTCGTGTTCGCCTCGCACTTACTTCCGCCCGCCCGAAATACGTTAAAAAAGAATCATACCTATTCTTTGCAGGGCAGGTACCACGAGGGAAAGTAAGACGTTGAAAGAAGCAACGCCAAGGCATGTGATTCTTAAAAAACAAAGTCTAGACTGTTCAATTTGGTCGCGTTTAACCTTTGTTATTCCCCTCAATAACTCCTTTCTCATATTGTTTATTTTTACAATTTTGGAGTCGTTCCAGCTTGCTAAAAATATAATTAGATGCTTTCCATCTGGAGTAAAAGTTATTTGCTCGTCACAGAATGTTGTAAGATAGTGCCTTTCATCATCAATAAATAAAGAAAGTGCATGGCAATCGAAATTTCCTGTTCATTTTGTCCAATATTCTATCGAGTTCGTGGCTTAGCTCGGCTACCTGTATATTGCGGAGGAGGTCGTAAGGTTCGCTTGATTTCAGAAACTCTTTCTTCGTAACTCTCTCCTGACAATTAAATCAAACACCAAGCAGAATGGAACTATCCAGTTTATCAGTCATCATCGACTTATTATTTCGCAACTTTAACAAATATCTAGACATGTGATCAAAATCCAGTGATTGTCACGCGACACAAAGATCATGAGGAAAACAACTGATAAAATAAGTAAAGATCATCATAATTTTTAACTCATTCTAAGCCTGAGAAAATGAGAGCTGGAGACTTTTTGCTTTTCTTCTTGGCCTTCCTTTGTGCTTTGCAGCACATTCATTCAAAATCTTTTACCATCGACTACGAAAACGATTGCTTCCTGAAGGATGGCGAGCCATTTCGTTACATTTCTGGAAGCTTTCATTACGTTCGTGTTCCACGTTTCTACTGGAAAGATCGACTCATGAAGATGAAAGCAGGCGGTTTGAATACTGTTCAGACTTACGTTACTTGGAATATTCACGAACCAGTTCAGGGGCAGTACAATTTTGAAGGAAATGCTGACCTGGTGAGTTTTATTGAGCTTGCAAACAGTCTCGGACTCCTTGTAATCGTAAGAGCTGGTCCATACATCTGCGCAGAATTGGATTTTGGAGGATTTCCAGCTTGGCTGTTGAAGGACCCAAATATTCGCGTACGGTCGACTAAGGACAAGCGTTTTCTCGATGCTGTAGACTCGTGGATGTCCGTTGTGCTTCCAAAACTGCAGCCACTGTTGTACGTGAATGGAGGGCCTATTATATCAGTCCAAGTTGAGAATGAATACGGCAGTTTCTTCGTTTGTGACCACGACTACATGAGGCACTTAGAGCTACTGTTTCGCAAACACTTAGGCGACGATGTGATTCTCTTCACAGTTGATAGTGCTTTTCATTTCCTCTTCAACTGTGGCACCATACCCTCTCTATATCCAACCATTGATTTTGGACCGGAAAAGGACCCTGAAAGCGCTTTTGCACTCCAGCGCAAATTTGCTCCTAAGGGACCACTGGTGAATACAGAGTTTTACACCGGTTGGATTGACTACTGGGGGGAAAAGCACCAAGTTAAGGACGCTGCGTTTGTCGCAAAATCTCTTGACAAGATCCTGTCTATGAACGCTTCTGTCAACTTTTACATGTATGAGGGAGGTACTAATTTCGGTTTTATGAGTGGTGCAAACATGAATTTGCTTTCGTACAAACCTATCCCAACCAGTTACGATTATGATGCACCTTTGACAGAAGCTGGTGATACCGGCACAAAATTCCACGTCCTACGGGAGATAATATCTAAATATGAGAAAATCCCAATCGTTCCCATCCCAGCTAACACGACAAAGTTTGCTTATGGCAAGGTGCAAATGACCAGAATGTTTTCATTCCTGGATGTCGTACACGAGCTTTCTGCTCCCAATGGACCCGTAAATACCACTTTTCCTTTGACCATGGAGCAGATAGGACAGAACTACGGATTTGTTCTTTACAGAACAATGATCCCCAAAATTTTCTCGCGATCAACTGTTCGCTTAACCATTTCAAGCTTGGTCCGCGACAGGGCAATTATCTACGTGGGAAAAGTACGCCAAGTAACCATGTTTCGAAGCTTCAGTCAGGCTCATGTGAAACTTGTCGTTGGAAGCCAGCTCCAATTAGACATCCTGGTCGAGAATGAAGGCAGAATCAATGCAGGTCCCACGATGGTCGATCCTAAAGGAATTTTTGGAAATGTCACAATCAATAAAACTTTGATAAAAAACTGGCAGATGTATCCCATAAATCTGGACAATGTTGTTTCAAAGGAACTTTCTCAACTACCTCGAGAGGGGCACAAAAACATTTATCATGCATCATCAAGTGACATCTTCGCACCTGCTTTCTTCCATGGCGAAATTCCACTCAATTCCCTCGCAAACGATGTACACGATACATTTCTCAAAGTACCAGGGTGGTCTAAAGGACAAGCCTTTGTCAATGGCTTCAACTTAGGTCGGTACTGGCCTGTCGTTGGTCCACAGCAGACGCTGTTTGTGCCGGCAAACGTGCTCTCGATGAATAGGCAGACTATAAGTGTGGTGTTACTTGAATTGGATGGCGACCCATGCTACACCCCTCACCACAATACCACGACATGTTTTGTTGAATTTGTGGCAACACCTTCCATTAATGGGCCTGTGCATCCCATTGGTTAAGGAACAGGACTATGGATGAGTATTTAAAACATTAAACTTTTTCGCTTTGATAAAAGTGTATCGTCACTGGGACAAGAAAAATAGAGGTGTTCTTATATCAGGGATAATGAAGATATATGTATAGGTAATCACATGATTTCGAGTGCAATTTGAAATAAATAAGCACGAGTAAATTTCATCAAAGACTAAAAAAACTGCACGAGCCCGTAGGGTGAGTGCAATTTGTAGTCTTTAAAAAAATTTAAGAGTGCTTATTTATTCCAAATTGCACGAGAAAAATCATGTGATTACGTTTTAACAATATAGATGGGATAGCTTATCACAATTATGCAGAAGCAAAGCGCGCGCATCAAGTGCAAAAATAATTTATTTAAACTTGTGCGTTCGGTCAAAACAACTGCGTACGATCAAAACAATAATACAATGATATATTCACATCTTTAAGGTGCAAAAAAGTTCAAAGTCCGGCTAAACAGTTCAAAGAATTGTTCAGTCTGGTTTTTTACTTCTTTGCACTGAAGTAGCCCTCTTCTACACTGAATTACTTTAAAAACTGCATTTATATTAACCAATCAGAAGTTAGTCTATCAGTCAACCCGTCGACCAGGGTAATTAAACATTATCAACTGAGTTGTTATCGTAAATCGGTCCACGTAAAAAGTTTCAAAGTTGATGCGTTAACCCTTTGTCAGAGCGTCAGCCCTTCGTCATTCGCTTTGACGAAGGCCAATCAGTTGATAATTCTAAATCACCGACGCAGCACCAAAGTTTCTTTAGAAACTTACCCCCTTTATTCAATCAGTCGACCACTCCAACAGGCAACCAGTCAATCAGCCAATCAGTCAACCAGGAAACTAGTCAATCAGCCAATCAGCCAATCAGTCAATCAGTCAACCAGGAAACTAGTCAATCAGTCAATCAGTCAGTCAAGGAGTCAATCAGTCAATTAGTCAATTCGTCCATCAGTCCATCAGTCAATCAGTTAATCAGTCAGTTAATCAGTCAATCAATCAGTCCGTCAGTCAGTCAGTCAGTCAATTAGTCAAACAGTCAATCATTCAATCATTCAATCATTCAATCATTCAATCATTCAATCATTCAATCATTCAATCATTCAATCATTCAATCATTCAATCATTCAATCATTCAATCATTCAATCATTCAATCATTCAATCATTCAATCATTCAATCATTCAATCATTCAATCATTCAATCATTCAATCAGTCAATCATTCAATCAGTCAATCAGTTAATCATTCAAACAGTCAATCAGTCAAACAGTCAATCAGTCAATCAATCAGTCAAACAGTCAAACAGTCAATCAGTCAATCAGTCAAACAGTCAATCAGTCAAACAGTCAATCAGTCAACCAATCAGTCAATCAGTCAATCAGTCAATCAGTCAATCAGTCAATCAGTCAATCAGTCAATCAGTCAATCAGTCAATCAGTCAATCAGTCAATCAGTCAATCAGTCAATCAGTCAATCAGTCAATCATTCAATTAGTCAATCAGTCAATTGGATCTTTATTTAATCAGTCAATTAGTAAATTTATCCGTCTATCAATCGTAGACTAATGAATGAATTAATCTTAATTCATAAACTTATTGGCATTGTATGGTACATTCATAAAATTACATAACAACTGATTTTATCAATATGCTGTTGTATGCATATGTCTTAACGTTTCTTGTACTGTTCATATTAACGCTGAGGACAAAACATGAGGTCGGTAAGTTCACTGGAAGTCTGCTGTGGACAACGACGTCAAAGTGCAAGAGATACAAACAGTTTATAACCTCTGGTAAACCCTTTCACTCCCAGGAATGACCAACACAGAATTTCTCCTAACAATGTCAATACAATATTAAGGAGACAGGTGATGAGAATAAAGAAGAACATCTATTAGGGGATTAATGTTTGATCCAATACAAAATTCTTCTAAATAATAAAACGAGAGTTGTAAGGCAGACACTAACTCAAGATTTTGGGAGTGAAAGGATTAAGAAGTGAATCGAAATGTAGGACTCACTTTTTTAAAACAACCACGACACAAAAATAGAGAGAAAAAAAGAGAAATACGAAGATCGAAAGACAGATGTGACACTAGTCGGAAATTTGTAAAGGTCAAGCATCTAGGATAGAAGTCACATGCTTTGAGCCAAAGGGTTAATCTTAAAATTGGTTTAGGGGTTCCATTTAAGCTGATTTCCGAGAACATTCGACTTCTGTTGACCTTTCCACCGAAAATATCTTTGAAATAACAAGTGGATTGTATCAGTTCCGCCGAAAATACTTTTGAGCGAGCGTTTGAATTGACCTGATCATGCTTGCAGGGATTACTGTTAACAACTATTGCTGAATTGGAAGGCGAGAGAAGGATAGGGAAGGGACGGAGTGTTGAGATACAGAAAGTAGAATGGCATTAGTGAAATTGGGGTTAGCCACCCATGGCTCGTGAGCAATCTCTTTTGCCTTTATAGCTCTCTGTTCTGGAAACGACCCACTTAATACGGATTTCGGTCTTTGTTTCATGAAGGAAACCTGGTAAAAAAAATTCAGAACGGTTCTTTATCAAAATAATTGATTGTCTCTAGAAAAAAAATAGGACATTTGTCGAGTAAAGCTCCTTCGATGAGACGAGATGTAAAATGATTTAATCGCTCTAAATTCCTATTTATTTATTTATTTTTAACAATAAAAGGTATTCTGAAAACGGATAGTTAACCCTTTTCACCCTAATTTCAAAATGCATATTCTCCATACTGTTCTCTATACCTTTGATAAGGTGCTAACAAAGAGAATTTGATAAACAATCAAGAGATTCTTTAGTTAGTGATTAATTCCTTTATTCTCGTCTGATTCAGGGGTGATATTACAGGGAGAAATAAGATCCTAATCACTCTTAGGGGTCAAAGTGCTAAATTAATCTGTTCATGAAGGCCGACCAGGTTTGCTGGTGGGCTGAGTAATGTTATACTCGAGTCGTCTTCACTTCTCTTTCTCTTTTCATGCTAAGTTCCCATTAGTTCTTCCATCTCGTACCATTCGGTTTCCTCCTGGTTTCAGGTCATTATCGGTTGAAATTTTCGCGTGAAGACAGGGCAACTGCTGAAAGTATCGGCGAAAAACTCGGCGAAATTCGCTGTTTCTGAAGTAGTATATGAATGGGTTGATCGCTGATGAAGTAAAAGCGATTGCCTCAGCCCAAGGCCACGCAATATCGACCAATGATTTAAAAGTCATACTCTGGTCTGTCACATGGAGATGGTAAGAGCTAACTATATAGAGAGCTAAACTAGGCATCCATGTGATAACACAAGCACCCAAAACAAAACCGACTGTTTTGATAGCTTTGAAATTTTGCAAGAAAAGAAGTCTGATATTTTCGTCGCAGTTTTGCGGACTTACCCGCACTGAAATTGTTTTATATTGTTTTCTGGCAGCCTTGAAAATACTAATATAGCAAAAGGAGACAACTAACAATGGAAAAACGAAGATTATGCTTGGTAACGACAAAAAGAATATTTCAACATTTTCACCATTCTGCAAAAGCAACGAGAAGGAAAGACCCAAGGAGATTGACCACACCAAAATTATAAGCGCGTAACATCTTTTCTTGGTCATAATGTCCTGATAACGGAAAGGAAACCGAATGGAAATAAACCGGTCGACGGAAACACAGCAAATGTTGAAAGTAGTGGCGGCGGTGGTGTAAACCCACAGCACTTGTATAATGTCGTATAAAACTGTGGAAACTTCCGGCTTAATCCAACATCTGATGACAATCCACAGTGGGTCCACAAAAAGCCCGACTGAAAGGTCTGCAACGGATAGGGAGGCTAAATATCGGTTGGAAATTGTTCGAAATGAATCATTTTTGCAAAACAGCCAAAGGACAGCTGCATTTCCAGTCACAGCTGCTAAGCCAGAAAAGGAAAACCACAATGATAGAACGATGGATGCAGTACTGCTGAGAAGTTCCCGCGGATGGCTATCATTCATGGTATAAGATGGCAGACAACGACAACAGAAGATAAAAAGTGCGCTCGGGAAATGCCTCAGTGTTTCTTGTCCTCACCACAAACCAAACAGGTGTTTCTGAAATTGAAATTATGTTTTGCATGAATCGTATACGGTTTTTAAAAATTATAATGTTGCTTTTATGCGTTTTTATTGACAGGTACGTGTCATATTATTCTGAAGTCTGATCTTTTAAAGTACTTGAAAACGGCGAAAGAGACGTATAACAATTATTCTCTGAAAAGTGTTTGGAAACTCTTACTTACATCTTAAACTAATTTTTTTATTTTTCTGCGTTTTCTGGTTGGTGCGGTATTTGAAATTTGAAATTTGAAATTTGAAATAATCGACCCTAGTGCCTAGCAGTTCTCCTTTACCATTTTTTTTTGCCCATTGAAAGCACAATTTGGTGGTCAAAAAGTGTCCCATTTAGCGCGCGGCCAAAACCATCATGTTATATGACTGTGACGTAGAAAGTTGTGGAAACACGTCGGCAACTATGGTGGAGAAAGGAAAAATATATAAGAAAGGACGAACTTATTGCGTGGCCGGTGCTCCAAATGATGTTAGCTATACAAGAATTATACACATACATCGGGTATTTCTATACGCTACTTTCCAAAGGATGAAGTTGTATGGTCAAAATAGACACATTTCGATCGTTGAAATCGAAGCGATTTTACTCTTCAATGTTGTCGGCCTTATGCTCCGTCCCACCTTCGAAGACGGCTGATACGAACACATACCACTGGTTAAAACAGGGGAGGATGGCCGATGAATTCAGCTAAAAATAATGCTGTTAAAGGGGCCTGTTCCCAGACCAGACACGATTGTTCCATATTCTTTTCAGCTGAAAGTTCGCAAGCGAAGAATAGTGAGCTTCTTCTTGTTATTCAGTTATTTCAAGCGCTTGAGATGTACTCATACTCCTTGTCTTTCCACATGACTACAATTACGCTTTTCTTATCGTAAGAAAATACTACCCATTGTAGTTTCCATCGTATTTTGATAACAGAAGTACATTTTTTTTTATCAAGTTCAAGCCCTTTCCTGAGCTGACCGATATTCTGTTGCCTGAACAGTGCGAAACTTTTGGCGGATACTGGCATAAACACAAGCACGAAGGGGCCGTGTAATGTAAGGTACTGTGATAACAGCACTGCAACGTGATAAATTAAGGAACACAAATATTATTGAATTGGATGGTAGTGAATCCAAGTGCTGTGTGAAGATCGATGTTTAAGCTTCAGGAAAAGTTGAACTTTTCAGATCGTCAACTTTCGCAGTTTCTTCTGAGAATTTAACTGTAATTTAAAATGTGAAAGACGATCGAAAATAGTTGAATGAATAAAAAGATATTAGGTGAGTAAATTAACCAAGAGAACATAAATTAAGAAATTAATTATTGAAATCAATAAAAAAGATACCGAAAATAATAATTAAAAAATTAAATAATTAATTTATAAATTGCAACTTAGGGCCTCTTCATATGAGCCCGGTTGACTGGTCTGGCCCGGTTTCCGAGATCTCGCCTTACCTCTAAATCCTTTGTAAAATTTTCTATGTGTTCATATGAGAGGGCGGCCTGGCTCGGTTACCGAGATCTAGGTTTTTCCAACCGGGATCTCCGTTTAACTGCAGTGATACAGCTAAAAGGGTTGCCAAAGCCATGATAGGCGTAAAAGTAATAACTCGGTTGCGTTTCGCTATCTGTGTTTTGTTTTTTTAATTTCGCGCCAAAACTCGTCCCAAGGATCTTCGACCTTTTCTCATCTCGGAAACCGGGCTGAGTTTTCTTATATGAACCCAGGGCGAAATTCGTGCCGGCAAGCGGGCCAGCCCGGTCGATTGGGCTCATATGAAGAGGCCCTTAATGTTCCGGCAAAGTTTTGTGTAATTCTCGTTGCGAAATCAGTATAACAACTGATTTTAACAAAATGCGGTTGTATGCTTATATTCTTAAGTTTCTCATAATCATTATGTCAGCATTGAATACAAAACATGGGGTCGATAGGTTCAAAGGAAGCCTGTACCGGCAACGATGTTAACCATTGAATTCCCATATATGACCGAGACAGAATTTCTCCTTACAACATCGGGAGAATATTATGCAGACAAGCAAAGAGGATGAAGAAAAATATCAGTTAGGGGATTTTTTTGTTGATCCAATATCAAATTCTCCGAACTAACATTATGAACTTTAAGCCAAAGCAGCAATCTGAAAATAGGTGTAAGGCGGGGTTCCGTTTTAAGCTGATTTCCGGGAATTCGACTTCTGTTGACATTTTCACCGAAAATCTCTTGTAAATAACAGGTGAATTCAATCATTTCCTCCAGAAATATTTTTAATTGATCTGATCATCCCAGCCAGGATCACTGAATCGATACTAAGTGACCTGATATCCATGGGCGTATTCAGTTACAAAAGGGGGATGACTTGAACCAGCGTCTTAAAATAAAACCTGTTCTATATTCATTCTTAACAAACATCTATTTGCAATTGGCTCCATACAAGGCAATGGGTAACTGTCAAAGAAACCCGTTAGATCAAAGAAAACAAATAAAGTGAGGACAAAGTACATAGACTCAAGAGAAAGCAATATCAGGTATTCTTGCAAAGACGACTTTTTTGTCAGATTCCAAGTCACTAATATTACGAAAAAAATGTACAAACTAAAGTTGCAGTCCGTTTCGACATAATTTGTCGATAGAAGGTAAGTCCTGTTTCCTCTGATATGCCCCATAAGAGCTCTGTCTCTATATCTGTTTTATCTACAGAACGCTCACCGTTTCGTACCATTAGGTGTCGACCTGAAATCAACCCAACCTTCCGTGTACTTTCCCCGTTGCATCAATCGTCCTTAAGGCAACCAGCGAAAGGTACGACGAAAGGCTTTGCGGAACTCTTGATTTCTAAATAAGTATATGAATGGATTGATTGCTGAAGAAGTAAAAGCAATTGTCTCAAGCCAAGGCCATACAACGAAGATCCATGTACGCAATTTGCCCTAGTTATTAGGCAGAGAATAATAGCGTTCAATTAACAAAAGAACTAAACTGGGCATCCACGCTCAAATTTTCGTCGCAATTTCGAGGATTTTCGCCACCTAAAATTATTCTACACCGTTTTCTTGCTGATTTGAAAGTACATATATACGAAAATGAGACTACCAATAATGGAAAAGCAAACGTTATAAATTTTAAAGAAAAACCATAGTATTGTATTAGTTTTTTCCTCAACGTTTACCGAGAACGTGGAGAAAGGAAGACACAATGAAAATAACCACAACAAAATTAACACTGTGTAACATCTTTTCTTTGGTAAAATGTCTTGCAATTTCCCGATAACGGAATGAAAACTGAATTGTAACGAACCGGTCGACAGAAACAGCAAATGTTGAGAGTAGCGGCGGCTGTTGAGTGAATTCACATCACCAATGTTAAGTCGGAAAAAACGCTGGGAACCACTGGCTGAATAAAAAATCTGATAAAGATCCACACAGGGTCTATCACAAACAGTCTGTTCCTCTCTTCCTTTCCCATCATTTCTTTCACTCCCATCGTCCTTCCTTGCCACGCGTGTTGCGAGTGGTAAGAGTCAGCCTTTGTCCACGTTAAGGGGAAAAAATTACGAAATTTAGGAGGAGGAAAGAGAATGCATTCATAAACGTTAATTAATTTTTCTCTTTCTTCAGAAGAAATGAATATTATTCCAAACTTAGAATTGATTGAAAAATAAGGAAATAAATGAATACGTAAACGATTATAATTTTCATTAATTTTCGCGTGATTCCATTGGCTGCTTTACGTCTCGTGGTACAAAATTATCGCACAATTATTAGGGAATAACCCCCGTTTACGTCGATATTTGTCCTCCGATTATTTACGTCGAAAGGAAACGAAGCCGGCGGAAAATAACTAGCCCAAAAGGTTCACTTTTTCATCTTTGTTACTTACATGGAAGGTAGAGTCCAGTGATAGTGACGTTAAAAAGCTTATCTCAAATGCTGCTCATGAAAATACAAAAAAAGTTAAAAAAAGTTGCTGTCAAAGCGCGTCATGAAAATTAATGAGAGGGTTACAAAACAATTGAATCCTCTTCTGGGCTTCCTGGTATGTCGGCTGATAATGTCCCTGGCTGATAGATTGTCCATAGATTTCACAATTTTCCGCAAAGCTTCGTTTCTCGGCTAAAAAATTCATTTCTCGGACAATACCTCAGCCGCGGACATGGTTAGCCGACATATCAGCTGCCCGAAATGGATCAATTAACATTGATAATTGATAGAAGGTAATATTGAAATAAAATATTTAATGCCCAAAGTAAATAAGTCGATTGTAGAAAGAACTACATGCAATTCTCATCTCGGGGTCCCGTCAGCTATAAGATTCCACTTCTATTTAATTCCCTTGTTATCAAAACTTCCAAGGGTCTGGTTTACGCTAGTAAAATTACAGCAGACTTCAACAAAATGTTGTTGTGTGCGCATGTCCATGAGTTTCTTTTTAAACTCAAATTGAGAACGAAACGCGGGGTCGGCAAATCCACAGGAAGTCTTCATTGCGTTGAAAAAGGAAATGAAGTAGCAATTATTTCCTCTGTGTGGCTTGTGAGTTGCAAGAACATTGTCTTTATTTTTCATCTGTTGCATCATGATTATCTGTTTATTGATCAATTCTCTTGCAACCAAGTAACCGGGCCCTCAGTAGAAATTCACATGCACCGTAAACAGAGGGTTGCCTCAGAGAGCTTGAGGTGGTCCAAAAATTTCAATTTGAATAATATAGCTGATCCTCAATTCATGCTGTGAGTGTTTGAACAACACTTTATATGCCCCATAGAAAATTAGCGTTTACAATTTCTTTGAGAGAAGCGACTTAGCTGCTTCTACTGCTGAGTCAAACTAGCGACGGGTTCGAGGTAGAGGATCCAATGTTTTCAGTCCTAGGATATTTATTGATTTCACGACCAAATCAGTTACCCATAGCTTGAGTGGTTTTAAATCAATTAGAACGAAAAAACGGAAGATAAATCAAGTTCTATTAATTGTATATAATTTTTCACGATTTTGTCCCTTGAAAACAGCCCACTTCATGAAAGGGTTCGGTCTTTCCTTCATGAATTCAACCGAGTTAAAACTAAGAACTGAGTTCAGGGACGAAACTATTTATCAGAATAATTTGCTAGACTGAATATATGACCAGGGCTCAAAATGACAGGTGTTTCTGGGGAAAATAAAGAATTCTTGTCGAGTAAAACTTGCTTGATATAACGAGAAAAAAAATTATTTTTAACCAAAGTCTTTTTTTTATTTACAGAAAATGAGAATTCTGAAAACATGAACGTGTGTAGATGTTCCGTTATGTTTATATAGGTCGACCAGGTTTCTAATTAAGTGGAGCACTGTTCCGTTTGAATTTCCTTCATTCCCTTTTTTCTTGACTTGCCAAGTTGCCATTCGTCTCACTATTTCGTGTTATTCGGTCATTTTGGTTTCTTTCCGATGTAAACCAATTTCTGGTGAGATATCCGAATGAAGACAGGGAAGCCATTGGAACGCACGACGACAGGCTCGACGAAAGTCGCCATTTCGGAAAAAATATATCAGTGGGTTAATCGCTGACGATGTAAAAGCGATTGCGTCAACCCAGGGCCATGCAACAAGAAACAATTCAAGCATTTCACTCTCGTCTTCTGTTAGGAGGTGATAACAGCCCACTATAATCAGAACTAAACTGGGCATCCACGTGAATATACAAGCACCCAAAACAAAACCTACTGTTTTGATAGCTTTAAAATTGTGCACAGCAAGAACTCTAATATTTTCGTCGCATTTTCGGGGATTTTCCTGGGCGATTATTCGTTTGAACTGTTTTCTGGCAGCCTTGAAAATACTAACATAGCAAAAAGAGACAACAAATAATGATGTAGTATAGATAATGCATGTTAAATAAAATATCATCGCTTTTTTTGAACTATCTAGGAAAAATGTTAAAAAAGAAAGCCCCAGTGAACTAAACCAAACCAAAATGATGACCGCATAACATCTTTTCTTGGTTACTATGTCCTGATAACGGAAAGGAAACCGAATGGCAATAAACCGGTCGACAGAAACACAGCAAATGTTGAAAGTAGTGGCGGCGGATGTGTGAATCCACAATACTTTTATAACTTCCATCAACAAGGAGTGAAGCGGCGGCCGAATCCAACATCTGGTAGCGAGCCACATAGGGTCTACAAAAATCCCAACTGAAAAGTCTGCAACGGACAGTGAAGCTAAAAAGCAGTTGGAAATTGTTCGTAAAGACTCGTTTTTGAAGAACAGCCACAACACGATTGCGTTTCCAGTTACAGCTACAAAGCTTGACAAGGAAAACCACACTGATAAACAGATGGACGCTGCACTGCTGAGATGTTTGTCTGGATGGCTATCATTCATGGTGAGATGATGTACAGCTTCTGCAGAAAAAAAGAAAGTGAACTTGGGAATGCTTAAAATTTTCCTTTCCCCTCTACAAACAAATGTTATTGAAACTGAACTGGTTTTGCATGAATCATCATTTTCCTTTTAAGCAGATATGCTTTTTATTGACAGGCACGTCGTTTTTATCAGAAGTCTGAAAACGAAGAACGGTAAAAGGTGTGAGATGGATACGACAACAGCTCTCTGGAAAATGTTTCGAAATTGTTATTTATATCTCAGTCTTACCTTGCCTTTCAGCAACGATAAAAAGGGAACTGATTTGATTTCTCTTAAAGTCAAAAGCCTGGCAATAACTGACAACAAAGTTTTCCCTAACATACAGCTGCTTCAGTGACAGAAAGTTGTTTGAAAAAGTTCCTAATTCCGGATACCCATTAGTAACGGCTCCTGATTAATAGTTAATGTAGTTTTAACGCTTGTGTCAAATATGACCATCTTCATGGCTCACCCGGCGAGGACTTGACTCCTAGCGGGCAAAATGAAGAAGATGACGACCATCTTTTTCTCGCGGTTCATTGCCTTTCGTTGCCACGCATGTTGCAAGGGAGAAGAGTCAGCCTTTGTCAACCTCAAGTGCAACAGTTTACGAAAATTATACGGATAAAAGTTTTTCAATCGCAAAAATAACGTTATGTCGCCAGAAACCTCTCTCTTTAGCAAGGTGATCAAAAATGATGAAAAAAAAAAACAAAAAACGAACAGGTAAATAAATAACCAGACAAATAAATTGAATTTGGTAAACGGCAGAATTAATTTTTTAAATCCATCAACAAATGATATAAAGATATAAAGAGATCGGGCAAGGTACATTACAATTCTCATTCCGGGGTCCCTTAACCAGAGAGATCAGTCCTATTTCCATTGAGTCCCTTGTAATCAAAACTTCCTTGGGTCCGGTTTACGCTGGTAATATAAAATTTGACAAAGTGTTTTCATATGCTAATATCCTTATGTTTGTTTTTCTGTTTAATTGCAAACAGAGGACAAAACACGGCGACGATATGAAATTAATTAGGAATTCTTACTTTTCTGTATAAAGAGTTGCAAAAAAAAATGTGACTTAAATAAGTTGTTCTAATGCATTTATTGGCCAATTTTCATGCACCAAGTGACCGGATCGAGATAGTTATGAGCACTGTAAACAGACCTTTGCCTTGGAGAACTTTAAGGTGGAACGTAAACGTTGAATTTGAACGACATAGGTGGTCCTCAACTCGTGCTGTGAGTGCTTGAAGGACTTTAATTTATGCTGACAAAATGTTATAAACACGGAACTCTTAACATGCTTCATAGAAAATTAGCAGTAAAATTTTTCTCTGAGAGAAGCGAACACGCTGTTCCTACTGCTGATCCAAACAAGGAACGGGCTCAATGTAGAGGTTCTGAAGTTTGCCACTCCTAGAATATTTATTAATCTTATGACGAACTGACCCGTAGTCGTCAGTTGCTTGTCACCTGCTAAAACTGAATAGACAAGAACTGTCATGAGTACAAAAAGCTCCCTGCAAAGCTTCAAGTAAGAGCATGGCATATAAATTAAATATCAAGTCGTAAATTTTATGTGCACATTAGCTAAGGACAACACAACTGTCAAAATTCGCCAATTTTGGAGTTGCTGAATGTGTTTGAGAAGCAAGAGAGTCGAAACAGTTTCAAAATACAAGCTCTACGCATGTAGACTATTCGTTAAATATAGTCATAGTAATTGGCAAATCAATTTTTTTGCGCATTGCATTGTGATATGCAATATCCATATTGTTTTATTCAAATTCACCGCATCTTTGATTACATAAACGACAATCACGCTTTGTAAGGGGCTCACTAAAGGGAAAATATCAAAGTCAAATCTTTACATTTGTTTTAAATTTTAATGCGAAGGACTGATCCACATCGCAGGCGGTTGACCGGGCGAATATTGTAAAAGTTTGAGGAAAAAAATTCTTCCATCGCGTTTTACGGATCTTCCACAGTCACTCTTCAATTACAAGTCTCCTTTTGCATTGAATTACCATGACTGTTGGCTGCTTGAATGAACAAAGAAGTAAGGAGGCATCCATCGTTCTTTCGCTGTGTTTCTCCTCGTCTGGTTTAGCAGCTGTAACAGGAAACGCAGTTGTGTTATGGTTGTTCTTCAGAAATGAGTCTTTACGTACAATTTCCAACCGATTCCTAGCCTCGTTGTCTGTAGCAGACTTTTTAGTTGGACTTGTAATAGACCCTATTTGGATCACCTTTAGATGTCTGATCCAGCCGTCAAATGTGACCCAAGCCGCCTTGAATAAGTTTATGGACATGTTGTGGATTCACACTACCGCTGCTACAACGCTTAACCTATGCTGTGTTTCCGTGGATCGCTTCATAGCCATTCGGTTTCCTTTCCGTTATCAGGACATTTTAACCAAGAAGACATGTCATAGCCTCATTGCCGTGGTGTGGTTTACATCATTGCTTCTTCCTTGTCCGGTCATTTTTGTAAATGCTGAAAACTTGTGGTTATTCGTATCGCTTGTCACATTTTGCATCCCCACAACTGTCATGGCGGTATGCTACTTTTGGATTTTCAAGGCCGCAAGCAATCAAGCCCGAAGAATGACGGGGGGAAATAAGCATCGTGCGGACGAAAGACGAAGTACTTTTCCAAGCCGTATAATACAGAATTTTAAAGCTATCAAAACCATAGGTTTCGTGTTGGGTGTCTTTGTCGTTTCTTGGATGCCTTGCCTTGTCCTATCCATTGTGCACGAGTTTTCTGCGAGTAATCCGTGCACCGATGAAAAGTTGTATAATGTTGCATGGCCATGGATTGAGGCAGTCGCGCTTTCATCGTCAGCCATCAACCCGTGGGTTTATTTTTTCCGTAATGGCGAATTTCGTCAGGCTTTGCATCGCAGTATTCGAAGGTAACCCGAAAAAGCTGATCGCCTACCGTGCAAAATATTAACAGGATGACGGGCGTGGTTAGACTACACTTTTAAATTCGCCACAAGTTCGCTAGCAATTGGCGTTAACTATGATCGCGTGTGCGAGTGGCATTGTTCATTTAGGGAAAGAAATTTTTTTAGGATCTCTTTTTGTGTTAGTTTCTTCGTATCACCGCTTTGGTGGTGTTTTTGCTGATCATTTCTCGAGTAGTTTTTCTTTATAACCGCTAATAAACCCGTACAACGTATTGGGGCTACCCCCATACTTTAAGTTCAAGATTATCCCCAGCACCGCACCATTTCCTCAACGAAAGGAATAATGAAGATGTAATGATGAAAATGAAGGTTAGACTTACACCAGTTGTCTTGATGGATCGCTTGTTCCTATCCAAGGTAGCTGTTACACAATGGTGACGGAAAGGGAAGGGACAATTTAAGTGCGAAGATTCGGTCGTTTTCTTTATTTTCGCCAGTCAAGCAGGATCCTTACTCCCGTGTAGTTCCCATTGTCTCTCTGTTGTCAGAACTTCATCTCCATCAACGTCTTACGCTTTGATTCATTAATTATCATCATCATTGTCAATATCATCATCAGGATAAAAAATTTTGTTACGTTCTAATTCGCTACGCTCAAACGAACGTAAATTATTTTCCTCTTAAATGAATAGATGAACAAATACAACAAATTGATGGTTAGATGCTCAGGCAGTCCAACAACTGACGTTTATTCAAGCTTCACACAAGCAGTCATAACAGTGTAACTAAACTGAATATCACTAAATAAATGTAAATTTACAAACCAAGCTGAGAAGTTAGTTGTAAACGCTTAGAAATATCTTCTTGAATGTACATATCCTTCGCAGTATCGGACTTCCACCGACCATGCAGTTTAAGTACCCTCTCCGAAAGTCTAGGGTTATAACTAACGGCAGAGGTAGCTCCACCAGCCCTTAAACTATGAAGCCCGTACAACTTATGATCCGCCCCTATTTCTTTAAGGCATTCTTTAAAGATTTCCCTACATCTGGTATATGATAATTTAACTCCGTATAACTTGTAAGTGTTGGTAGACTTAAATAACCTTACTGGACGGAAGAGAGCAACTGAACTTGAAAGTTCAATGTTACACATGGAAATATACCTTTCTAAAAGTGCAACAGGGCAATACTTGTTAGCTAACCTCTTAATATAAACATCATTACCTACACGATAAATGACATTTTTAGCCTTGGGAACAAACACTCTAAGATGATCAGGAAAAAATTCAAGATGCATGGGCGCAATGTTACTAAGCTCATCATAACGAAAAAACCCCGCAAAGCCTAACGAGCAGATACAAGTAACTCGTATGTCCTTAAGATTAGCAGAAGATCCAGCGAACTTATCAATAATATCCTTAAAAATTTCAGCGGAGATAGGCGCCTTTTTAACAGTAACTGGCTTATTGCGCTTAGCAGCCTCCAGTAAATTATGACAAATCGAACTATCCAGTGGATTAGCGCCGTTACTTAAACCGAACGAGTGAAACCACTTAAGAGCTGCGTGAGCCATAACTAGAGAAGCATAAGAGTTAGAACTCTGATAAACCTTAAATAGATAAACAACTATAAACGTAACAGGAAAAGGAGGCACTGGCTGAACGTTGGAGGAATTACAAAATTCAATAAACTTCGAAATCTCTTTCTTATATCTCCTCGATGTAGAATCCGCTTTAGACTTCAATAATGTCGAGATAAATTCTCCTAGGTTAGGCTTTACACCAACCGGGATGCAACTCCAAACATCGTCTGAAGCAAACATCTGTAACGAGAAAACAAAAGAAATAACGCAAATTATGAAACCGCCAAAACAGTCGCATGCTGCAAAGACACTTCCACAACAACAGAGAATAACGACAAGCGCCTCCGCAAAAACATAGTAATAATACCAGCCCAGGCCAGTGCCTGTTATCCACAAAAACATTGTAATAATACCAACTCGGGCCAGTGCCTCTTAACTACAAAACATGGTAATAATATCGGCCCAGGCCAGCGCCACTTGTCTACAAAAATATTGTAACGATATCAACCAAGGCCAGTGCCTCTTAACTACAAAACATGGTAATAATATCGGCCCAGGCCTGCGCCTTTTATCCACTGAAATTTTAATGGTTAAACATCCCATGTAAATGAAGCCATAGAAACTTAAGAAAACTTCATACGAACGGCTAGGATGAAGCCAGTGAACCTGTCAATACCCAAAAACAGAGCGGGGGGGGGGGGGGGGTGGGTGGGTGGGAAAAGAAGTAAACGCCGGGATGGAGAGCGCGAGCGAGAGGAATCTGTCAACTCTTTGAAGCCTAAAATACTACACATCAACCAATCACAAAAACCCCCTGGAGAGACGCCCTAACGGCGTGTTCCAACAAAAACGAAAAAACATAAAGTGCTAACGAACTGCATCAACTTCATACCAGCGGAAAATACATTTACGTTCTAATTCGCTACGCTCAAACGAACGTAAATTATTTTCCTCTTAAATGAATAGATGAACAAATACAACAAATTGATGGTTGGATGCTCAGGCAGTCCAACCCAGAACTTCACAAAGTAAAAATAAGTAGAGGTCTTACTGCGAAAAAGCTGATAGTCACTAGAGGACTTAAATTTTTTCGAAGTGTTACCGCTGATACTCTTCGTTTCTTTTCTCCTCTTCTCAGCGGCAGCCTTGGCTTTACGTATCTTCTTCTCATCTTCGGAGTCTGAAGCGAGATCGTCGGACTCGTATTCTTGGACAACAAGCCAGCCATCTTTGTTCTTGTCCGCGATTTTGATCAACTTCTGACGCTTTTTGATGAGCAGTTTTCCTTCTTCAACCAACTTGTGAACATCAGCCGGGCTACTAGCACTCTCGTCGATTCGTGTTAATATGTTGTCCAGTTGCAAATTCAACTCAAATTGCTTTCGGTTACCTTTGAACTTAATGTCTGCAGCTTCTTTATCGGACTTAGAGCTTCGCTCAAACCGCTTCCCTTTCTCTTCCAATTGAGAGGTCAAGTAGCCTTTAACAAGAGAGAAAACCTCATCCACCAACTGTGAATTTGAAGAAGGGTTCTGCGAAACAACATCGGCTTCAACGACAGAAGGAACGGAACCACTTTCTTCTGTAGAATTCATAGCTGTATCCTAGCATCAAAAGAAGTAAACGCCAGGATGGAGAGCGCGAGCGAGAGGAATCTGTCAACTCTTTGAAGCCTAAAATACTACACATCAACCAATCACAAAAACCCCTGGAGACACGCCCTAACGGCGTGTTCCAACAAAAACGAAAAAACATAAAGAGCTAACGAACTGCATCAACTTCATGCCAGCGGAAAACACATTTTATCAAATTTACGATAGCCTTTTCTCACAAGGGTAGGTTTTCTTGTTTTTCTCTCTTTTTTTTTTAATAAACAGTTTCATTCACGTCTCACCTTTCCCCAAAAATGTGAATTTCGTGTTCTGTCAGTGGTTGCATATACCTGTTTGTGTTTGTATTAACTCAAAGTTGCGATTCTTGAATGGCTGTAAATTACCTTAATAATTACTAACAGTATAGGTCTCACAAAAATTTCAGGTCTCTCCTTAATCAATGGCGTGATTCAACATTTCTGAAATGCATGATTTATGAATGGATAAATCGCCGACCAAATTCAATCAAGAGGTTTCCTCAACCCTAGGCCTTACAAAAAGTCAGTACCGCTTATTATCCGGCACTTTTCGCACTCTAATGTATGACAATAGCAGGTTGTGTCATGATGCTAACACTCAAAAGGTCCAACTTCTACAACAGTGTGCAATTTTTTGTTAATGAAGTGCAGATTGTCCTCTCTCATTCCTCTGAGTACCAAGGATATCGCCTGTTTCAGGCAGTCAAAACGAGAGGAGGCTAAGTAGAGGGAAGAAGGATCCTTTGCTGCCTGTCCCCTCCCCTCTCCTTTCCCTGTTTATTACTCCTCTCCAGATTCAAATTGAAGTTTTACCATCTACCATCTTTACCGGAGTCATTATAAATGTCTGCTTCTGTCAACGGTGTTAACCCTTTAACTCCCATGAGTGACCAAGACAGAATTTCACCATACAATGTCAATACAATGTCAAGCAGACAGGTGATGAGAATAAAGAAATATATTAGTTAGGAGATTATTTGTTGATCCAATACCAAATTCTGGTAAGGCTGAGTAAATTGCATAGCGTTGAATTTTTCATTCAGCTTCAATTGTAAAGCGATACACAAGTCACGTGATTCAAATTAACATCATAAGAAGTGTATGGCAGGCAGTTAGGAGAATTACCAATAAGATCTTGGGAATGAAAGGCTTAATATGGGGACAGATATGTGCGACTCGCTATAGTAGAACAAACATAGCTGCATTTCTAATTACAGCTGCTAAACCAGATTTGTGAACCCCAAGGATTGAAAGATAGACGTGCTTTGCTTAATCATTCTTATGTGTCGAGCAACTAGTATCAATGTTAGATGCTTTTGAGTGAAAGGAATAATCCTTAAATAGCTCAAGGATTTCCGAGAAACCCACCTCTGTTGACATTTTTCCCTAAAATGACTTGCAAATAACTAGAGATTTTTTAGGTGATACCTTTGAAAAAGACTTTGAATTAATATGATCTCTACAACTTAGATCACTGAATAAATGCAGAAGAACGGTATCCTGTATATTTTTATACCTTACAAAAGGGAAATCATCCTTAAAGCATTTTTTATAGGAAGAATTTTTCCTTAATCCTTCCTCCTCTAATTTATTCAAAACCGTAGACCAACAAATTCTATTTTTATCACAGAATAGTGCACAAACAAAAAGGTTTCGGTCCGTTTAATTTCAATATCATCTGTCGACAGAAGACAAAGTCTTGTTTTGATTGAGATGTCCTTAGAACTCTGTCTCTTTAACCGCTATATCTCCAGATCTCACGCCATTTCGTACCAATAGGTGTAGACCTGGCCTAAGTCCGGATTGTTGTACGCTTTACTCCGTGAATCCACAGGGCAACCAACGAAAGGTACGGCGAAAGGCTTGGCGAAAGTCTTGATTTCGAAAGTAATAAATTAATGGATTGATTGCTGATGAAGTAAATGCAACTGCATCAACCCAAGGCCATACAACCAACAACAATGAACGCATTTTCTCCCTGCTATTTTCTATGACATAATAAATATCAAATACCATGAGAACTAAACTTGGCATCCATGTGATGATGCAAGCACCCAAAACAAAACCGACTGTTTTGATAGCTTTGAAATTTTGTAAAGTACGAACTTTGATATTTTCGTTGTAATTTCGAGAATTTTCATCTCCACATATTCTTTTAAATTGTTCTTTTGCTGCTTTTAAAATACAGATGTATGATAATGAAACTATCACTAACGGAAAAACAAATGTTATAAATGTTAAAGAAAACCAAAATATTGCTCTATTTATGTCTCCCGCGTTTGTCACCGACAACTTCGAGAAAGGAAGACATAATGACAATAACCACACCAAAATTATCACTGTGTAACATCGTTTCTTGGTTACCATGTCCTGATAACGGAAAGGAAACCGAATGGCAATGAATCGGTCGACAGAAACACAACAAATGTTGAAAGTGGTGGCGGCGGTTGTGTAAATCCACAACATTAATGTTAATTCGTGCAAAACGCTTGGAGACGGGGGCTCAATAAAAAATCTGATGGCTATCCACACAGGGTCTATCACAAGCCCAACTAAAAAGTCTGCTACCGACAACGAGGCTAAAAATCGGTTGGAAACTGTCCGTAGAGACTCGTTTTTGTAGAACAACCACAACACAACTGCATTTCCAGTAACAGACGCAATACTGCACAAGGAGAGCCACAGTGATAGAACGATGGACGCTGCACTGCTCAGATGTTCTTCCGGTTGGCCATCATCCATGGTAAGATGGTGTACAGCTACAGCAGAGGATAGAAATTAAGCTTAGGGAAAGTTTTAAATTTTTCTTGTTCTCTCTACAAACCAAACAAATGTTTCTGAAACTAAAATGTTTTTGTGTAAATCATATTATTCTATTTATACAGATATAATTTCTTTTGACAGGCACGTCGAATTGATTGAAGTCTGAACATTTGAAGTTCCACAAAACGGTGAAAGAGATAGATACATCACAACACATCTCTGAAAAATATAACAAAATTCGTATTTATACATCAGTTAATCTTCCTTTGTCTTTCATCAACGATAAAAGAGAAACTCAATCAAAATTGACTTTTTATAAATTCAGAAGCTTGAAAATTACTGATAGTTGACAACTAAGTTTGCTCTGAGATGCAGCTGTGGATACTCAAATTATAAACGGCCCCTGGTTAAAGCAGTTTAAAGCTTATGGTGATAGTGACCATATTCATGACTTACCCGCCAAGGACTTGATTCCAAGTGAGCGAAATGAAGTGAAGAAAATGATGGTGAAGCTCTAATTCTGGGTCGTAGTCTGACCATTGAAAACAAATCTGTGTTTAAAATGAAATATGACTTCCAAATAGTTCTTTATCTGAACATGTCAACAGTATATTTATCAATGTCCGTTTTTCGGCTAACTGTTACGAGAAAAGTTGATTTTTCTTTAACACTATGCTAGTATTTTCCTTTAGTCTCCATTTTCTTTTTGATAAACTTACAGCTTGGACGACTAGCACTAAACATAACAGAATACGTTCACAGTGCTTTTAAAGGTGCCACTAGCTGGGCTGCCAATCCTACACTTTTCTGGGTAAATAACTCCGAACTCAGTAGCTAATCAGATTTGACAACGTACGTTAAATCTTATTCTAAAAAGTAAACTCCTTTGAATTACTTGCTCTTTTCTCGGATCAACTCTTTTCTCAATTTCTCACATATTTCTAGTCAATAACACTTTTTTTAATTACAAATTTATCACAGAGGATAAAAAGTAGAAGTTGTTTACACCTGCAATCATCGTGAAAGAATTGAACATAAAAAATTAAACATAGTTTACTTAAATGAAGCTAATAATGACAGTGAATGAACAGCTGCTCAACACAGAATTCACGATAGGAAAGCATACGAGTCAATCGTACATAAAGGTATCTTTTTGATACCATTTTTGTCCTATAACATATTCACCTTTCTCAGATGGAGCTGTCCTCAGCTCCCAATATAAAAAATTGATCAAAAAGGTTACAGCAACTTTGAATTAAGGCTTCACAAAAGTTCATTTAAAAAATCAACCAGCGCGAACAAAATAATTGTTTTAATGAACTCTGCACTTTTCGTTATTGCTGTAGGAGTTTACTAAATTCGTTTTAAATCCAATTTTTTTTCAATTTAATCGACCGGAAGCTAATGTTACTTCCGACCACAAAAAGGGTAAAATTTGAATCTCATGACCTGTGTATCGCTTTACAACCGAAACTGAATGAAAATTCAACGCCATGCAATTTACGCCTTACCAGAATATCTTATACACGAGATACAGTAGGTTCTGATCCAAGAAACAGCCAAAGGTACAAGGCACAATACTAGCGGGACAAGCACTCGAGTGCGTTTGAGTTCCAGCTTATCGACAAGCGAAGAAGTTATGCACAATTTGTTTAAATATTTTGTTTGATGGAACCGAGAACAGCAAATGGAAAGCTTTCGTTTTCAAAGGTATCCTGAACATCAATTTCTCGCTCTGAGTGGGTGACAACTGATTAAAAACTTACTGAGACAAGTATTCCGTTCAATTGATAAAACTTTAAGTTCTTCTGAAGCGTTGTGGATGTTTTCAAAGATTTTACTGTGCGGTAGCGAACGGAAGAAATCGGTTCTTAAGCTACTCGAATGAACTTCAAAGCTGAGCTTTTGTAATCGAAGGTCCTGGCAGAGCGTAAAAATTTCAAGGTAAAACTTGCAAGTCACTCTGACTTTTGAGGGTAACCCGGCAGGGCATTTACCAGAGGTTGGCTCCATATCAGGCATTATACCATTCCTTACTACAAGTTTTTTCTTTAAAGGCTCTATCTCCTGGAGTTTACTAATGTCACATTTTGTGGTTCCCTGAGACCGCACCTATAATGATGTCCATTCAAATTTTCTCGGGTTTCTTAAGGCGACCATGAAATAAATCAAGAAAACAATGAAACTAAGTTAATTGAGAACCAATGGTGGCATGCAGTTGTATTGTATGGTTATCTCAGTTCTCCCGAGCGTACAAGTTATTTTTTACTTTTGGCCCGAGAATCTCGTGAAGTTTATAAAATATGAGGACCATATATATATTAAGAAAAGTTAAACATTCATCCAAAGATGGTTTTTAATGAGATTCCATTCACTATTAAGAAACAAAAAAAAATGGACCATTTCGTGTTTCGGTCCGTTTGAACTTCATCTGTCGATGGGAGGTAAATTCTTGTTTCGATTGAGACGTCCATAGAACTCTGTCTCTTTATCTGCTATATCCCAGATCTCACATAATTCCGTATCATCAGGCGTCGCCTTGGTTTCAGCCCGGTTTGTTGTGAGCTTTCCCCCGTGAGTCCACAGGGCAACCAACGAAGGGTACGGCAAAAGGCATTGCGAAAGTCTTAATTTCGAAAGTAATATATAAATGGATTGATTGCTGAAGAAGTGAAAGCGATTGCCTTAACCCAAAGCCATGCGACGAAGACCGATGTATGAATTTTACCTGAGTCATTTGTTATGGCATGGTAACAGTTAACAAACAACAGAATTAAATTGGGCATCAATGTGATAATACAAACACTCAAAACAAAACCGATAGTTTTTATAGCTTTAAATTTTTTTATAGTTCTTCCTCTATTATTCTCGTTGTACTTTCTTGTATTTTTTCCTGCTGATATTCTGTAAAAATGTTTTTTTGATGATTTAAAAATACGAACGTATGAATACGAGACTACAAGTAACTGAATAAAAAATGTTGTTGAAGCTAAACAAATCGACAGCACTGCAAAAGTAATATTTTCCTGTCTTTGTCAAACAGGCGCCTATGATCAACCGGCAACAAAGAGAAAGCAATAATTAATGAAAATAGCCACACCAAAATAATCGTCGGGTAACATCTTTTCCTAGTCACAAGGTCCTGATAGCGGAAAGGAAACTGAATCGCAATAAACCGATCTACAGAAACACATCGTATGTTCGAAGTAGTGGCGGCGGTTGTGTGAACCCACAGAACCTTACAGAAAGAGATTAACAACGGTGCTAACTGGTGACCAATATATGACAAAGATCCATAAAGGAATTATAACAAGCCCAACTAAAAGGTCTGCTACGGATAATGAGGCTAGGAATCGGTTGGAAATTGGGCGTAGAGACACGTTTTTGATAGAACAACCATAATATTATTGCGTTTCCTGTCACAGCTGCTAACCCAGAAGAGGAAAACCACAATGATAGACCGAGGGACGTTGCGCTGCTGAGTTGAACGTGTGGGTGGCTATCATTCATGGTAAGACAATGTACAGCTACAGCAAAAAAAAAAAAAAAAGCTTAGAAAATGCTTGAAATTTCTGTTGGCTTCCCTATAAGCCAAGCTGAAGATATTTCTGAAACTGATATGTTTTTATTGCATTAATCGTCATACTCCTTTTATGCAGATATGCTTTCAGTTTATTGACAGGCACGTCTCATGTTTAACAGGATAGAAAGAACGACTCCTCTCTGGAATATTTCTCCAAATTCTCCGTGATCCTCGTTTGCCTCTCGTGAACGATGAAAAAGAAGAAGAAACTCACTATTGCAATTTCTTTCGCATAAATTCTAAAGCCTGACAATAATTGACAACAATGTTTACCCCGAGATCTGGCTGCTTCAGTGAGAGGAAATCTATCGGAAACCTCTTAATTCCGGATACTCAAATAATCAACGGATCCTATTTAACATTTAATGGAATTCAACTATTACTTCAAAAGTGACCTGATTTATGACTCACCCGGCAAAGACTTGATTCCAAGCGAACAAAATGGAGGAGATGACGATGAAGCTCTGGAGTCGAGTGTGACAGTTGAAAACAGGATGTTTGTTCAAGTTAAAAAAAAAACTCTCTAAGTAGTTCGTTATTTGAATATGTCATAATTTGTGAATTGGGTCATCAAACTGAATTTCCGGCTACTTTCACTCGTTCCCACTCTTCTGCTGTCCGTATGAACTTCCTCTTAGCAAGAGTGGCTTGTGCGTGATAGAGAGGGAAAGGGGAACGACAGTTCAGGCTGGTTTCTCTCGTTTGGTGCTTGTTCTTTCTTTCGTTAAAACTGCTAAATCCTTTTTATGGTTTGAGTAATATTAGCATCAACGTTTGATGCTTTTCGCCAAAAGAGTGATCCGTGTTAAGCTAAGCGGTTCAGCTTACACTGATTCCCTAGAAGCCAAATTCTGTTACAAATTCACTTTAAGATTACTCGGAGAAAAATAGCAAATTCTACTGACTTATTTGGAAACACAAATGAATCAACTTTTTAATCCCCAAAGGATCTCCTGGGTAGGGATCACTGAACTGATACTGAGTTAGGATAGCATATTTCTCAATATCTCACAAAAGGCAAGGTCAATATTGTATTTTCCCTAAGAAAGAAAATTTGATATTTTATCCTATCTTTCTTCTTGTCAATTTGCTTAGAACTGCAGACCAACAAAGTATTCTTTTGTAGTTACATTTCGCAGCTCCTTTGATTACTAAAGACAGATAACCGTTCTAAAATATTATAAAAAGATTGGCCAAAAAGATGGGAGGGAACTCTGGTCCGCCAAAATTCAATCAAATTCTTGAAGATCTTCTTTTCACAAAAATCCGCCAAAAGTTGGCTCCACATAAGATATCGCCATTGCTTACAAGAAAGTTTTCCTTTCTAGAAAAGCTCCGTTTCGCAGAATCAATTCGTTTGATCCCTGACGGATACCACATGAAAAAGATCATACGT